CAGAAAAAAAAAAAATTTATAAATAATCTAGTATAAATTCAATATAGTTACCATTCGATATAAATTATTGTAATTAAACAGTCATTTACCAGTGGTTTTTTATAAAGAAATCTAAAAATATTATTTGTGATGCACAGTTAAAATTGTACTGTAAATTTCTCAGTATTTCTTCTATTAAATATATTAAAAAAAAATAAAAATTTAAAGTGTGTATTTATTTACATGCTAAATATAGTTAAATTATGATAAGCCCCGTTTTGCTGCATTTAACCCTTACACCGGAAAACATTATGCGGAAATACCCTTAGGTGGTTTATTAGTAAATCATAAACTACATTCTATTGTACTTACAAACTATACTTAACCCTTTTAATTCTTTTTTTTTGAAACATACCTTATATAACATTTAAAGTTTCTTTGAAGTAAACTTAAATCTTTGGACATACTCAAAAAAAGATGAAAATTACTTCTTTTAATCAAACTCTCCACCTTTTCTTGAGTACTTTAAACTATTTAATGGTCCAATTTTTCCTTGGCAAAGAGAAATTTGTCCCTGGAACCCATTATACGAGTCGGTTCTGAATTAAGTCACGTGTTTAGAAACCAGATAATGAATTTCAAAGCATAAGTCTGTAAACTACATGTTTTATTCTTATTTTTAGTTGGTCATATATCTACATCATAAATGGTACTTTGTTCTGTAGTTGTTTATGCAGTTTCTTCTGTAAAAAATAATATATGAATATTATTAGACTTACAATGATTGTGTGTCATTGAATCTGTTCATAGTTTTCTTGGGAAATTGAAAATTTATTTTAGTACGATACATAATTTAAATTTTATAAAATCCTTAAATATAAGTATAATACACAATTTGAAAATTATACTATGAACTTTTTTACAAATTTCATTTGATTATGAAGTGGTTGTAGGAACTATTTAATATTTTCATCGGATGACACATTAATAGATAGCTCGAAATGTTCTTCTGTTTTGATAGATTCAGGTGGATAAATTCCTGGTCGGAAAGGAATACTGTTTATGCCAAAATCTGTTACAATTATATTTGAGTATTGTTATTGAACAGTATACCTAACAAGTACATTATATAGAGACATAGAGTATAATAATAATATAATAACATGTTCGCCCAATTAGTCTTAATAACTAAGACTAAACCATGTGACTTACTTTAATAATCCATAACTAATTTTGCAGATCCATTAAGTGTTATAGCATTTTGGCCCTGTTGTTTGGTAGCCATCGTTAAACCGTTTATGTACATTTTATTATGGCAAGAAAATTAATTTCACATTCGATTTTTATAAGAAAAAGTTAAATTAAATAAACAAATTAAACAAAATATGTTAATACTGCAAAATAAAATGTGTTAAATTTTTAAACAAAACAAAAAATCATTGGTAACCCGAATGATCGTCGACACGGGTGTCAAGGAAAATTTAATTTTTCTCATTATTCTACAATTTGTAGGTTAAACCTGATAATACTTTTTGGGGGCCTAACGATTTGACGATACCGTCTTATCAATGGTGTTAAACTGGATTAATTAGGAATACTTAAAAAAACATTATTTTGGTTGGATAAATAATTTAAAATTTTTAAATTCTTAAATATATGTATAATACCATATTTATAAATTATAATATGTACTAATCTATGCAAAAAAAAATCTAAAACTAAATAATCTGGTATTAATTCAATATAGTTACCTTATGACATAAATTATAGTAATTTAACAATCATTTGCTAGTATTATTTTATAAATTAATAGCAAATTATTATTTGTGATGAACAGTAAAAATTATACAGTTAATTTCTCATGATTTCATATATTTAATATATATATATAAAAAAAAATTATAAGCAAGAATTTATTTACATTCTAAGCATAGTTTTATTATAAGCCCTCCTTTTACTGCCTTGAACTCTTCCACCGGAAAACTTTATGCAGGAGTAACCTTAGGTGATTTATTTTTCAATCATCATAATGGTTCTATTGTACTTACAAACTCTACTTATGTTATTATTTATTTTTCTCTCGACAATACCTTATGAAACTTTTCATGTTTCTTTGTAGTAATCTTAAATTTTTGGGTATTCCCAAAAAAAGATGAAGATCATTTCTTTATAATAAAATTCTTCATCTTTTCTTGAATACTCCCAACTATTTAATAGTCCATCATCCTTCTATGCCGAAGAGAAATTAGTCTAAAAACTCATTACACGAATCATTTCTGAATTTCAGTCACAAGTTTATAAACAAGATGATGAATTTCAAAGTGTACCTCTTTAAACTATATATATTATTTTCATTTTTAGTTGGTAATCAATCTACATCATAAATAGTACCTTTCTGTATAGTTGTTTACGCTGTTAAGAGAATTTTAACAACAAAGAGTCAATTCAGAAGTACAATAAAAATATTAGAATAAAAAAAGGTTAAATACCATTGGTGCAAATTAAAAAGTGAAAAACCATTTTAAGTAGTATTACGATTTATAAACCATGACTTATACATGGGAATAATTACCAATGAATTGTATGACCATGGCCAAGAAGTAAGCAAAATAACCAATATACAGAACTGATCAGATAAAAATCTAACCCTAAAAACAAAAACAGGGAGTGGATATACATAAGGCTACCATTATTTTTTGTAGATTTAAAACCATGAAAGAATTATTAAGACATTTACAACATAAAATTACTGTCTTCAGACAATAAAAATAGAATCACCACGTAAAAAAAGAAGTACCGCAGTGTAAGAACTGCCAAGGTCTCGGACACACACATAATTACTATCACAAATCAGCTGTATGCGTTTGTAAAATTGTCCAAAATTTAAAAAGACAAAAGCAAAATGTGCAAACTGTGGTAAAAATCTCAAAGCAAACTGGATGGGTTGCTCTGCTTACAAGAAAGCAATAGAAAGAGCACACCCAAAATAAGTCTTTACTGTGCAAAGAATACAGCAGAAACCTGTCACAGCAAATGTTTCATACGCGCAGATAGCTAGCACTTCAAAAGTCGATCCAAAATCACCTCAACCAAAGGGAAACAAAGAATCGATTACTCTTAATGATATTCTAGTTGCGTTAACCAACATAACGCAGACACTAACAAATATCACATCAAGAATGGACAAACTGGAAATAAACCAGATAAATTCTAAAAATACCTCGCAGAAAATAAAAGGAATGAACAGTACACTGTGAATCATTACGTATAACGACAATGGGTTAGTACAGCGAGACAAGAAATTGAAGACCTTTTACACAGTGAAAACATTGACATAGCCCTTATTTCAGAAATTGACTTCATAACATAGACCTTTCTTAAGATAAGGAATTACAGAATATATACGACAATTCATCCTAGTGGTAGAGCTCGGGTTGGTACTGCTGTAATAATAAAGGAGTCCATAAAGAACTATGAACTCGAAAAATACTTTGTAAATCATATACAAGCAACAAGCGTCAGCGTTAATGATGGGAATAATGATCTCACCATTGCTGCAATTTATTGCCCACCACAAGGAGGTGCAGATGAAATTAAGTTCACTGAATTTCATACTTTGGGTTCTGAATTCATTGTTGGAGGTCATTATAATGCCAAGCATACTCACAGGGGATCGAGACTGATCACCCCAAAGAGATGAACCTTGTTAAAAGTTGCGAACAACATCAATGCTGAAATCATCACTACAAGTATGCCAACGTATTGCCCCACTGATCTGAACAAGATTCTCAACCTGCTTGACTTCTTTAGTCTTCAAGATAATGCATTTAAAAGTGTACATCTTAAAACTGCATGTATTATTTTCATTTATAGTTGCTAATAAATCTACATCATAAATTGTACCTTCCTCTGTAGTTGTTTATGCTGTTCTCTCTGTTAACAAATAAAATATGAATATTATTAAAAACTTACAAATGTTGTATGTCATTGAATTTGTTTATAATTTGCTTGGTAAATTAAAAAACTTTATTTTAGTTGGATACATAATCTTAAATTTTGAAATCATAAAACATACGTATAACACAACATTTATAAATAATATTATGGACTAAATAATGATGAATAAATAATCTAGTATAAATTCAATATAGTTACCTTATGACATAAATTATGGTAATTTAATAATCATATTTGATAACCAGTATTATTTAATAATTTAATCACAAATTATTACTTGTGATGCACGGTCAAAATTATACAGTTAATTTCTCAGGATTTCATATATTTAATATATTTTTCAAAAAATAATAATTATAAGTGAGATTTTTTTACATTCTAAGCATAGTTATATTATGATAAGCCTTCTTTTTGCTGCCTTCAACCATCCACAAGAAATCTTCATACAGGAATAACCTTCAGGTAGTTTTATTTTAATCAAAATAGTGGTTCTATTTTATTAACAAACTTTAGTTTAGATATTATTTATTTTTTGATATAATTGAGACAAGAAAATACTTGTTTCTTTATAATAAAAATTGTTTTTTTCTCTTACTTCATCCCAACTATTTAGGTTTTGTCACTTTTGTTCTACTCTCCACTTAACCCAATAACCGCAACTTGCATACATTTGCTGTCCTCATAAGATTCCCAATTGCATCTAACCACCTTCTTTTTTTTTTTGGTCTTTCCTCCTACGTTTGCTTTCAATACAATTTTCACTGCTTCAGATTCTTCTCTCTCTATGATAAGCCCAAACTTTGACATAATAATGAAATAAAAGAAATTATACAAAAATATCTTACCAAACACCAAGCAGTCTTACAAACAACATAATATATGAGTATATGACATTACCGTCCACTGTCCGTATTTTATTATAATTATTACATAATACATTATGAAAGGTGAGCATGAATTTAGATATACAAACACAGATATAGATAATAAATTAGACTTCTTATTATATAGTATAAATTCACAAGCAAGCCGGGCGTTGCCGCTTTTCCGCCATGTCGATTGAAGGCTATGGTATTTTATCAATTTTTATTGTTGTGATTATACACAGATAAATTTTATCATAATCATGAACTCAAGATTTCTTTTCATACTAGTTCTGCTATCTATCAACGACGTATGGCGATCTATAAGTTTAATGTCAATAATATTATCTCATAACTATACAATTTATTTATATTATTATTATTTAATAATAAATTAAACTCCACTCCAATATGGAACATCATTCAAATACCCTCATTGCTCAACTCCATACCAATGCTCTTCCGGACATCCAAGACAAACGCCTCAAACGTGAATGGCAAAAGATCTTCTCAACGCACATATAGCATAACATGTTTAATACCCCCCCCCCCCCTAAATTAACTTCCGCGTAGAAATTTCTAATGTGAAATTTCTACTCATTGTCTTTTTTCACCGCCTCCTTTCAATTATTCTCACATTTACTTATTGTACCATTATTTATAGATTGTAAATTACACCAATAAACGATTTACAAAAAAAAAAAAAAATTATCATTATTTTTTTTTTTTTTATATTAGGCATTTGACACGATTGTAGGACGCAGACCAAAAGTAGCAAAGTCTAAAACAACAAACAACTTGAGTTGTTATTTTAAATGTAAAAATTGTAAATAATGAACACAATGACTTACATTTTGAATAGTATAGGTATCGGTATAGATATGGTATCGTTTGAGTTCAATTACTTAACAATCTAGGTATTTTTGTTTTTATAAGTTTAAATCTTTGGCGCAATTTTTGTTTGTTTTAGATTTAGGCAGGGACATGCATGAAATATGAATATATTAGTTTTACAATGTTACAGCTGCAGAGTGAGTTCTCTGTTTAATAAATAATAATTATAAACATTAATTCATTAGATAATGAAACGTATGCATTACTATTCCCTGTTCGGTCATTATGAGCACGGACTCCATTTCCAAATTGACAGACCTAATAATCTATGACTGGTTTACAGATAATTATCTATAAACCTTGGGTTAGAATCACGATTTAAGATAGTGATTAAAATCAAGCATTGAGTAATTACTGCTGTAGATAATATGGTTGCGGAACGAACCGTGATAATTTGAAGTTCAAAATGTATATTGGTTTTCACACCAGCACACAGGGCTCTCTAGGTGATAAATAGTATGACTACATTTATAAATATATTATTGTTCAAGCACTTACAGGGTTACTGACGTAAAATCTAATAAATGGTAATTATTAATACAATAATATTTATGTTCGTGTATACGAATACGAATAGGTATGCAATAAATAAATAGTCAGGTTCACAGTTCTCACTCAAGTATTTTTATTTAATAATTAATTATTCAATAGGTTACAATTGTAACCAATTATCGTGATTATTGTGTATTATCAATAGTGACCAATTTTAATAATTTTTTTTCTTTTTGTTTTATTTAATTGTTTTGCATATTTTTTGTATGAAATAAGTAGACTTTATGTCGCTCTCCCTAAAATGTGAAGCACCCACCTTATAACTTTTTTTAAGAACAATTTTTCCCATTTGTTTTTTTCATATTTGTTTTAAGGGAATCCGAAAGTGGTTTTTGAAACTTTATGTGGATATTTCCTACCAAAAATTAATAATTTTCTAGAATTAAATTTAATACTACTAATACTATTTCAATTGGTATTTAACATGTATATTTGCGCGGGAAAGCTAGTTGGGTACAAATACTTATAGTTTATAGTACGTCATAATGGTCTGCATCATATCTTTAGATATGGTACAAGTTCTATTAAATACCGTAGATGGCGTAGATTCGTCATTTTAGTGACTTGATTTTTTAAAAACATTCCGGCTCGGCGTATTGTGTTGCTTACTCGTTCCGCAACCATATTATCTATAGTGTTGTGTTCTTAAAAAATCGTGATATTCTATATCGATGTTCATCATCCCTTTTTTAACAGATGGTAGATAACAACTAGAAGGTTATTATATATATATTTGATAAAACAAAAAAATTATAATTCACTATTCAAAGAGTTGTTTTTGTACGTACCAATTAAATACAAATTTATTTCACTCATTCAATCATTTCATAAAGAATAACACTAATAAATTTAATTTTAAACAAATGGCTACTCGAGAAGCCTCTAAGCATGCTACTAAAATAGTTAGACCATTATTATCATCAGATAAGTCAGAAGCGAAAAAGAGGGTTTTAAATTTATATAAAACATATTACAGACAAATTCCTTTGATGTGTAAGTATAAAATTATTAAAATATATTTAAAATGTGTCTATAATCTATATTATATTTGTATTTTTTTTTTAGTATTTGATCGTCATCTACCAGTCACAAAAGAAGAGTGCCAACAAAAGTTAAAGGAAGAGTTCTTAAAAAATAAACATGTTACTGATGTTAGAGTCATTGATATGTTAGTAATTAAGGTAAATAAAAACTAATTTTTATTTTTTTAAGGAACAGTTTAATTTACTGGGCTAGTTTTTTTTTTTTAATGCATTTTTTTTGATGCTGGTTCTGGAAATATTTTAATTTATTATTCAAACAATTGTAAAAGATAATCAATTCTTTTCTTTTTTGTTTTGAAATATTGGATTTGTTGAAGATAATAATACAATCAGAATTTTTCAGAAATTATTATTTTCAAAGTTATAGTGGTTTGAAGATTGTATGTACGTGGAACAAACTTGTGGGGGGGGGCTGCCAACCTACCTACTCTAGAATTTCCAACTCTGTACTACTGCAAGGAAGATAGTGTCCTAAATGTGAACCTAAACCTTTATGTGAGTCCAGGCCTTTGGCCACCTCTATGAACTTTGCAAGTTTACGTGAAACTTCTAAAACCATAAAGATGAACTTCAAATAATTATAATCTGTTGATTTCTAAAAAAAATTCAAATATTTAAAGAATTAGTACTGAAAAACACATCTCTTTATAGACTTATGACAAATATTGTGATTCCTTGAATAACATTAGATTGTATTGATCTATTGATCCATTATAACATTTGGGCAGTTTTTATTTAAATAGTGACATGAGTGACAAGTATTTTGAAATATTAAAAACGAACTTATACTTAAAAATATAAATACAATTATTTATTTAATATTGTATAGTTTTATTTCTAATTTCATTGAATCTATTTCACATAAATTAATTTAATAATCCATTAAAGTGGATCGACTATTTCTGCAGTCCTTATTGGGTCTCTGCATGCACCTAACTTGCTTGCGATGATTTCCTTCATAGTTCTTCCTACAACTCCTGTAATCCATATCTTTTTACTGTTCCAACTTGCTCTACTTCTCATGGTTATACCCACTCTCTCCACCACAGGCTGTGCTCCTTCCCCTTTTCACAAATACTCTCCCTTCTCTTTTTTATAATATTGATCATATTTCATCACGTATTATTGATATTTGATTAATGTTCTTATGTAATCTTTATAAAAGTGTGTACATTTTTGAAATAAATAAAATATATTTTAATTAACTAGTTGGATTAGACTTTTCTTTTTTCTAGAATTATTATCAGACTATCAACTCTTTTGGAATTCCTCATTTGGACTATAAGAAGTCATATTATTATATTATAATATGATATATTGTTAATATATTATTATTTGTTTAATATTTATTTCCAGGGTCAAATGTTGTTACAAGAAATTGTTACCAAGTGGGCTCAAGACTGTCATGTTATGTCATTATTTAAAGATACAGTTGAACATAAACAAAATGACTTTTTGTCAAAATTTATCAACAGCAATGACTCTCAGTAGTCAAACAAATTTATACAGGATTAGTTATATGTTTAGTAGTGAAATCGAATTGCATATAATTAGAAATATATAATAAAAATAATGTTAAAAAGTAGGAATTAATAAAATTTCTTTATAATTCAAATTTTTGTGATTAATTTTTAATATATAGCATAATAAAATTAAAGATGTCTCCTCATCCAATATATTTTTAATATACCAACTCAATGCCAAATTTTATGAGGTTCTAAGGATTTTTTGCATCAAATAAGTCCACTTATGTACAATAATTACCAAACTATAAATATACCTTTCTCTTTTTTATTTATCATAGTTATTTGTCAACTAATAATCTTCAATAAATAACAATTTTACTTTTTTTATTTTCTTTAGCAGTAATAATAAGAACACTAATACAATAATTTATAAACAACTATAAATTACTCAATTTGTTATCTTTTTTTTTAGAACAATTTAATTAGATAATGTACGAATGTGCCATTTCCTACATATATCCCATATAGATGTCCCTAACTAGCCTTATATAACCTTTTTAATTATTTCTTTCTTTTCTAGGTTAAGTTATGATTTTATTTTATTTTTGTCATAATTAGATATCTACTTAATAATAACCACTGCATATTTTTAAAAAAAAAAAAAGTTGTTCTATACAATTATTAGAAATTAAGATTTTAAATAAGATACAAAAAATTCTATTCAACAATTTTTACAATTGTGTACTTGGTTTTCATTATTTTTTGTAGTTTTCAAATAGATCAGAAGACATATTTAAACATATTTATAGTGCAAGTTTACCACATCTAACCTATAAAAAACTTTATATTTAAACATTAAAAATTAAGCATGTAACAAAAAAAATGTAATGTATAACACAAAAACAGAAACGCAAGGAGACCATGCGATATGTATCATGAGCCTGTTATCATAATAGATATCTAGCTACAGTATTGTAAAACTGTTATATGTTATTTATCGCCATGGGTACAGTTATTTCGAAGGTAGTTAGCATTTTACACGAGTGTCATATCTTCTTTAATGACTGTTATGATATAATTGTAGAATATTAATTAAGACATCTCTAGGTTCTTCCAGCCGTTAACAATCGTAAGGTCATAGTCAATCTTCATGAGACGATATAGCATTCCTTAATACAGTATTTTGTTTTAATAATGGTGTAACTTAATAAAGAAGGTGCAAATAGGTATCTGCATTATTCATCTGCAAATAATTATTAAAATCTTTTGGAGTACTTACTTAATACATAGACATAAAGGTAAGGTTGGGAAACAATAAAAAAATATAAATTTCACAAATAAACAAAAAATTTACCTAGGAGAAAGGCTTTAAATGAACCTGATGCGAAAGATATACAATATGAATTTTATAAGCAGGTACAGTACCTACCATTTTTACTAAATTACCTCACTATTTGAATAAAAAACCAATAAAAAGAAAGTCATCTAAAAAGAAAATAGTTTTAGCAAAAAAAATAAAGTACATAAGTTTATTAGAAAATACCAAGTTATATTTTATTAATAAAATATTCATACTATTGTTCCTATATACAGATGTCTCATAGCAAATCATGTTTTTTCTAAATATTTTTGATATTTTATTTACTCATATATATTTATTGATTATAACACTAGTATTTGAAATCAATGGCATTACATTCATATAATATGTATTCAAATTAAAAATTCAACTTGATAGTGATCAGTGCTAAACAGGCAGTCATGTCATACTTGTATCAATGTAACACCCCTTCACATAAGTCAGCCACCAGGCTGTCTTCTTATCTTGAATAGTATCCCACATATTTAATTAAGTATTCCAAAAATTTTAAAAAATATTACCCTGCAGGAACTTAATAATAATAAAAAATATCATACTCTAAGAATATTATTTAGAAAAAAAGTTATTGCAACTAATAATAAATAAGTAATAAGTTATAAATAAAGACCAGATTTAATTGATATTGCAAATTTTTTTGCAATAAAGTTAAATCAAATTTTATTATATATACTAAAAATATTCTGCCTATTTAATTTTATAATGCAATTTTTTTCAATTTTCGAAGTTTTTGCAATATTCCCACGTTTCTAAATCATAGGCGTTAATCATTTGTCTGGAATTTTCTTGAAGCTTTGAGAGCCCAGCGAGCGATAAGCGTCTATATATATATATATATGATGGCACCACCGAGAATAAATAAATACAAAAAAAAAACCTATCATTAAAAGATGAGGAACATGGTTAAATGCTGCAGTTTTCTATAATAATTTTGAAAAGTTTAAAAATGTTACTGAAGTTTGAAAGATGCTCCAAGTGTCAAATAGCTGAAACAGCTTGTGCAAAATAATGCAGATAAATGTGGTTTAGCATTCATAAAATTACACTTATCCAAAAATTTGCAAGAATCTAATAGTGAACTATTGACAATCATGGATATTTTTAAAAAAATTGAAGATATTTTAACAAATATTCATGGTACAAATGTGAAAAAAATTAAAGAAAAATGTATGTATGTAATTAAAAAAACGAAGAAAATAAAACTTTAAAGTCGTACTATGAAGTCATGTCAGATAAAGTAAATGTTAATTTAGATTTAACACCTGCTTTATTAAAATGTTTTAAATATGCACCAATAACTGGTGTACACGTAGAACGTAGTTTTTCTCTATAAAAACATATTTTAAGTAATAGAACATTTAATTTTAATGGAAATAATTAAGAAATTTATCTAATTATCAATTTTTAAAAAAATGATACAGTAATGAGACAAGCCATTTCACCTCATGAAAGGCTCACGGTGACTCTAAAATTTATCTGTTAATACACCAGACTTAATGGATTCTTTTATTTTTGTATTCTCCTTTCTATAAACGCTTCTCATATTGTTTAATTTTTTATTACGCTGTCCTTTGTGGCATTTGGTTCAACTTCTCTCTGTTGACTAATTAGGCGTACGCAGAATCGTTTTTGTTCTTGTCACGGTAATCTTTTAATTTGATGTGCCAAAGACAAAGCTTACTCTCATAAAGTTTATTAAATTCTTCAATAAATTCTCGGCTCATTTTAAACGGTAGTTTATTTAAAGGTACACACGCAGAAACAAACAAAATGAAAATAATAAGTGATATCGCATGAATCTTCAAGGGAGATCCCACAGTGCCTCTGCACGTGCGAATTTGAACTGTACAGTCTGGCCTGCACAGTTTTTCGAAAAGGATTTTCGGACTGCGCAGGCTGATATAGGCTTCAAGGCCAATCCTGCACACGTGAAGGAAATCCTCAAGGACTGGACTGCGCAGTCCAAACCTTGAGGATTTCTTCTACGTGTGTACCTACCTTTAAATTGAAAGAAGGAAATCTGGTTTATTGTCAATTATAAAACATAAGAGTTATAGAGAAAATATATTGTAAAACAAATACAGAACACATTTATACGTTTTATATGTTATATATAGAACAAAAGTCCATTGGAAGAAATATTTGCTGCGTATAGGGCTGTTGAATCTAATGTTTATGGAACAAATTATTAGTGGTACAAATATATTGTATAACAAATATTTTGTGATTAGTGAACATTTTTTCCAAAATCGTTTTGTTCTTTAGACTATTTTTTCCGAAATCATTTGTTCCAAAATACACTTCTTCCACGTTTTACTCGTGGAACAAATGTTTTTAGAACAAATGATAAAATATGAAATAAAGTCCGTCAGAACAAAAGTACTGTGAAACAAGTATTTTGTGGGACAAACGGTTACACCCGATCTATTCTGTGTTAATATCATGGTCTTAGAACATAGAAGATAAGGTTTTGAGATGTATTTAGAGACAGTTGTAATTCATAGAGTTAACAAAATTCTATGAGACAGTTCCACACTTTCACGGATTAGGATATATTAATTTTATGGATTTATATATGTGATTCTGTTAATCTATTCAGTGATATTGATTCGTTAAAACTCGAGATAAGGTAAATCCTGAAAACTTCTCACGGTCAACAATATCGTTATCATTGTTTGTTAATATCTTAATTGTTATTTGTTAGCATTGTGTATAAACTGTTAAACTCAAATTACTATCTAGTATAAATACTTAAAAATTCTTGAACCTAAATTGAAAACAAAAATATCCACGATTGTGTTTTTAATTTTTTAAATAGTGTGTTTTTCCTCACGCTGTTTTATTGTAGTTGAATAACAATGAACTCATTAGTAGCTGATTATGGAGATGAAACAGATACTGATTCAATTGATAGTGATGTAAATCAAGATGAAATTACTAAGAACATAAAGTAATTTTGATCTACTATACATTTTATAATGAATATAAACCAAAAACAAAATACTAAAATAATTTTTGTTTTATTATAATATTTACTACTTCTACAATTACAGTTTCCAAAACTCAAAACAATATGTTATTTATGTCTTAACATGTTTAGAAACTTAATAATTATTTACTACCTATTATTTTTAATTAACCAATACTTTTTTTTTTCAATTAAGACACTCGTAGCTCAATAGCTATCTAAGTCTACTGATGTGTACATTTAAATATATTTTGTATGTTTTATTCTATTTTATTTAAATAATTTTTATTGTAGAAAAACTGATCAAATTAAGCCTGAAAATAAGCTTCCTGCGCCAAGATTTAAAGAAACTGGTATCATAAATGAATCTGTCTTTAGAAATCCTTACTTGGAAGCCGAACGAGCTAAAAGTGCAGTATTAGAAAAACACGTCAAAATGGTACCTGCTAAAGATTGTCTCACTAAAGTTAATGGAAAAAATATATGTTGGATGAATAGAAAAGGTCGTTGTCGCTTTGGTAATAAATGCAAATTTGCCCATGATTCAGAATTATTTAATGGCCCTAATACGGCAAATGAAGACAAAATAAATAAAGGCAATTTTAGTTTAAATAAGAAAAAAAAAAGACCTGGGTTATCACAAAATTTAATACCAGGAAAAAAAGTACATAAATTATTAAAAAAAAACAGAAATGACTAACTTGAAATTATAAATTGTTGGTATGTTATAATTTGTTTGATAAATTATGATCATCAAATTTGAATTGTTACTCAATGTGAAATTGATCAAATTTATTTAGCCTTAAGTAAAATAAAAAGATTTTAGAATACTATTAAATTATCTAGTCATTATATATATTTCTTCAGTAGTATACATTATTTATTTATATTTGCCGATATCTGTGATGTTTTGGTTTTGTTTATTTATACTATTTTGGTAGCAATGTTCAGAATTAAATTTTTTGCATTTCTAAACACATTGATTTTTATATTGTGCTAAAAATCAGTTAACCAGTTAATCAGTTAAATAAGTGACTAATTTGTATGGAACAGGGAGTTAAACTAAAAATTATAACAATATATACAAAAATAAAATTGGATTCAATGTTATTTTAAGTGGATGGCCTTCTATGTTTTTTTACTTGCAATTTTTATATTAGAACTATTATGATTGTATTATATAACTTGAATTTTTTTTACATTGGAAATGTGCTAGTTTAAATAACAAACAAATCTTATTTATTATATATTTATGTGTATGATTTATGAATTTGTTTTCAAGCTGCTCTACAAGAGTAATATAGGGTCTTTGCAGATACAATATCTTAATTAATGCTTATTCATTTTGGTTTTTATTAACCACTTATTTGATTTATAAATAAGAATCTTTGATAAAGTTTGGTTACTTAGCAGATCTTGTTTCCAAAAATCAATAAACTAATTTATCAATCCTAGGCAAAATAACCACAGTTTTCAAGTCAAATGAAAAAATCTACTTTTTTTAAAATAATTAAATTTAGGCTGGGTCCATTTCTAGATGAGAAATTAGGTAGATTTACTTCAGGAAAATAATACTTAAAATCAACTAATGGAAATATTAAATAATTTAATTATTTTGTTATTTCTGATTTTTGATTCTCTGTAGATTTTTTTGGCAACAAGGACTCCGCGAACAAAAGGTATTGAGAATTCTTGCTTTATACTATAGATCTTGTTCCGTGGTAGATAATGCATGTATATCGATAAAATAAATATATTTTTCCAATATAGAGATTTGCTATATTTTTAAATCACCAAACTGGACATATATATTATGTAGAAATGTAATTTATTAATACTTGTCATTATCATTATAATAATATTTATTATAATGATAATACATATATAGATTATGTTTCATAGTTCATTATTAAATAAGATTATTGAATTTGTTGTTATATAATAAAATGAAATGTTATTTTCTCCCAGCCACTAATAACTAGGTCAAACTGAATGACAGCTTGAGACTGTCCAGGTCAAAAATATGTCTGGAATTATTCTTACTTATATATATAAGAAAAAATTAAAATAGGTACCTTAGTTTAATATACTTTTTAAGTTTATAGGAATTGTTTAACATTTTTGGGCTGGCAAAAATAATTAAATGAATGTGTTATTTGTTGTACCTAATACACCAAATGGATAAGAGCAATGGTAGCGCAGAGTGTTTTCCTTATAAAGCAATTTCGGTAAAATTGCAACAAGCATCATACAACCCAAGTCCAAAAAGAATTAAATGTGGTAGGTAACTAAGGTTATTAGATATTCTTGTACTAAACCTTTTTCTTTAACATATGTAATGTGTAATGATAAAGTACCACACATATACCAACCCACTTAAGTTATAAAAAAGATGTTTCATATAATACTTATTAATACTGCTACTAATTACGAGTAGGTATACACATTTCTATATCATATTATCCTCCTTAGTTGAAATGACAAATAACAAAAAAATCTCCTTTTTCTCTTGATCTTCAATTTATTTGTAAGTTTACATACATTCACCCAGGTATGTATACAAAAAAAAAAAAATGTCTGGATAGGTTTATAAGTAAAAAACATTGTTAAATATAGAACTAGTATATGTTTTAATGTGTTAATACGTTCACTGTCAGTGCTGGCCCAATAGATTTCGGGGCTCTGAGCAGAAATTTGCAGGGCCTCATATATATCTATTAATTTTATTTTTATATAATTTTATAACTTCTTGGTCTTGTTAGAAATTTAAATTTCTACCTATATAATATAAACTAATAAAATGTATATATTTATTTATATACATTTTTTATTAAACAGAAAATTAGTAGGTAGGTAAGTAGTAGGTACCTACTTAGATACAAACAATATTTTATTAGATAATATTTTTATTATATTGATCACTATAACATAAATATGACATAATAAGTAAACTTTTACTTTAAATAAAATTATAAACATAGATTATTGTTATATAACTGATAATACCTATTAAATATTACTTGAAACATTTTTTTTTCTGTAAACAGGTCAATTGTCTCATTATAGTTCAAAGAATCTATAGTATTAGGTTCAATAATGATAAAATATGTCTGAGTGTTTTTAAACCAATAACAATGTGTTTAGCTATGAATAATTGGTACCATCTTGATTTTCCTCGATAACAACACGTATCCTAAGAAAACCACACAGCTACATGGGTTGCAATTTGCGTACTATTAGAACAATATTATTATGATTATAAATAAAGTGATATTTGAAATAGATAATTTTCAGAGGTCAGCACTGTTCAGTGTAAGGTAAATGATTTAACCTCTAACCCCCTGTATATACCTATAAAGATTTAACTAAATAGATTGTAAATACCCCAGAATAAATACTAAAATTAAAGATTTAAAAGTTATTTTTAATCTTAGAAAACCAATAAATGTATAGTATGTATGCATGTATTGACCATACAATTATTAAATTATAAAAATAATAATATACATAACATGTACATTGTACATCTGCTTAATTTCTCATTTGAGTGTAGGGTTACCAATCAGCTAGCCTTGTTTTGGTTTGTCTTACGTCCTTAAACATTTTAAACTTTAAAGTTGTTTTGTTCTTTTATTAGTTTCATATACTGAAGGAACTATTAATAATAAAAATATTATTACACAAATTCTTTTTCAAACTATTTGTCTTAGTGGTATATTATAAAGAAAGGTGACAAAGAGTTTTTTTTTTGGTCCTATCTTCACATTTAAATAATTGGCACTCTTAATTGAACATTAATTGAAAATAATCACAGCAGACATAATTCATAACACATACCTATTAATTAATTAAGTATTAGAGAAACAGTTTTTTAAGAGATAAAATTAAACTTTTTAAAAATGACATATGTCAAAGCACAATTTGGGTTATACTTTAAGTTATTAGTTACACAATATACAAACAAATATTTTCTTTACTCTCTATTTTTCAAGATAAATAAAATAATTATTTGTAAAAAACAAATAAAATTTAAAATATATTTAAAATTGATAACTATTAAAATAAGACAAAATATATCAAATATGTTGAGTAAATTATTAGTATTCAATATTACTTAATATAAAAAATTGAAAGAATATTGTACATGTTGTTTATTATATGTAAAATTCCTAACAATTTTATATTTTCAATACCTATAAGTAAGCAAAATTTAAAAGTATTAAAAAGTTTGTTTTATTAAAAACTTTTTACAATTTTAAATCAATATAGTAGTTTATACTAAGATCGCCTCATAGCTAACATAGTATTTATTTCCCAAATAATTCTACGAAGATGATCAATTATTTCTTTTAAATGTCTATTTTTATTACTTAGCTGTTCAGCTACATCTTTCATTTCATCACTAGCAATACGATAAGTTTCACTAGTTTTTCTTTCTTCAGATTTCATATCCCATTCTTCTTGAAGTGGAATTAATCCTTCCATGTGCATATATTCCATGCCTTGTAATTGACAGCTATCATTACATTTTTCATATATAATTCTTAGTCTTTTGAATAATAATTTTATATTTCTTAACTGATCTTGCATTTTAATACGTCTTTCATTGCTCATATTAGCTCCAGTAGGAGTACCATTGGGTGGCATCAAAACCTTTAGTATCTGAAACACTTCATGTGTACGGGATACTATCTCTTGTACAGTTTCTTGTCCAAAGCGGCATAAAGATGCAGTATTAAATTGATGGCCAGACGCAGACTGATTTTGGTTAGAAGGTGGAACTGGCGGCTGAGAAACTGAACCTACAGGAGTTTGGTTAAGAGGAACTTGTGGTACTAATACATTGTGTTGGCCAGGAACCTGAGTTTGTATATTTGATTGTAAACCAGGTCCTACATTGAAACTCGGTTGACCAACCATGCCAGTTTGAGATGATTGCATATTGATACAATTACTTAATAATACTTTATACACGTATGCAATTAATGAAAAATTAATTTTATATTAGATGATACATTAGACTAGTATTATATGGAAAATTATTTTAAATTTATTATCAGATTAATTCACATTGATTATAACAAAGAGGGATGGAAATTAGTCATACGCAGTCGAATAGTCCACCGTCGTTATCATTTTGTTGTTATCAAAAAAATACGTTATCATTTTATCACCATTACATTATTATATTCATATTTATTATTTTATGCTAATTAGCAATTACACTTTGTTTAAAATGTTTGGGAATTTTAAAACACAGTAAGTATATTTTGTACTTCATAACTTCACGAGTACTTAACATTATGTTCATTAGTGTTTATAACAAGTTGAAATAAACCATATCGTAAAACCAATTCCTTCATGCTTTGTTTAATAAAAATGTCCCTTAATTTACGAGAAGTCATGTTACAAGATACAAATTATTTAAAACTCACAAAAACCTATCTGTGAACAAATATTATTAAACAATAATAACTAATTTAAAAATATATAATAATTTGCACAGTATATTATGTAATAAAAATGTCTATTTGAAAAAATGTTTGTCATGTACTTAATAATAAATAATGATAATGTTACATTTTACCCAAGTTTCTTTTTTTATAAATACGTATGAACATAGTGTACATAGCACAATATATACCAAAATCTCATATAAAAAAAAACTTGGATAAAATGTATTATTATTATTAAAAACAACTTTAATAATAATAGTTCTTAAAATATTAAGTATACTTCCGAAAATGATAGGTTCGCGACTTGACCGAGGATTTTCACTTAGAACAGTTTTATGATTGGAATTATGTATGTGTATATATTTTTGAGTAAAATAATGGTTTTCCAATGATGAATATTTTTTTTATAAAATATATATAGGCATTATATATTAGTCCAGTAGTTTTTACAGTTAGCGGTAGTGGTAGCAACGAAAAACGCGTCGTCTCTTTATATTATAACAAAATAAGTATTAAAAAGACATCCTAGAATAATGGAGACGGGTGCAACCACTGTTATAGGCATAAAATAAAGATATTATTAATACTAGTAAGATACTGGTTTTAGGCAATTCAATGTATACTGTAAGCAACAATAAACCGTTGCTAACGAAAAAACGATTCTGAGCGCTATTCAGTTAATAGTGATAATTTGTCAACAATACATTAACGCACATTGGATGTGAATTTAGTGAGTGCTAGATTAGTTTATGGTACACAGATTTATGTCTTTCACTCCCCCCCCCCTAGTATTATAATAAACTACATTACCAATAATTGTAAACTTTTATACAAACTCAGTTAAAAAGAACATAATTTTGTAGCTAATCGTTTTAAATATAAATATACAGTAAGATAATAAGATTTCCTGTATGATTGCTGTTTTTTTTTCGACGAAAACTGAAACATTCATTCACATAATACTGTTTTAATCGTAATTTCCTGAACTTGTAATAAAAAAAAATACATATTCTATTTAAACTAATAAACCGCAATAATTTAAAATTATTGGTGAAATACTGAAATAATTCATAAATTATTCAGGGATATTGGGGGTGCTAAGCACCTCCTTGTACCCCCTTATGAGCATCTAAGAATATATATGTTATATAGGCCATATTATGATAAAATAATTAAGTAAACATATATTATTTTCAAAAATATTTTAGATTCTGAGTGGAGTGAAGTTTTAAGATGGTTTTACAAAGATGTTAATTTTTTTTTATTTGTGCGCAACTTTTATACCATAAGATTTGTTCGGACTTCTACGTGTAGTATTTTTTCTGAAAGAAAATCGGCGTGGGGAGGTACTTTAGCGGGGTCATTTTTCGATTTTACCAAGAGTTTTCCCAGGAAATAGAAAAAACCGGAATAAAACACGGAAAAACATAGGAAAATTTAGAAAATCGGTACATTTAACAAATTTTATTGAAGAAAGTATATAGAGCCTATTTAATTATTTTTTTAAAATAAAATTACATATATATTGTTGACAAAGTATCACTATCAATTGAACTCCGCTCAGAATTGTTTTTTCGTAAGCAGTAGTTTATCGTTGCTTACAGATGTACATTAAATTCCCGTCTATATCCTGCCTTTTCAACTTCCCACCTACATCAGTGGCTGCACCCGTCCCATGATCTTTTCTTTATTTTTTTAATATTATATCGATTTCCCAATGTTTTTTTTCCGGTTTTTTACATTTGTTTCACTAGGTTAGATTCTGATTTCACCAAAATGTTAAATATATAATTACTACCATATCTAAAAAAATTCAAAAATTTAGATTTTTGGCGTTTTAAACTTAAAAACACAATATTTAAAAAATTGAGTATTTTGAAGTTTTTGACTGTAACTTCCAAATGAAGTTTGAGCGACTTTTTTTGAAATTAGTATCAATTTAAACATGCAAAAATACACATTTTGGGAAAATTTTTTTTAAAAAAATCTAAGTATCCAAAATGCAATACATATGTTATATATAGGTTACATTATTGGATGTAGAATACTCATTAAATTGAAAACTATCAACATTTTTGAAAAAAATTAACTTTTAAAAATTTTTTTTACTATTTTTTTTGGATTTATTTAAAAATTTAACTTTAATTGAATTTTAAAATACTAACTGGCATACCAAAAATACTCTAAAGCTCTAAGATAATGAGACAATTTAAAGGATTCAGAGCACGTTTGGAGTTTACCTTAAAGAGGACACATTTTTAAGTGCAATCAGAGATAGGAAGGACATTAACACCTGATGACCATATAATATACGAAAACCAAAATCATCCAGTTCCTTACATATCGCTTGTTAGTTATTTCACTTTCTTTGGCCAATTATTTTAATCAATAATAAAAAATTGTGCAAGTTCAGTATTATAATTTGTATATTTCTTAGAACTATTAAAGAATTTATAATGTATTACTATAATTATTGTTCTAGACCAAATGATTATTTCAATAAATTCAAAATTAACAAAATTATCTTTATTATTAAAAAACAATACAACTATTATTTCTAATAGTACTTCAAAAATAAAAATACACATATAAATTATATATACAACCAACAATCATCCATTTATAAGATCAATATTTTGACAGTCTATTTTTAATTGTACCAGTGATAAAAGTATAATAAAATATAAAAATATATCCAATGGAGATATATGTATATATCCATCCAACCAATATAAATATAAGTAAATAATTCAAATATATTATAAATATAAAATTTTAATTTTACAATTAAGTAATAAAATAATTAACAAAAAAAAAAATAATAATAATGATAAATAAATAAATACTGAATGCTATCGTTTAAAACCTAACTTGATGTATTCCTCTAACATTGCAGTAGAGGATATTCGACAAAAAACTGATTCTTCAGGAGTGACCTACAGAAAACAAATTTCACACCAATAGGTTAATAATATTGTTGATTTATGATATTTGATTACTATTCTAAATACTTTTATAAAGTTATGTTCTAGTAGTTCTGAAACGGTAGCCCTTTTATATGGATTATGCTGCAGACATCTGTTGACAAACTCTTGACCCTCTTCACTTAACGTATCTGGTATGGTGGGCAAAACGCCCATGCCCACTTTGAACATGATTTGATAATTTGAATCATACTCATGCCAAGGTCTCTGTAAACGAAAGTAAATAGTTTTTTGATCACAGACAACATATTGTTCTACTAAGAGCTTGTACTTTGCCTGATGCCATTTCAATTATAACGCATCCTATTGACCAAATATCAACTGCTCTGCCATGTCCTTCTGTATTAGATTTCATAAAAACTTCTGGCGCCATATATGCTGACAATATTTCATACAGTTGTTAAATAGAGTAATTATTTAATAGCCTTATGTATGATTTGTTACCTTGTGTTCCAACAAATCCTTTTAGTTCACCAGGCACAGTGGTTTGCGATTTCATTTTTACTGCAGAACCAAAATCACCCAATTTTAAACAGTTTCCACCATCAGTCAAAAATATATTTGCACCTAATTATAAAAGACAAGGAAAAATATAGATTTAAAATTTTTTTGCGTGAATATCATACTTTTAATATCTCTGTGAACAATAGCGTGTCGATGTAAAATATCCACACCACTGACTAACTGTTTAGCAAATCTACGCACGAGACCTTCTGGCATTCCATTCTCTGTAGCAGCAACTAAATTTTCTAATGTCCCTTCAGCACACAACTCCATAAATATTAACATCTCTTCCTATATAAAGAATATTCAAAGTGTAATAATAATTTTTACTCCAATAAGCCAATTAATAATTTACCCTATGAATTTCTACTCCATAATATTTCACGAGGTTAGTATGAGTAATGCCTTCAAATATTCTAAGTTCTACGGCTACATTTCTAATGGCCTTATGGTCAAACGGCTGTAATTGTATTTCTTTCATGGCCATCAGTTCTCCGGTTTCATTGTTGACAGCAGTGTAAACCTTGCCAAAACGACCCTGTCCTATTTTTATACCTCTCTGCCAACTAAAATGAACTGGACGGGGCCGAACATATTCAATACGTTCAATATTGTAATCATGCCGAACCTGACCGATTAACTCTTGTGATCTTAACTTTTCTTCTAAGTTATGATCTAGTTTATTAACAGCATCCATTACACGTACGTTTCTCTCAATGGCTACAACATTTATCATTTAAAACACAAGTTAATAAAACTAAATTATGTCAACAATAATTATTGTTATTACCACTTTTAAAAGATTTTTCGGTCTTTAAAATTTTATTCCTGCCTTCAATTACGGAAGAATTTCGTTTTATAGGTTTTGAACTCTGATTTGAAAAGGATGAAGAACCATCATCAGTTTTTCCAATAATATATACTATACAATTTTCTATCAAAATATTAAAATCCTATATGAAAAATTACATTATATTATTTATTAAATTTCATGTAGGTCTATGTTTATAATATAGAATGATATATTTATCACAATCTACCAATTTTCTTTGAGGATTTTAAGTGGATTTAATTTTTCTATGTTTTAACCATTATGGAATTGTTTAAGCTCTATTTTTACATTATTTTCATCCTACTCCTTATATATTTTGGATTTTTAAATAGAAACCTCCCAACAGAATTAATACAGATTCAAATATAGATAATATTTTCAACATTTTGTTATGCACAACACTTCTATCAAATAAACTAATAACAAGTTATTGGACAGTTAATAAATTATTTATATTTCGTTATTAAAAAATTATGGCATATGCAGATAAATAGTTAACATATTGATAAGTGTGACAGATAATTTAGACCTAAAGTAGGTAAGGAATATCAATTTATCATCTAAAAATTGATATGAAGTTTATAACCCTTTCCTACTCTACCTGTCTAAATTTTTAACAGACATAACTCATAAACTATGAATCCAATATAAATTATATACATATAATAATGTTTTGAAGAATTTTATCTATTTGAATTTGGGATATATATTTAATAAACATTCACTGTGTATATTCATTCAAGGTGTAAAAACTAAGGAGTATGAGTTAAAATGTGAAGATAGTGTTGAAATACAAACAAATTCATAATGGTAAAAAAAAATCAAATTCTCTGTGAAAATTGATGAATCACGGTAAATTAATTACCCTGAATGTACCTTAAATTCTTCATCGCTGAGTCCAGCAATATTCTGAGGTTCACAAACACTAAGTAAAAAATCCAATCCATTATTTGCCCATTTAGGCTTTAAACCCCGCCCAGGTTCACAACGTTTGTGTACAAAATTTATCCAACGTTTTGAAATGGATACATTGTAAAGAGTTGCTTGGTCTTGGTACGGACCACACAAAATTTTGTTAGTTTCTTTGTGATACTAATAAATATACAAAAATAGATTAGATTAATGATTAAAAAAAATGTTATGTTCATATAAGATTGCACCATCTAAGTTAATTAAAAAATATTCTAATTAGAAGATTGACAAAAAATTGTTATCTTTTTGGTTGCAAATCTTATTTAAAAAAAACATATTTTATATTGTATATTAATAAATAAATAAATGTATAAACAGAGTGATTCACTCTAAGTGTGTTCACCCTATTTTTTCAGTTAAATTTTTCAAGTATTAAAATTTCGATTTTTGGACTTTTTAAATGTAGTTAAAGCCAATATTTTCGTATGCTTAGATTTTTGACAACATTTAAAGAGTATCCAGTGGTAACTTTGGTTTTTCAAATGTTACCCTATGTTAAAAATTCCATAAATATATGGAGTATTAATTTAAATGAATTATGGTGTCGACATTTTTGATTTCCATCAACCGTTTATGAGATATTCCACTTTAAAATTTAGGTAGGGGGAGAGTAGTGGAGTATCATTTGTGAGGCGCCACTACTCTTCTCCAGTAGTGGAGCGCTCCACTATTCTTCTCCTACCATAACTCAAAAGTTGAATATCTCGTCAACAGTTTGACTAAAAAAATGTATTTCTGTTCTCCTGCGTGAATACTGCTTTGTACTTTTTAGGTCTGTTGTTATTCTCCGTGTTATTTCTGGTGGGGAAATGCTTGATAGGCAGTATATCTTGTTTATCTGTGTTGGACGAAAGCATCCTGTTACTGCTCTACAGGTATCATTAAGTACAATGTTTACGTGTTTGACATGTTTTAACCTACTCCACACTGGGTAATGCTGGGCAAATGCTGTTGTACGCGTTGTGTGTGGCCGTACTCCCCATTGAGTAGCCAAAGTTTCATAAGTTTTTTTTAGTATGTACTTTCATTTTCGTTTTTATGCAATTTTCATTTTATGTTAGGGTCCTGTCTAGTGTTACTCCAACATAAACTGGGTAGTCAGTGTAGGGTAGCTAGTTGCCAAGCCATTTAATATCAATTCGCTTTTTAGCATCTGTTTCTTATGTAAAAAAAACACACTTGTGTTTTGCTTGGATTCAGTTTCAGCTGATTTTTAATATAATATTTGTTCACAAATTCTAGGGAATTGACTAGTTTATCTTGGACTTTCTCAAAAGATGTATCGTAGACTGTAATTGTCAGGTGGTCTGCATAGAAGTGCTTTGTATTTTTCAGTATAGACTAATCATTAATGTACAAATTAAAAAGCATTAGGGCCAGGACACTTCCCTGTGATAGGCCATTATGATGCCTTCTCCATCTGTTGTTTAGTGTCACTGTAAAGAGTCAATTTTGTAACAAAGATGTCACTATTTGTACAAACTCCCAATCTTTAGTTTAATATTATATTTTCTGTAGTATAGCAGTTTATCATTAATATGTTAGAATTGTATAGAATATATAGTTTAGAAGTTTGTATGAAAAACCATACAGATCACATTTTTTTCAAAAAAAAAAAAAACCTCTTAAGGCGCAAGTTAAAATTCTTTCATATATTTTAACACTTTTGAAGATATTAACAATTTTTAATGGCATTTGAATCAAAATTAAAACTAATATTTCTTGTATATACCTATATTCTATTTCTTCAATGTAGTTCTTTCTTTTGCTTTATATTTTAACTGTTCTGTATTGAATTTAGGCACTCAGAAGATACTCTATTGTCAAAAAAAGATAATTTAATAAATGTCTCATTTAAATCACAGAATGTCTTGAGAAGCTTTTAATAGTGGCATTGACAATAACTTTTTTTGATTTTTTGGTATTCATCAAGTCCCTTTAAAAAAGATTTGGATTTTTGTAAGGAGCTATTTCTCTACATGAATACTATTACTTAGCATAAATGTATAGCCCAATAACTTTGAAAACTCAAATATTAGATAGTTCTGGACTTTCAACTGTAATCAAAATAAGTAGATTTTCAAACATTAAATTAACTTGACTATGTATCTGACTTAAAATCTCAAGGTCTATAATAATCATTTGCAATTTTATCTTCTAAGATTAGAAACTTGAAACTCTTATCAACGCATTTAAAAATTCTTAATAAAAATTTCAAATACGTGATGTCGACATGCTAAACATAATGGTCTTTTGATATTTTTTTTTCAAGTAAATATAAATTTCCATCATTAATATTAGCTGTTGTAGTAAATAACATTAAATGAGTATGTTCAGTTAATTCCATTATTCTATTAACATACACTGCAGTTTCTTGTGCTTGCCCATTCCATTTTGAATTATTTGTACATCCAAGTTATTTTATAATATCCACTCCTGATGTTACAATAATTACAAGACAATTGACTGCAATCAAACTGAAAATTATCTTTTGAGATTAAAGATGGATACCATTTTCTGTCCCCAAGCCAATAAAGAACAGTTAAAACAAATATAGTTCTTATTTATTTGCATAGTCAGCATATTAACTTCAGTTAGTGAGCACAAATGTTATATCAGTTTGTTAATAACATTGATAACATGAATACATTGTACAAACTCTATTAACCAAATCTGATAAAACTTTCACAAAATATATTTTATACCAAACATGGAGAACATTCTGAGAATGTGAGACCAAAGAAGTATTTAACTAAGGTTTTTTAAGTGGAGCGAGGAGTTAAACAATGATGTTTATTTTTTTTTTAATTCTAAGTGGAGCGAGAACAGGGAAATGTATTTTTTTATACTTTTTTCCTGTAATAATTTTTCTAGAATTTTGCTCTAAATTTCAAATGTAACACTTTTTCTGAAAAAATCTAACTGGGATGGTAGTTTAGTGAGATCATTTTTGATTTTTCCAACTGTTTTCATAATAAATGTAAAAAACAGGAAAGTTTAAAAAATGTATTGTTCTCAATTTTTTGTTATTTTTGCTTTGTATTGATCAATTTAAAAATATTTGTAGACTTAAGGTCTGGACAAAAAGCTTATATTTGCCTTTTCTAAATGTGGTAAAATTTTCTAAATATTGTAGCCATTTTGAGCTATAGACATTTTAATATTATGTAATTTTTTTTGGTAGGTACTCTTCTGTGAATAAAATTATTAAACCAAACAGAAATACTTAAAAATTCAACAAGAGGTTTATTATAAGTCGTACTACGTGAAAAAAAATTGAATGTAATATAGAATTTTTTACAGCATATTAGACTGTCATCATTGATGTAAGATAGGTACAATATTAAAAAAATATTATTTAAGAAATAATATAATGCATATGCAATTATTTTACCATAATATAACATATATATATATATATATATATATATATATATATTATTGACAAAGCAATGCTATTAACTGAACTTTGCTCAAAATTGTTAATTGTCGCGCAAATATAAATTAAATTTCTCCGTTACCTTTCCCCCAACAATATTAGTTCAATCATGGTGAGAAGTATTTTTGTATTTTTTATTTCACTTTATAATAGATGTATACTTATATAACAGACAATGCTTAAGTAGAACACATCAAAAAAAAAATTTAAAGTTTTAACTTAAGATTTAAAGTATTTTAAAAGAAAATTATACGTACTTCAAATCCAAATTTATACATTTGGTGCAAAACTTCACGTATACGAGGTGCTAGAGTTACATCATCAATGTCATTACTGCAACTATCAACTGTTTCTTCTATAGAAGCGATTATTTCAATAATACAATGACAAACTTCTAATAACTTTTCCTGTGACAGTACAATAGAATGTCCATTAAGTTTTAAAAAAATGTCAATATTAAATCAAGTTTACAAAAAATTACTTTTATTAAGCAAAATATGTACATTTTGATAACCATGTCATCATTGCACATAGTGAAAAACACGGTCCAAAAATTGCATTTGCTAAAAATATAAAAGTAATTTTTTGTGAATAAAAATTATATTAAATTATAATAATTTATGAGATAATTGCATACTTTTAAAGGTATCATTGTAGTCAAAATAGGAGGCAAAGGTCCATCAAATTTAACATTGTTTATTTTATCTTTTTTATATTGTTCAATCATATTTTTACAAATATTTTTAACCAGTGACATTACAAGAAATGATTTTTCTCTGAATATACTCAGTGAATTTTGTAATTCTCTGCATATGACTAATAAGTTTTGCCTAAAAGTATAAACATTTAAATGTATTATATATTTTTAATAGCATAATATTTTGATAGCTATGTATACTAAGAATTACTTGGTTTGAGAATGATCAACATTTTTTACTATCATCTTAGTTTGATCAAGAGTGTTCTCTTTATAATGTTTTAATATTGTTTCTAGCATATGTTTTGCAATTTGACTAAATATAAAAAATAATAATATTAAACAAATTCTTAGGTGTTCTTGTAGTTTCAATCAATATTCCCCAAAAAAATTCAATTTTTTTTTTATTATTCAAGGGAAATATTCAAAATATTTCTTCAGTATCTAATACTATAAATAGCAAAGTCAAATCATAAATCGTTGTAATCTTTCTACTTTGGATAAATCACATATTTATAACTAGGGAAGGAGTGGATTTATGTGTAAATGCATACATTTATTAGAATAAGCTATTTGAAATCTAATAATACATTTTTATAAGATCATTTTTATTAAATTAATAACAATTGTAAATTTGTTAAAAATTTTCAATGTTTAAAAATGGACTCATAGATTATTGGAGGAAGTTAACGTTCAAACACATTATATAACTTCTGATCATTCAGTGCAATGAGAAAAATATGAATTCAATGACAATAATATTTTTATGGTTACCCTGAAATTTGAATTTTCCCAGAATTGTTTTCTAGTTCACCAGAGTAAACAAATGTATGGGTTACTATTATAGTATAACCCTTGTAATCTGTCACCTTAGAGACTGGGCTTATGGTTGGAACACTGAAAGGTAGGATTATCAGAAAATACAAATTTACAATATATATGTAAAATGTATCTTAAATAATTCACTGTACATACATTAATACTGTATAAGGTAAGCCTATAGAACAAAACTTGATTTTGATACCATATATAATTTAAAAAGGTTCAAATGTATTTTTAAAGCAATATATTAAATATCAGTTCCATTACTTATGATAATACTACAGTCGGACCAGCCAAGAAAGTTAAGTTATGGGTTAAACTGCAGGTATTTGTTTTTTATCTATACCTTTTCTACACGAAATCTTGCTCCAATCAAAAAAGTAACCTTTATTATTGTATTTTTGTATCTATTCGGTGCACACAAAATAGGAAAATTTGTATTTTTCAATATAATTGGGAATAATCAGAAACACCTGCAGTCAACAATCAAATGGTCCAGTATATGACCATGATTTGGGTTGTTGGCATAGAAGAAAAAAACTAAGAGATAGACAAACTTACAGGAATACCAAGGATGATAAATTTTGTGAAAGCACAAAGAATTAAATGGTTCACATATGTGATAGGGTGATCAACCTCAAAGAATCTAAAAGCAACGGTAGAATGGAAGTCAACGAAGGAAAAGGAAGTCCAAGAAAACGAATGGGTTAATGGAATAAGAAAGGATATGGAGAAACTAGGTGTAATGGATTGAAAAATAAAAGTAAATAACCACGAAGAGTGGAAAAAAGTGGTGGCAAAAACTTTTATATAGTTATGCCAGGAAGAAGAAAAAAATATTATATGCATAATATAGTATTTTTAGAATCATATTTTGAAGATATTATGTGAACACAAATTAGTTTGTTTTTTATTTAAAACTGAATGTTTTATAATTTTAATTTTGTAATGTTAGTTCTAATAATAACATACCAGAATGTTTTTGTGACTGTTGTCATAGCATCTGGTATATGAGGTATAATAACCTTCATATCATTCCATTCTTCTTCTAGTATATTTTTTTGCGCTTTACAATATCCCATCATAACTACCCATTGCTCCATGTAACCCAAATAAACGTCCAAAACAATTTTGGTACACTCATCAAAGTGGCTAATACGTTCTTGGAATATTTTCATCCCAATATCTTTATCATACCATAATGTTGATTGTATGTGACGAACAAAACGTTTCCTAAGTACAACAGCCAGCATTAAACCTTCTTTTAACTCGCAGGTCAGCTAAAATTGTTAAATATTAACATAAACATAAAATATATTTAATCAGAAGTATTTTTTTTTTTATTACTTGTCTTATGCTCATTATTGAAGGTTTCTCCGGTCTAGTATCAAGTCTCATACGAAGATAAGCATGAATAAGATCCAATGGAATACGTGACAAAAAAATGAATGTTGCTCTATACGAAGGCAAGTTCAATTCTTTTGATTCTTGACTCCAATAACCATAACGCAATAGTTCTTCGTCGTGAGGAATGAGATTTTTATTATCTTCTTCCTAAAAAATTATTTAATTCTTTAAAAACTTTACAAAATTATTTTAGTCAGTATTAAATATTAAATTACTTACTATTGTTGACTGGTCTTTAAGGGTTAAATGCGCCTTACGTAATACATTTTTATATAAATCATCGAGAAAGTTTAAAGCTTTTCTCAAACCCTTGGTCTTTAAAACTCCAGCAATAAATTGTCTAAAACATAAACACAAATTATTTGAATTGTCTTATCAAAATATATATACATATATTATATTTAATAAATCCTGAATAAAATTTAACATAATTTTGGTATAAATCTAATTTACTAGACATCTTTTTTTCTTTCAGAATACATATTTTTAGAACTGAATTTAAAATAGTTAAATTTTTTGGGGCAAAAAGGATGTCCAGGGGAATATACTTGTTTCATAATTTGTAACAATTATGTATAAAACAAAATATTACTAACCTGTAGGTTTGAGATGCGTAACATGATGAATTTACACCAATTGTGTATGGGAAAAAATGTTGTCTTAGGTGAGCTATAGGCTGGGTGTTATATAAATCAAGATCTTTATATGATATTGGTTCTCGATAATTAGCAGTATTTCTCTTGAACTTAAATTCATGATTTTCTATTGACAATTTAAATAGATTATTTAGAAAAAGTTGTCCAATAGTTTATACAAATATTATGATTTGTTTTAAATTTAAAAGTTTATTAACACTAATTAAATTACCAATACTTGTTCTAGGAGAAGGAGTTAATGAACCTTTACCACTATCATTTGATGCACTAAAATACAAACAGATACAAATAATTTTAAATGATACACTATTCACTATTGTACTTCTTTCATTACTTTGGAGAATCTGAACTACAACTACTAGTTGCCATCAAATGATTTAATGGTTCCAATTCTACTTCTTCTTCTTTCATTAAATGGCGACCTAAAATTAACAACATCAACCGCTGTCTCTTTGTCATGTTGTACCATACACACAACGCCTGTGAATTAAATTAAATTTAAGTCAAACTACTAGCTACTACTCAATTTTTAATTTAACAATATTCTACACAATGTACACAAATTGTGTTCTATACACACTTACTATAATATGTTTTATGAATAAAAACATTTTTTATTATATTAATATTTTTATTTAGGTACTTTAATTATATAAATCTAATTAAAAAAAATATATTTTTAAATGTATTTTTATCAATACAATAGTTTTGGTATTACAGAACAAAATAAAATAACAGATGTTATTATGATCTACTTATAAAATATTTAAGTAGTCAACGACTAAAATATAAAAACACATGGATGAAAATGTTACCTTAACTCGATTAGTGAATTCAGCACTTTTAAATACAGGATATTGTGCAGCAAATGCTCTACTTGATGGAAATAATGATTCAGCATACTCTAATCGTTCCATAAATTTTTGTACTTGAGATAAAGCCAAATTTTGTTGTTCAATACATCTAGAACAGAATAATACAAGACATCCACTGCGACATGAACACTCGCCAAGATTTTCGTCTATAAAATTCATATTATTCATATCAATTTGTATAAATTAATAGAGTACAAAATTTAATATTTTACCAGAAGTATTATTGGTTTCATTACAAGATTTATTTGAAGGTAATACATTAAATCTGAAACTAAAATTAGATTATTAGTTTAAAATATTATATTTACTAATAATACCTAGTATACCTAAAATTTATAATTTCATCGAGTAGTGTACAAATATTTTTTCTTTCTTCACAAAGATATTTGTCTTGGCTCATTATAGTTCGATCAGTTAGTCTAGCTCGCAATTCTAACCATATTAAGTCTTTAAGTTCACTCTGCCATAAAACTTCTTCTTGGCTTAACTAGGAGAAAATAAATTTTTTTTTATTTTTATTTACAAGATTTATACAATCTACACTGCTAGGTGCAATAAGTACAATTGAGGGTATTTTATATACATGATTTAAATAGAATGAAAAGTAAGATAAAACCCAGTGGTATCAGTCTATAAAATTAACATATACTTTATTTCCTTTTCAGAGGCATTCCATTTATTTAATTAGGTCACAGCACCATTTCTGCTGTAAATGATGGGTTAGGATGCTTGGTATTTCATAGAATAAAAGAGCTGATACAAGCAGATTGCTATGGTGAATAAGTTTTTTAATGATTTTTTTTGTAAGAAATTTTCGCAGAATTGATTACGGTAAGTATTTTTAAATCTTTATGAATAATATCATTTTGGATGTAAAAAATATAAAGTATCAAATAACTAACTTAACAAAAATAATAACATTTATTAAATACAAATACATATTTATATTAATATTACATACTATATATAATTTAATTTTTACTTGTCTATTGAGTTCACATGAACCCGTGACCTTTTCACAATTTGCTAGACATTTGAGTTTATTGTAGAAAGCAATTCTATTGACATCTTCTGACTTTGATAACTTGTCATTAATAAATTTTCGACAAACAACTAGTTTGGAACCAACACTCCAAAACCGGTTATTTGTCTCTACCTATGAAAAATCAATGAAATAACACATAAATTAAAATTGAAACATAATAGCAATTCCATTGAGTAGACTGATACATACTTTAAATTTATTAAGTGGTTCATCAGAATGTTCCAATTGATTCTGGTCTGTAACAACTGAATTCTGAACCTTACTTTGTTCGTTGACTTCAAAAATCGACATTTCGTAGTCGAAATATAATTGGAATTTTTTGTTCACATTAAAACAATTTTTCTGGTAAAAAAACGAAAGTACCATGTCTTTATTAATTATCTAAATATTTTTCGTCATGGAGAGTTCTGGTGTATATAATAATATACTTAAATACTTGAATAATGAACTTGATACGCTTAACGTAAAAGCTACTTTAATTTCTAATTTTCTAACACAATTCAAAAACTCAACAGTAGATGAGAACATTTATGGATTTCATATTTTTATTTATTTTTTTTAATAACTTACTTATCATAAACTATACGAAACTGGTTTCTCATCGCCGTCACTAGCACATTTAACTCAGTGTCCGCGGCAGCAACCTAAGGACAAAGTTCATCGGATTTATCAAATATTAGTCGCGATAACGCACATCATTTAAATCGGTTTTTTTCCTCATCCGCCCGCCACAGATTATACTCACACATGGCACTACAATATTCTGCCGTTATAGCGCAACAAAACCAATGGTTTAATCTATAGTTAGTGGCATAGAATGGCCAGAGAAAACTAATGAACACGCTCCTCTGAAATAGTAATACAACCATAGACCTAACAACAATAACAATAGCCAACAACCCTATAATAACCATAGACCTAATATGTCTTTGATAATAACACAGATATATATATATAAAACATAATCTGTGATAATAATATTGCAAAATAACATACATGATGATAAGATTATTATAGACACGTGTTTATAAACATCCATAGTCTTTTACTATAAAAAAAATTATCTATAAAGACATAACGGACTAACATATACAGGACTCAGGACTAGATATAAACGACATAATGAGCGTGAGACTATCCACAAAAGTCAGAGAAATGAGATACCAAATTACCAACTGGTGATGTGGGCCGCTGATGATTTTTTTCCTTTATAAGCCCCAATGCGTCTCAACGGATTTGTTCATTTGTGTAGAACTAGACACTTCACGAAGGTTAAGGTAAAGTGTCTAGTTCAATTTTACATTAGTTGTTAGTATCGCCACGTTAGCACATTGACATAAAGCAAGATTTATGATTATCTTAAAACATGACAAAAAGCCATCTCGACAAAAGACCATCATAATATATAATACTACAAACCTTATATTATGGTACACCACAGATATAGATAATATAGGTACTATCCAGCTAAGGTCCAAGCTTAAATACTGTTCATTTAATTTCTTGAAACGATCGGTAGACAATTTTGAGGGCATAGTTATAGATTTATAGCCTTGTTTGAAACCAATGAGCCTTATCATAATATACTTCTAAATTGTGATAACTGTTGTCTTCGGTATTTTACCTAAAAGTCTGGTAAAAATTTATTTTTTATATTGCACACCAAATACACAATATAAATGTATAATATAATACAAATTAAAAAACATTACAAAAATTATGGCATTATTAACATTAACCATAATACTGTAAAATATATCCTTAACCTATAACCTTAGTCGTGGCCTAATATTATTTCTCACTCGAGTTAAAACACATTTCGAATATTTTCTTTGATAAAGATATGTAGGTTATATTTAAATAAGTTTTAAATTATTACTATTTTTTTTTATAATTTCTACCATTTTTAAGTATTATTGAAATGCAAACACCCATTTACATATGTTGGGTTTGTTGTCAACATTAAACCAATAGGTACATTTTTTAAATAAAGTTAATTGATTCAAAATTCAAATACCTAAGTATATACAATCATATTTTTAAGCCTTTATTACTGATGCATTTCATTGTTGAAATGTTATACCTACACTTGTGTGGTGTACTGGTGTTTATATTATACTAGGTATATTTTTTTAAAATAAATTAACTGTCAAGTTAAAATTAGATAATTTGGTGTTTTTTCTTTCAAACTATATGAAAACAAGAAAAATCTATATTTATTTAAAAATTGATCTGAAATTTTTATAAAAAATAAAAAAATTCAATGGTCGTGTTTTTTTATTTTAAAATAATATATATGAAATTGGTCTTCTTTTCATTTTACATATGTCTTATCAGTTATCACGCATTATCGTTTTTTGAAAGATCTAATTGTAGAAAAAAATTGGCCTAAGATTGGCTGTAATATTATTAGTCGAAATATTTTTTTACTTAAATACGGTTCGGCTCAAATATTTTTCAGCTAAAATACTATTCGGCTGATTTATTTTTGGTTTTTTTAAAGGCTTCCTATTATTGTTACTCATAGTAACTGTTACAACTGAAACTTACAAATGAAACGGCCTCATTCAAAATGTTCAAAAGATGCCAAGGCATGACTCAATATTGGGTTCGGCACCACTGTTTTTTTTCCGTGGATTTTTTTCACGTGGTATTTTTTTCTGATTACTTAAGACGGAAAATTATAATCGGTTCGTAAACCTTGTAATAGAAATCGCCAAAAAACCATATTCCAAGAGACCATAGAAAATAATATATCCTGGGATGGAGTCAAGAAAGTGAAGAACTATATATAGATTACCAAAACTTCAATTGCCACGAAACAGCAAATGTACTCCTCTCGTTGTTAGATAAAGCTAAAAAAGAGTAATGGATTAAAACAATCGAGGAAATTGATTTCAAGCGTTCAAGTAAAAAGGTCTAGAACCAATTAAAGAAAATCGACCCCAACACAAAGAAAAGAAACTAAGTAACAACGAACATATCTCCAAATACGCTAGCGAATCGTATAATTGAACTCTCAAGAGTGAAAACAGACAAGAAAATCAGAAAAACTTAAACAATGAATTAGGACAGCTAAGAGCAGTCACAGAACAGAAAACTAACTATGCAAAAAACTTTGAAGACCATGGAGTAGATACTGCAATAAAGAGTATTAAACTAGGTAAGGCTGCTAGGCTTGACGAAATCTACCCAGAACTTTTTAAAAAAAACTGGTCCTAAAACCCAACAATGGTTAGCAAAATTCTATACAGACATCCTAGAAAAAAGGAAATTATCTAAACAGTTCAAAAAAACAAAATTCCTAGCTATCCTAAAGCCTGGCAAACCAAATAAGGATGTTAAGAGTTATCGACCTATCTCCCTTCTAAGTGTCGGTTAAAAAACTATTAGAAAGGCTTACATATAACAGAGTATCGGATGCCATTAACACAAACACTCCCATAGAACAGGTTGGTTTTAGGCCTAATAGAAACTGCTGTGACCAAGTACTGTCCATAACCACACGTATTGAAAGAGGCTATGAAGATCAAATGAAAACTGCAATAGCATTTATTGATCGAACGGCGGCCTACAACACAGTAGGGCATGAGGGCCTAATCACCAAATTCCTAAAAATCATTCCTTGCCTGACCCTATGTAAAATAATTAATAAAATGCTAAACAACCGACTGTTCAGGGTAGTCATAGGGAATTAACACCAAGTTAAGAGTGCTTAACAATGGACTACCACAATGTTTGAAAAATATTCAAACATTTTTAAATTCATTTACAAGTTTGTATGGCGTGAAGATACTTGCAGATGATAGTGCTCTGACTCGTCTGAAAAGATGTTCTAGGTGGCCGGTATATATACCCTAGACTCAACTAAGATGCTTAGTCCGCACTTTTCGGCAACATGTTATTGTTCAGCAGAGTAATAACCACACACGTCGACCCCTGAATCCGGGCCGTGCGAGAATACGCGTATAAATATATTCATTGCTAAAATAGTTTATTTACGGTCGTTCGTATTGCTCCGGAGCTTTAGTAGATAGTTGTCCTGCCGATTCGGTGGGCCCGAGATTGATAACTGCAAAGGTGGATTAAGACAACCAGTCCCCGTCCGGAGAATGTAGCTTTGATGCCGAACAACTATCGCCGTTTAATTTGACCACACGGATAACGTTGTGGCCCATACTCATTTATTACCCAATTACTGCGTTGCGTACAATTATAATATTATAAATTTTAAAGAGAATGAGCCGACGCCCGTAATATCCTACATAAAAGAATTTTGCTCCGAATCGTTTTAAATTAAATTCCCCTTTATATTCTATTTTCCCAAATTTAAGTATACAGTAGTGGCTCACCCATCGTTTGAAGTATGCCCGTCTTATTAAGTTTAATTCTTTAATTTTCATTTTGATTTTTATCGATTAGCGCTGAGCGGCAAACCCTTATAAGCATTGTTTATGATCACAATCCAATTCAATAATTACAAAAAAAGTTTTTATTTATTTTAATGTGACCACGTGTTTACTCACATTTTGAAAAGTTGTTTGAAGGTTTAACCTAAGTAGTTTTATTTATTTTATTACATTTTAGTTATCACGGAAAAGTAAACACAATATAGTATGGCCACTTTACCGGTAGCGGAAATCGCTTATCGCTTTACCACTCACCGCTCTGAAGTATGTCTCTAGCCTTAGTTTAATTCTTGAATCATTACAATAATATTGATAAAATGTGTTTTAATGATTTTTGAACATAATTTTTACAGTTATCAAGTATAAATATTTTATTTATTATTAATTTTGTCCAAAAAAAAAAGTTTACTAAGTTACGTATGTATTATCAGTTAAAATTATATTATTATTCAAGCATCGAGATTGGCATCTTTATCAATAAAAGACTCATGAGCGATTATCACTGGGTATGAAACTGGTAGAGTACATACATGTTAAACATAAAAACCATAGACTTATAAATGATAAATTAATAAAATGTCTATGATAAAAACTTGCACTAAATGTGCCCCAATATTCCATATGGAACATAAAAATATAAAATATATAGTGAAGTTGCTGCAGTCAGGTGAAAAACGCCATGAGTGATTACATTGTTATCTATGGAGATAAAAAAAAAATTAAATATTTTTATCTCAATATTCAAATTCGCGATATTGTCATTTAATTAAATAATTAATATCAAAGATAAAAGTATTTTTTTAGTAAATTAATACCATTTATTTTTATTTGAATATTATCTCATTAATTACCTAACTTATTTTAGCGTATATTATTTAATATCAAATAAAATTTTATTAAAACCATAAACCTTGACTATCAATCGGTTTAATTTATTTGAGGTTACAAAAATTTAAAGTGTTATGATTAAAGTTGACCCAAAATAATCTTATCCTTCAAATCAAATGTTTAATTTCTAATTTTAAACCAATCATAATAAGTGAACTGTGAAGTGAACATATGAAGTACTGAATTACCGACGATAATTTAAAATCCAGAATAAATAAACATTTATTTGATTCTATAAAACATTCGTCTTTAGGTAAATGTAGTGTATTAAATTATTGTTTTGTACATTTGTAAATTGTATGAGCGTCCATTTAATTTTATACAATCTTTTTAGCTGTTCGTCACAGGTATCAAACAATTTTATGCTAACATGGGTGGATCAGCAAGTACAACTCGGACACTTGAAATTGAGAATCCAAATGTAATCACTTTATCAGATAAAGTTGTAGAAAGACTTAGAGGTCAAGAACAGTCAGTACCAGTTGACCATGGTTCACTTAGTTTACCAGCATTTGTCCAGCCGTCATCATTGCAAATACAGAGGGTTGTTCAGCAAGAATTGGATGAAAATGATAAGAGGTGGGAGCAACGTTTCCGTCATATTAATGACAGTCAAAATGCTCAAAATCGCAAGGTAGAAATTGAATACAAACGCACCTATGAATCTGTCAAGAAGTTGTTACCTCAAATTGGAGATGGTGCCCTTAGTAAAATAGTAAAAGAAAATGAAAATAACCTTTTAGATTGTTTAGCCAAAAACAATGGTGCACCTTTGAATTGTACTGACACTATCAAAGACTACCAGAGAGTTTTATTTCAATCTACAAATCAACAAATTTAAACATCAGTTTAGTTCATTAGACATTTATATAGGGGTTCAATAATTATGTGAATAATAATATTTAAATGTCAGATATTTGAATTATAACTATTAAGACCATGGTGAGTAGTTCTGTTTTATATTAATAAAGAGCTTTATGTTTTTGAATTACTGTTTATTATTGAAATATAATCTAAAGTATTTATTTATTGGGAATGTTTTAGATTTTTATTTACATTAATTTTTTTTCAATAAAAAATGTATTTTATTTTACATATTACCTAATTATTTTTGTAATTTGATAATTCTCATAAAAATCCATTTTATATAAAAAAATGAAAATTTTATATTCCATATAAAAGTATACAATTATGATTTATGATAATAATTGTTGCTTTTAAATTTAAAATGAAACATCAACAATTGAATCATTGTAGCAAAATACCAGCATTTAAGCTCCACATATCATTTTTTATAAGCTATTAAAATATAAAAAAGTTTTATATAGATTATTATTAAATATTAGATTGAAAAATAACACAAGGTTCTTTTTTTTTTTTTAGTTTTGAAATTACTGCAAAAAACGAACAAAATTGATATTAAAAATAAACGAAATAGTGCCATTATAGTAGGTACAGATAAAATGTACTTAATCATTACCATACATTGCCACTCACAATTATCATTTTTTTTTAACTATTAACATATTTTTGAAATAATAAAATTACATAAAGTTGTTACAAAAAAACTAATTTTTATTTTTAGAAAAAGACCAAGTTACTAATGATGATTGATGGTGCAAAACATTCAGAATGTTTTTGAAATTATTATTTAAAAGTTATAATGATTTTAAATTATCATTTTTATAATTTGGCAAATTCAATAACTAACAGGTAGCGGAACATTATGATCCATCTTAGCAATTTCGATCTAGTTAGAAAATTAATTATTTTTTCAAACAATATCATTATACCACTTGGTCCATTTGACACAAGCTCGTAAATGAGAATGCTCAATGGTAGAGTAAAGTTTAGGTTTATATTTAGAACACTACCTTTGTTGCAGCATTATCAGTTAAATTAATTCTATTCCCTTCCCCTCCTTAAAATGATGGTTAAAAAGATCCAGACACATATTAAATTTTATTTTCACGTTTTTAAAATTTTGTTTTTGTGCATTTGTTCTGTAGGTACTTTATTAGAAAAAAAAAATGAAATTTAGAATTTCTAATAAATGTATATATATATATAATGAATATAAAATATTTCAATGAAAGCATATTATATATATATTAATTGATTTAATACAAATAATTAACAGGTATTTTGCAATAATAGTAATCAAATATTCAATTTGATCAAAATTTATAAACAAATAAATACAAAAATGATTGTCATTAAAATTTATCCAATAAATATTTTGTATAAAATGTCACACATGTATAAATAAGATTTAAGATTAGAAATCCTTCACTTGAATGCGATTATTATTATAAAAACAATATTCCTAACCTATTCTAAATAATATTTTAACTTTATTTGCAATATATACTTTATAGCTAATATTATGTATAGTTAAATGTACAATTCATTGTTCACATAACCCTGTACATAATTGTGTTACTACTTCTAGTAACTAAATGTAACAAATACAAAATAACACATAATATCAATACATAAAAGTACACATAGAGACCAAAAAATCTTGATGGAAGCCATAAAATAGTATATGTAACAGAATGTCTGAATGTATCTGAAAAATAAAAAAAAAAATAAGTTAATGATATATTCTAAGTTTAATATAATATATAAACATTAAAAAAAAGGATAGACATACTTCACACGTGGATGTAGCCACTGTTGCAGGTGGGAAATTAGGAAGATAGGATACAAATGGGAATTTCATATATATCTGTATGCAACGAAAAACCATTGCTAACGGAAAAATAATATTAAGCAGAGTTCAGTTGATAGTGTTGCTTTATCAACAATATTATCGTAAAATGATTAAAATATTGTGCGTTTCCATGACAACAATGATTGTTTAAAACTGATTAAAGTAATAAAAACTTAAAAATAACAAAAAATATTTTCTTATTATCTCCCTAAAGTACCACCCAGGGAATCTTTTCTTTCAGGGAAGCTGTTATATTTGATAATCAGAGTAATCTTTCTGGTAGAAAGTGTTCACATAACAAAAAAAAAAATAAAATAAATATCTTTGTATAACCAATACATACTCGCTACACTCAAAATCTAAAATATGCAAATGCATACAATCCTGGGCCCTATATTATGTAGATGGAGAAATATAGATGAGGAATTATTTCTTTATAAGATATAAGATGGAATAACATAATAGTTAAAGAATACTACACTTTTTTATGGTGCATGTATGCTTTGTGAGAGCAGTTTTGCTGTTGACAGTGTTTTTAATTCAGTTAAAGATTTTATAGTAATCACAGTTTTGACAATAGCGGCAAGACTGTTCAATATATGTTGTTCGTGAATGTACAAGCTATTTTTATTGCTATCCACAAAGATTTGGTAAACTCAAAATTTATTAACATGATAGTGAACATAAAAAGTGATGCAAACTATAAAACAGACCATATTTTAGTAGTGGGTAACCTGAAAGTAATATATAAAAAAAATCACGTGGAATAAAGAAAATAAAAACTAGAGGGATGTTATAATGTTCAAAGCTAGGTAAACTTCATATTCATGATGTGTATCAGTCATGAATAAATAAAAATTAGATTTCAAAAAGTAGTGTAAGACAGACAACAATGAAATAGAAGATTGAAAAGTTTGAAAAATATAATTCAGGATATAGTTGAAAAGACAGTAGGCAGGGAACATTGAATGAAGAAACCATGGTTCAATAAAATATGTGAAAAAACTAAACGATGAAGGATTGTAAAGGAACAACTGATTAACTGATACAGAAAATATGAATAAATTAGCACAATGCAATACTAGGTAAAGGGAAGCAATATTCTTAGGACATAGTTAGGAGTGAGAATAGAAAAGATGTACACAATTTAATAAGAGAATCAGATAAGGATTATGCTCTCGTTATATGTACAGAAAGAGTAAAAATTATAAGCGACTAGTGAAATTCCTTATGAACGACGATTAATCAGATCTGATGATGAATTATTAGTCAAATAAGAAACATACTTTAATGAACTTTTAAATATTCTAAAACCTGAGTACTCTTTTCAATTTGATAATTTCTAGAGAAACTTTACAAACTGCTCAACCTCTTCTGAAAAAGAGATTATAATGAAAACAAAGTTAATGAAGAACTATAAAGCCCCCAGAGAAGATTTAAGAATTGTTAAAGACCACGGGAAATGAACTAATAGAGTGTATATATTTATTGATAAAAGAAATGCTGCTTTATGATTGGATAATGACACGTTATATTGTACTATTTACAAGAAGGGTGATAGGCAAATGTGCAATAAATACATGGGTAATGTGTTACTCGATTCAAATAAAAATGGTATTAAATTATTATTTATGTGTATTGTTGTTTAGTATTTTGGCATATTTAAGGTTATATAGTGAATTAAATTTATAGCCCTACTTAATATTATTATATAAAATAAAAGAGGTTTGGTGATTGATAAATAAAATTCTAAACTAGGGTCATCTCATTTATATCTCAAAAATATATAATTTTATTATATTGTTTTTAACTACAAAATAGTTAATAGTAGTTTTCATTAAAATTGTATTATAATAAATGGTCTTTTTTATATCTCTCTCTGTTAAAAAATTAAATATACATAATTATACTATGTACTTTATTTCAAAAATAAGTAATTTTTAACTTTCATTCTTAAAAAAAAATTAATTTTGTTACCAGATTTTATTATTTCTGTCTTTTCAATGAATTATAATATAATAATTAATAATTAGGTACATAAATACTGAAACCCCTTAAGATATAATAATAATTTTTTTTATTTTAGCTATTTAAATTAATAATTTAATTTTTACCAATAATTAAAACACCATATCCAATTTTATTTGATCCCATTCGATAAGAGCAGGTTGGGACAATTATTTCACTGACTATATTTGGTGGCTGTTGTCCAAACCTCCATTGTGCACTGGATATTTGACTAAAACTATTTCGTCTGAGTCTTTGAACATAAGTCTGTTTTCGATTATTAAAGTTACTAATAAAATTATATGAAGAATGATCATGAGCTGAGAATATAAATTCACTCTTGAACTCATTTAAAACCTAAAACAATTATTATTTTTATTAGATGAACTTAAAAATACTAAACCACTAAAATATAATTAAATACTTTATCAGTGAATTTTGTCCATTTTGATGTCAATGGAATATGTGAAAACATTATTTTCATTGTATTTGTTCTATTTGTAGGATTAATATTTAACGGCATTGAATCTATCAGTTGATTTACCTAAATGATCAATATAAATAAATTAAATTGAAATATATTTAATATTTTTTGAATAAAATATATAGATGTTAAATATTTTACCATGACATATTCAATTTGTTCATTTTTGATTACTTCTGATGAACCAAAATAAAGATGAAATCTATCAATCTTTTCGCGAATAACAATTTCTTCATCTCCACCGATATCATTATCGCCAGGTAAAAAGAATACCTAAAAAAATTAATACATATAAACAAAATTTGGTCAATAATTAAAATAATAGATGTACTTACGTTTTTCGATGCAAGAGGAATTGTGTTTTTTAAAAAAAAAATTCTACAAAATCTGTACAAATATCTTTCAAATGTAATTTGATCTGCTAATGAACCTTCATCCATTAAATCACCCATAAATATGACATTGTCAGGATTCACATGTTGCAATGCTCGACCATAAGTATTAAATAAATATCTATCGCTATCCCAACGTGCCAATAAATTTTCTCTTTCTTCACCTAATATTTGTGGATCAGCAACTAGCAAGATGGTTTTACAGAACTTCTCATTGCCGCAATATAATGATGGCCATTTACTTGCATATAATGAGTATACAAACCATTCATTGTAAATTATAACAGTAGTAATTAGAAATACCAAAAAATAGCAGATGTATTCACTAAAATCAAAAGGTAAGTCAAATATTAATGTTTATAATTTATATAACCACATTTATTTTGTTTTATATGATTACTAAGTACCATTAAGTAATAGTATTGTCTCTAATATTTATATGAAATAAAATAATAGCTTTTTTTAATTTATTGAATAATTGTATTTAGTCTATATTTACTATGTTACTAAATGTATCTAAAAATGATATCATATGAAGTCATGAATATTGTTAAAAAATAAATGTTACCTATACTCAAACTTTGAGTTATAAAAGTGGATACAGTTTAATAAAATGGCTTCATAGAAGAAATATTGTTCTAATTTGTAAATGTGATTAATAATTTAAAAAAGCTAAATAATTAAAATATTAAATATACATAATATGAATATTTATAGTACGGGCAAAAGACAAAATTAAGCAAATCTTAACAATGCCCGGGTAAAATATTATATTTCGTTATATTTGGCCGGGCAAATCAAGCTGTGACCAACCTCATTCGGGCAAATCATATAATATTAAAATATTACAATATAATTTTATAAATATATAAGTAAATTAATAAAATAAATAAATATACTATATAAATCATACAATAAAAGTAATTACGGTTTTGCCCAAATGTATATTTTATGTTGTCACAATATGGCAAAAACCAGATATTTCTGTGCAAGGACCAATTTATTACTGAGGAACATGAGTAGGGAAATTTATGTTACAAATTGGCCGAAAGAGGTTAGTCACGACTAAGTTTGTATGAGCAAAAATCGAAATATGACGTTTTGCCCGTGTCATGAACACTTTTCGTTTTGCCTGGTCATTTTTAAGATTTGCCCAATTTTGGCTTTACCCATAACATCTATACGAACGTACTGTAATTAACATACTAAAGTACTTAATTCAATTTTAAATACCACTATATTAAAATAAAATATCACAAATAATACAATATTAATAAAATTTATTCAGACTAAAAATGGTTATTGAAATGTAAATTAATTAATTTTTAATAATAGTATAAATATAAAATAGCATACATACATCCTATAAAAAAATAATTTGTAAAGTATGCTAAATTTTAAAAAAAATATCAAGGAACTCTATCTCACAAATATCAACCTTAATCATATAAAAATTAATAAGCCTCAATTTCTATAAGAAATATTTAAAATATATTATAATATACAATTTATTTTGTAATTAAACCTACTTTAATTTGTGTATAGTTAATTCAACAAAAGTTTTCAATCTTGTTAAATAAAACAAATTGAACATTTTTATAGTGTTCAATTCATTTGAAACAAAACTATATAAAAACACTAGATAACATACTGATGTAAACTGTATTTAATAATTTAATCAAAATTATTAGGATTAGATTAGCTAATAAATCAAAGTAAAATGTAATAACAGTTTAATAAAAATTTGAAGTTTCCAAAATAAAATTACCTTAAATACTTAATGGTTAACTATTTATTATTATTTACAAATCACATTTCACAGGACGCAAAATTTTCAAAAACGGTCTAAAAAGTGTAACAGCGCATTTACTATTCGACGGTTCTACTAATAATTATAATATGATAACAAGTTAATAATGATAACAAATTTGATTTTTCATTTTTGGTAAAAAAAAAACAACAAAACTAATTGTTGTTTATTTTTATACACAGAATAGATAATATAATACACTATAATGAGGCCTCTTAAATAATGACTAAATTAAAATTTTTGTTAAAATCATAGTACCTATATCGTAGGGTAATTGGTGAAATATATCAAGAAAAAAAGGAGCAAAAGAGAATAATTTTAAATATATTAATTAATTATAAAAATTAAAAAAATATTGGTTTAATATAATTTTTAAAAATATTGAAATATAATAAATATATTTCTTATGAAAAATGTTGGTTTTTAACTTTCAAAAAAATTGAAACTTCAAAATAATGAGTAGTTGCAATATTCCTTTCATTACTTTCATTCATTAAAATTACCTATGAAGAGCTATCATGCTATTATTTGAGTGAACTAAATTTAGTCTGTCAAAAATCACTTAAGTGTCAGTGTTTTAGTGTTTTAATATAAATTATAATTTTTTTTTTATTTTTATGAAATAATCAATTATTATCTTCAAAATTTTAAAATTGTTGTTCTTTTTTTCCGTTTTTTTTTCCTTGATCTTTTTTTTCAGGATTCATATCGTAAACAGGCGGTATTTGGACATGAAACTCGATAAAAAGCATCCTACTTTGGAAGTAGGTAATTTAAAAATACAAGTCCGTCGTCACTTTCTAATTTAGACGAAAATAAAGTTGAAGAAAGCCTATTATTACGAAAAGGGCAGAGATTTAGGGTAGACAGGCGGTATTCGGACGTAAAACGCGATATTAAATATAAATTTTTGTAATATTGACTCCTGTTTAATATTAATTTATGTATCTAATGGCATATAACTTGTATATATTTATTAAAAATATTTGCATGTTTAGTGCATTTACTTCAGTGGCGGTCATACATGATGTGCAAGGGGGGAGAGCGAAATTAAAACCAACCCTCCGCCACCCCATTACATTTTATACATATAATATAAAATATACGCACGGATTATAGGTATAATAATGTTTATATATTAACAACACACTTTAATATTAATACATATAAAAAAAAGATATACATAATCTATATTTTCTCCGAGCAAACGCCTTGATTAAAAAGTTTTCAAAAATAAATCTCAACCACGAGCTGCCCATTGATAATTTTATTGTTGATGTGACCAGAAGACGATTGAAGTCTAGAAATCACTCATCAAAAGCAGCTAAGGATCTAATTGACACAAACTTCGATATGATAGCTAACTGAAAACAAACATGGGGCAGCTTCGATAAAAAACGACAACTTCCTATGTAACATAATTCATATCACCAGGGCATATACTTACTGGATTTTACTTGCATCGTAATCTGTGATGCACACTTAATAGAATACAACCTTCGTATGGCAGATTTCCATATGCCTTGCACAAATGTGACATGAGAAACTCACCAGAATGTGATTGTGGAACAGAGAAACAGATCATCTACCACATAGCTTTTTTTGCCCTATCCACGCCTATCGAGGACTTAGAATTGATTGTCTCATAACAAATTTATTATATGTCTGGAAGCACTAGAACTTAAACTCTAATACCAAATATATTGATCTGTTACCTTATTACTATTGCTCACTATTACTTATACTATTAAGTATTCTATTTTGTTTTGTTTTATTTTTATTCATGTGTTATACATTAATTCAATTTACTCTATGTTATCATATTATAAAAAATTAATATAATGCATGTAGCCACAAACCATATGCTAAATAAACAAGAAATATAACTGGATCTAATATATCCCTTATCGGATACCAAAAGTAGTTACAATTTAATTACTTAAACAATTATTTTTTTTAACCATTTGAGTTCTATAAAAAAATATGATTTAAATAATTGTAATGAAGTACCTCGAATACCATTTTGAACAATTTTTCTTTGGTAGGTTTAGTAGGCGGATAGAACTGTTAAGACTAAACCATGAGTTAAGATATAATTCATGGACCAGATAGAAATGGTCGAAAATTAAATTGAAGGTTCATTAGAAGTTGTATTTTGTGATCAAAACAAACAAATTGTGTAATGAAGTATTTTTTTTTATAAAATTTTAATATTAAATTTTGATAAAAATTGTTTTAGTAAAAAATTATGTGGAAAAAATCTAGTTACTGGTCTATACAAATTGTTTTAATATAAATTTATTTTACATTTTGATTGTTCAAAAAGCAATACTATTAACCGAGCTCTGTTCAGAATCGTTTTTCATTAGCAATGTATTGTTACAAATATCTTTACTGACAAATGTACATGAAATTCCCCTCTGTATATATCCTACTTTCTCAATTTCTCATCTACAACAGTGGTCCAACCATTGTGCGTAGTAGGTCCGTATTTTTTAAATTGCATTTTATAATATTTATAGATAAAAGTATACGATTTTGTACATTGGCCATAGTTACAATATATTATAATAAAATAACATAACAATAATTTAATAAATTATAATTATTATATATTATATGAGAAACTTGTTTTAATATAGATACATAAACAATTATATTCTTAAAAATGTAAAGAATAAAATAATAATTTTTTCTTTTAAACACTTAATAGTAAAACAAAAAAAACACATCTTGGTATTATACGTAGTATGTTTCAAATTATAATTGATAAATAATATAACAAAATATTAAACTAAAACAAATGTAAATATTAGCAAAACCTTTTTAATATAAATAAGTAATTAAATAATAAAAAGGTTAAATTACACAACTTAGTACAATATAGTATGTTTATTTTTTTATAATTAATACATAAGATAACAAAACAGTTATTTAATTAATCATAAATCATTATATAAAAAGAATATTTTTGTAAATGTTTATTTTTCAATTACTTTTTTGATTTTAGTTTCTTGGCGCTGAGCATCAGAACTTGGAAAGCATTCAGCTTTGGTTCCAAAGGCTTCACCAAAATTCTATCTGAAACTATATAACAATATTAAAATACATACCTTGGTATTTCAAATATTTATATTTCTTTAATTTTAAAAATCTTATAATTATTATTATTCTCACTTATATTAAGATTCAATGAATAGATACGGACATATTTCGAATAATGAATGGCCACTAATGTAGATGAAAAGTTGGGAAGGTAGGATATAGAGGGGAATTTAATAAATATCTGTACGCAACAATAAATCTTTTCTAAAGAAAAACAATTCTGAGTGGAGTTCGGTTATACATGTTTTGAAAGGCTGTAATATTTACGATTTGAAAATAATACATTTCACGAATTTTCCCGTTTTCCCCATATATTTTTCATTTACTATGAAAACAACTGGAAAATTAATTTTTCTATTCTATTTTTTTCTGGGTTGGTTTGCACCGATCGCACCTTCTAGTCCTCGTGGGTGAATGTTCCATCTAGATGAATAGTTCTATGGATTTCCCTTTATTCTTCAAATTATTCTTTAAATATTATGTTATTAATGGATATACATAATATTATATACTAATTATATTAGTTATAATTAGTTATATTATACTACTTCATATTAGTCATATTTTATAGTTGCAAATTAGTATAAAACCTTAATTTATGACTAGAAATATGATTTTATAAGACTTAAAAATGGATATATGTATTATTAAGTTTTAAAATATCTAAATAGTATTAGGTGAAAATTAGAATGCTTAAAATACAACATACCTAATTTGTTACTCTCATGCAGTATAGTATTTTCTACATCCATTGACATCAATTTTGGTTTCTTTGACAAGTTTTGATCAACTAATGGTTCAGAATAATCATGTGCATCATGTTGTTTATTATTTAACATATTACATGTAGTACTTTTTAAGTTAGGTTTTTTTTGTAAAATTTGTTGAAATGAACTTGAAAAGTTTACTTTTGATTTATTTGAAAATGTATATTCAATATCTAAATCCCTTTTCTTGTTTGAGTTCTGTAGTTCATATGCACTACTTAAAGTAAACAAAACTTCTTTTTCTAAAATACTTTGGTCGTACTTTTGAATGCAATATTTTATTTGATTCTTAAATTTATTACATATAAGCTGAATATAATCATCAATAACTGATTTTGATATCTTATCAATTACACGTTCTAAACTGAATATTAAGTGTTTAACAAATACAACATTCTGATCTAGAATAATTATGATAAAAGTATTATACACAATTCTTTACCTATATGCAGGGTGATTAATTTATGTGGTTGCATTTGATGTCATCAAAATTTATTTAAACTAAATAATTTCTCTATATATGTATGTAATTTTCAATTAGGGTTTGAAAATAAAAAGTACATAGTTGTTTCACCCTAAAAATTAAAGGTAGCAAAAATAGTGTAATGTCATATTTTGGAGTTGCTTATTTTTTAAATTATTAAAAAATGTATCATTTTTTTTTTTAAAAAGCCATTAATTATCAATATAACCAGTATAACCTTTTAAATGAATCACCATGTGTGTATAAAATAATTTTTAGAAATAATATACCTGTTATTTTTAATTTTTTGAACAAACAATCCCAAATTTGTAATAATTTTTTAATCAATTTTTTTTTTGACCCATCTGAAAGAAGAGTTTTAATAAATATTGAATGGAAAGATGGAGATGACAAGCCACAGCTTATATAATCAGTTATTAAGTAACTTTGAAGTAAAATTTCTGTAAAAGGTTGCTTTAAAATGGAAAAATCCTCAAATTTATTACTCTGAAAAAATAAAATAAATGACAATTAGTTGGATATAGATATAAGTATTTATTATATAATAATGAATTCATTAAAAAACGAGAACAAATAACTAAGAATACCTATACCATGCATTGTTGAATGATTAATCCATCATTAGTGGACTTTTAATATTGTATATTAAGAAAAAGATACCTACCATTAGATATATGCAATCTCTTGATGTTAGATCTGAAAGAAAATTACATATTGGCATTTCAATAACGTGTATGGTATTTAATGCCAACTCTTGAGCATCGGAATATGTTTTATGAAAATTTGTTAATAATTCTAATTCGTCAACCATTTTTAAAACTAAAATCAATATTTGTATTAGTATAGGTGTAAAATGTGTAGTTCGGTAATGTGTGTTAAAGACTAAAAAAACTTGATAATAACTAATAAAATTTGTCGTGATGTTGTATGCGTTAAGATTTAGGTTACCTACATAATGTTAATGTATATTAATAAACATTTAAGTAATTTATAATTTAATGAATAAATGAAAATTATATTATCAATAAAACATGGAAATATAGAATGGTTATTTATTATCCTCTACTCCACTCTCGAACAAAATGAAAAAAAAGGCGCCAAAAACAGTTGTTATCATATTGTAATAATTATTATGATTATAAAACAGTTTGGCCAAAGTAGATTAGTATTTTAATAACATAAAACTAGTATAGTATGTCCTGATTGGAGACTTATTTCTAATTTTTACGTAATCGTGTCACTTACACAAAAATGAAAACAAATAATGTTGGTTTGTTGGTCAACCTGTAAAAATAGTTTAGTCACAGGTGACGTAGCACGTTTTCACAACAAACAGGCATGGGTATCTGGCCGTCATCATTTCTGTTCTATAGATCACATTGTTAAACGAACGTCAATGACTGACGGTTTGTTGTGATTTTGTTAGTGACCGTTGTCGAGGGTGTCCGTTGTGATGACATTTAAACATGAATCTAAGGCCGTTCATGGTGTACGTTTCTCGTAGTGTTAGAATCCGAACGTTTTATCAGTGTTATGCCTGCTCAAATACTCGATAACAATAGCACCGTCAAGAGCGTATTACAAATAATGAACGCCGAACCGTCTTCATCTCCTAACAATCATTCCCAACAGCATCTCATGAACGACGGGACAGGTAGGAGCTCACCGATCACTAGCAAGCAGAAGATAACTGTTGTTGTACTATGCTTCGTTAACCTGATTAACTACATGGATCGTTACACGATCGCAGGTAATCCATTTAATTTTGTATAGTTTGTTTGTCGTCAATCACGAAAATACTACAAATATTCTCTAATGCATTTACGACCTCACTATACTTACTTGATTTCCCTTATTTATGTGGTTCAGCTAAATTGAATGGCTGAGTATTTCTTAGCTTTTATTGAAAAATACTCAACAGTCTTATTATATTTATATTCCAAAAGACCCGTCAGAAATTTACCAGAAAACCTATTTTGGGCTCAGCTCTGAACAACCGTTGAATTTGTACTTTAACATCTGAACTTTTTAAGAAAAGTTTTTGCCGAACAGAATTAGGTAAAGTAATCAATCCAATAAGTGAGGTATTACTTATCTATTATTTTGAATTTTTTCTGAATAAACCATAAAGAAAAATGAATTGATAAGTATAAGGTTAACTTATTATTAAACACTTTAACTAATAGGCAAACTGAAATTTAGTGTGTGTGGCACAATTCACCACCAATCCAAATCATAATAACTTATAATATTTTTGCATGGTTATTTTATTACTGGTTTATTTACTGCAGTTTATATTTTTATTTTTTGTAAATATTTAGTGCATTTTAACACTCAGGTTTATATTAGGTTATATTACAAACCACCCACCAACATGATCATAAAAGCAAATATTCTGACATTTAAATAGTTTAATAAAAAACTAATTATTTAACTGTTTTATTATAATTCATTGTCTGACATAAGATGTTGTGTTATAGTGGCTATAATTGTCTATAATTTGTAACAAATTAAGTAAAAAAAATATAGTTGCAATTAAACTGATGAACAATACAGATAACTGTTCATTATTAAATCATGCTCTACAGTTACGGAGAGGAGGTTTAGGAGTTCAGAACCCTCAACAATTTCTTCCTTTACTACATTTTAACAAATCAAGTTTTACATTCAGCAGCATTATAATATCTTATAGGTACTTTAGAATAAAATAAAATACAATTTTATTTTATTTAGTAAAGGTAGAAATTGTTGAAAATTGTACTGTACTGATAATATGTGCTATCCTCCTTCTCTAGAAAATTATAAGCACAACCAAAAAGAAAATAACCTGCATGCGCTACAGATACTTTAAATACCTAATTATTTTTAAACATTGATAAAATAATAAGAGATTACTGGCTCTTTTTGGTAATAAAAAATTCTCAAGGGCCAAAGTAATATACCTAACTAATAATACTTTTAAAAAAACTCTTAAAACCTTACTGATTATTATTAGGAATATTATTTTTAAACATATATTATAACTAAAATATAAGATACCTAAGTAATACTGAAAACATTGTATTAAATTAAAATGTATGTGATCTCAGTTAATAATAAAATCAAATATGATGCTTTTGCAATGGGTGACTAAGTTGATGTAATCTTTACTGATTTCTGAAAAGCGTTTGACAGGGTGAGTTCTGTTGTATTAGTGGTAGTCTTGGAAAGTAGTGGGTTTTGGAAGCCATTATTGTCTTGGTTCACATCATATCTACACAACTATAAGTAATATGTAAACAAATTTGGTCATAAGTTAGAGTTATTCGATGTGCCTTCTCGGGTCCACAGGGTGGAGGACATCTCTCCTCGTTCACTTTACTAGTGAATAGTGTCAAAAGTGTGATCAAAAGATGTCAATTCCTATTATTCGCTGATGATTTGAAGTTATTTATGAGGGTGCATACTATAAATGATTGCCACTTACTACAGAGTGATTTTAATGCATTGGTTGAGTGGAATGATATTATCGGACTACAGTTTAATGTTGCCAAATGCCGCTCAATGACCCTTCATAGAAAACATGTTCCTTTAGTATTTTCTTACTCTATCTGGTACCATTTTTACCATTCTGGGTAATTCAGTTAATGATCTTGGGATTTTATTTGATCGAAATCTAAACTTCCAAGCCCACATCAAAGCATCTTGCTGCAAGGCTCTGAAAACGCTTGGATTTTTAAAGTGAACTTGCAACAAATTTAAACTGTTAACTCCCCTAAAAACCCTATACTGTACACTTGTTAGGTTGATTTGAATTTGGTGCAGTCACTTGATATCCACACAGGGAAAAATAGAGACCAGATAGAAGAGAGTTTCCAGTGATTGTTGAGCTTTGCTGCTTATTTGCTAAAAATTTATCACCAGTCGCATGAGTATGATTTGGTTAAATGCTCTAGGTCTGCAATCCCTGGCAGATAGGCGAAAAATTGCTATCCAACTGTTCTAAAGGAGCTTAGTTACTTTGGCAGGTTTGTTTTAGAACGCCTCACCACTGGTCCCGATCACCTTATCCTTTGGCCATTAAATACTGCACCACCAACTACTTGCCTAACCGACCGATGACTAGGATGATGTACATTGCCAACGAGGACCCATCATTTCTATGTAATTAGTATTGTAATATTGTAGTACTGTTAATCTGATTATGTAATTGTTTATCTATCTGTAAGAATCTTGCATGTAAGTTTTTCTGTACTCGGGCCGCGGCCCGTTTTGCAAAATAAAATAATTTATATTTTATTTTATTGATGATGTGTTCAAGGTCTTAAAAGGTCTTAACACAATTTGTTCATTATTTTCTGTTATAGGTAATATTTAAAATCGTGTTTTAGGTTTCGAACGTAGTGGGGTAAGCTATTGGTTTTAAAATGTTGTTTTTTATTTCTTTTTTCGTTCTAGTATGTGGTCTTAATTATTTTATAAAAACACGGACGACGTTTTTTACCAGAAAAACAATTTAATCGAAAATCATAAGATCCATTTTTCGTTGCCTTTTTAATTTACTTTCTCACGGTACCATCGCTAAAACTTTGAAGTCACTTTTGAGCTTTTAAGGAATTTTAATTTTTGGGAGTTTTATTTGCTGTAGTTCGATTATAAATGTACATAGAGACTTGAAACTTGGTAACAATACTTATATTGGACTTACCTAGACGTAAAATATTAAAAATCATCGAACAACTTTTTTTCATTTTTTTTACAATGGTACTTTTTTTATGTACTGTAGACCACTTAAAAAAACTTACTCCTATGTATAAGTGTAGAATCTTTTCTTAAAATCAATTTTATCTATTTGGTAAATACATATGTTATTTTTTGATTTTCGAAACTGTATTTAAAATAAAAATGATTAACCGGGGAAAAAAATGTTTTCACAATTTCATTTAAATAAGTACATACCACGTTTTCTATCACTAATATAGTTCTAATTTAAAAACTACAAGAGACCATATTTTTGTTGAATTTTTTTTTTTAAAAGGCGTTTTCAAAAAATCCAATTTAACCGATAACCCCAAAAAAATTACGGCACTTCAAATTATGTATTACTGAACTGTGCTCGAAATAGTCTTTTGTCAGCAATGGTTTATCGTTTCTTAAAGATATAAATGAAGTAACCTTATGTATCTTACCTTCCCAACTTCTCACCTACAACAGTAGACGCTCCCATCCCTAATATCAGTTCTTTTTTTCATATTTATTCTTTGTTTTTATACATAATTAATAAAATGTTTCATATGTTCCATATGGTGGAATAGTACTAATTAGATGGTATTTCAGTAATAATTTTTAAAGATATCTATATATATATATATAGTACCTAAATGTGTACTTAATAAGTAGGTAATTAAAAAAAATACATATTTTAATATTATAAGTTACTTCAAATTTAAAGTAATTAATTAATTATTTAATAATGAATGAGAATTGTGCATGTGAATAAAATGTTATAACTGTTATGAAATTAAAATAAGTACTACATACATGCATAATCAAACTACAAATCAAATTTTACTAATATCACTTTAGTTAATGTAATAGCATAGAAAACAAATTACAAAAAGAAAATAAGAAATATTTCTTTAAGTAACAGTAGTTACTGAAAAGTTTAAAATTGTGTACAATGTAAAATCATTAATGTTTATACCTATGTACAAAAAATATAAAACTAATATAGAATTATAATTGAATGGTCATGGTTTTCTGTCGTCAACCAGTCTAGCTAGTGGCAATGTTGGTTCTTTGACCCTAATATTTAATTACTTGGCATATTAAATTGATGTGTACCTCCATATTTCTCATTCATATAAATTTAAAATAAATGATTAAACGAGTACCTATTAGATTAGGTTATGGTTTTAATTTAGAAGTTACATTTTTTTAAATAACTACCTACAAATTTTTAGTTTGTTCTTACAAACTAGTTTTTAAACTCTCTATGTATCTAATATATAATATGGAGTAAATTTATAACATTGTTTTCCAAACAGAGGGATATATTGAACTCATTTCATGTGAGGTGCAAGGATTTGCAATCTAAATTTTACATTAACGAGTCGAAAAATTTGTAGTGAATAGATTTGCAGCTTCCTTCTCACTGAACAATACTGTTTCCTCAAGAGGGAGTATTTTGGAAATAGTATTATTAGAATGGTTTTTATTTACAAATTTCTAAAAATCAAATGGTTTATGGTTTAATGAACTTTCAATAGTTTTTACATAGGCATAATAGGTTTAGTAAAATTGCAGATGTTCCAAATAAAAATAAAGAGCTGACCCTGGGGATGGGTGTGTTACTGTTCTAGATGGGAAGTTGGGAAGGTTAGATACATGAAGTTATTTAATTTATATCTGTTCATATGACTATCCAAAGATTAATTATTGCTATTAGATGCAAAGTTTGTTTTAAATGTTTTGAAATATTACATTATTTACGATATTCCTCAACATTTGATAATAATATTCTTATATTAAAAAAAAAATTATATTACACTAATTTTTTTTACCACACATATCTTATAATGAACCTTCTGTTAAATTTTCAAGGATTTCTGTATGTACTTGTAATATAATTAATTCTATAATTTAGAATAAATAATAAATAATATTAGCGGAATTCTTTTTTTTACGAAATTTGCTTATTGTTTTAGATAACAGATTGAAAATGTCCTTTTTATTATAAAGTTTTTACAAATGTATTTGAAGTTGTATGTGCTTGGTAGTATGAAGAAAGACACGAATTTGCCAATAAAAATGTTTTATTTCATATTTTAATAGTTATTGCTGTTGCAGTGTTGACTATAGTTTGTTAAATGATTCGATTACACCACGGTCCATGACGAACAGCTTTGTCGTTCTTATCTGCGTGCGCAGCTACGTTTTAATTCGTCGAATCAGATCACCTGATTCGCCACTCCTCGTAAAGCATTTCGGTGGCGGTTGGACGCTGCGCGCGCATCTATTTTTTAAGGGGTGACTGGGTGAGAAATAGAGGGAGCCTAGATAAGAATTTAGACGGAATAGGGGATATGGGAGCTGAATGGGGTAATGTTAATCGTGATTTAATAAATATATTATTATATTATTATAATATAATTATTTAATAATTATTATTTAGTAAATATTAGTTGATATAGGCAATCAACGAAATTGAGAGCATTTTCCTTTTAACTACAACAATAACAGTATAAACGACAATCCACGTGTCGTGTATTTGATTAAATTAAATATTATTATTCATCTGTCCAGAATCCACCACACAATTTACTCCTATTTATCGTAGTTAACTAGTAAAGTAGTAACCAAACATTAGTAAACCCTTATACCAACTTGAAATGGAATAATGGTTACAAGATTCACTAAACTGTTTACTAAAAAGAGTAACCTAGTACCAACTCTTAAACACGTTATCAGTACCTAGTTTTCTTACGGCTATAATGACCAAAACACGCCTTAATGTCTTATATTTCAACTCGGTGGACGTTACATAATATTAACAACTTTTTTTAAATTTACAATATTTGCCTTGACTCCAATAAAATTCGAATATTAAATAAACCATTATTAGAAATTTAGAAATGGTTGCTTAAATTCTGGTAGATATTATTTGTTATGTACTATATTATGTGAACAAGATTAAAAGGTGCTAACATATTTCTAGTAGTATAATAATATTTAATACCCACTAGTAGAATATTATCTCGTGGACCCCGATAATACCATCATCTCCATAAAGATGAGCAAAATGGGTCACTTAAAAGACCCTCGTTCATATGATTTATTCACGCGACCAATAAACAAATTAAACCAAGTGACTACTCTCTGAGTCAAAAGATCTTATTAGCTATCATAGTATAAAGTTTACAATTCTCATTCATTCCGTAAAAATGTGTATACTAAAATTACTTGTATGGATTTTTACGGAATGGATGAAAATTGTACATTATAATATAGGGGGGAGGTCTAGGAAATGTCACATCCGTTTTGACGCCAATCAGCAGTCGTTTTGAACGTAAGAAGAGTTAATGCCCCGGTCAACATTTAACGCAAACTAGTGATTTTCAATCGACTAAATTTTAAAAGAAAATACCTATACAGCTCGATTAAAACCTATGTTACAAATATTGCGCAAATTTTGAAAAATATGTATTTAATATTATAATTTACTTCCCTGTTAAAACTTATCTTAAATTAATTTAACTACCGAAAGTACATCAATTTTGTTATTGTGATTTGCGACTTCTAGGTATTTTATAAAATCATAGATAGATTTATTAAGGTCTCACTACTTTAAAATATTATTTCATGATTAAAGCTTTTTTCCACTAAGAATTCAAAAATGATAAAAAAAAAGTTTTTCTGCTTTAAATACTATAAAGATAATATTTTTTTTTTGGCGATTGAATACCCATTGTTTTACGTGTATACATAATTTCTTATTTTGAATTGTGCAATTCTTATCCTTTAATATTTAATTAATTATAATACTTTTCGTTCAAATTTTTATTAAAATACGTCATCTTCAGAAAAATCATCTAATTGACAATTTGCATTAAAACATGAGGTGTTCTCATTTGAAAAACTAAAGTTTAGTATTGTCACAGGATAAAACCAATATCACCAATATCATATATCGATTTATGTATCGGCTCACCTCTAATATACAAATGAAAAATAAAATCTTCTAGGCCTTTATTTAATATCCTAGTAGATTCTTTGGTTCAAAATATATCGGTGTACAAAGTATTTTCTATATTCATCAGTTGCTTAATTTAATTTTTTTTATACACATGTGATTATGTACGAACCCTGTTTAGAATTTTCAACACAACTAAAATATTTCACATATTTCCCAACACATCTATTAAACCATGTAATAAAACCGTAAGTAATAGCTAATTAAGTATCACTCACGAATCATCACTGTAATAAAGAACTTGGTAATCATGAAAAATATCTACGCATAATCCTAATCATTTTTTCGGTTTTAATTCAAAAGAAAAACTATATTTAATTTAAAAATAAAATATGTTAAGCCATTATATGCCATTATTCAGGCCAATTAATTTGTTAAACCACGCCAAATTAATTTAATATTGGATTTAAATTACATAAATGTATACTTTCCGTGGTCCAAATGACGCCAATAATATACACCTTAAGAACTGCTATATTTTTTCTTTTTATGACAATCATGAACTAAGATGCTTCTGTTATTGAAACTAAAAGCATCTCTGTCACTAAGTTTGAATTTATCAAATGCAACTGCAAGTTTTGGTGTGAGAAAATTAATACCTCCTCTATTTGGTTATTAAAACAATTTGTGAATGAACTGGGCTTGTCAAACTTTTCATCTTCTATCTCATCACTTGATGACGTACTCACTTACAATGTATACATTATTTTATATCACAAAATATTCTACCAATTTTCTAATGTTCTTAAAGAGAAGTATTTCACGAGGATTCGACAAATGTAATAACTTTTGTTCTATTCAATATTTATCGTCTAGTAGTATATATCTTACATATGTCGTATGTGAAAGGCAGAGAAAACCAATGTTGGTAGGAGCCGAGGGGCGATGATGCCAGTTCTTCTACAATCAATAAGAATGTACTATATCATTATTGCCAACTATAAAAAACCAAAATCTGTTATTGAAATGGGCCATTGTCACTATGTACATGCCATTGCTTACTCAAATAGGCACTGAGACATAAATTATTCTATGGCGCTAGGAGGAATGAGCTTTTAGCGACCCATTCTCATCAGTTATGTTTGGTTTTAGCATGGACTTCTATACTAGAAGTAAAAAACAAGTATAGTATAAGTTAGTAAAGTAGTCTGTGGGTTTTAGTATATAGTTACCACAATCTTAGATAGTTCCTACAAGGTGGATTTAGGTTATGTGAGTTAATAGTTATTATTTAATTAATACACGATATAATGTAATGATGGTCAATTAAATGGGCTATTATAACTGTGGTTGTGTAAATCTGTAAAAGATTTAGAAAACAAATTAAATTAGCTTAACTAAAAATTATTTAGCTTGGTAATATTATATTATAAAAAAAATAATAATTAGTGATATAAACTGGTCACCACAAGTTCATTACTTCAACTTTCCAAGCATTGACCCATGACCATAGGCCCACCACTAGCCGTCTGGGAAGTCAAATAGTGGGAGAAACACAGTCTCGGGTTGACCTACCGACGTCAACCAAAAACCTAGTCGGTACCACGGGCGGGGGCGCCCCACTTCACGCCAGACCGGTCTGGCCGCTCCGGACGTAGTGTCCCCAAGGTTGAGGAGCCTAACTCGGCTGAAACGTGGTGGCTGTGGGACAGGTGCGAGATAGTAAAGCTAATCCTCTGCACCTAGTGGGCGAACGGAACCCATCCCGGTCGCGAAAAAGGTACGGACCTCAAAAGCCCGGGGCCGGTGTTCCTTCCAAGGACCCTGGACCGGCGGCGGCTCGCCGTCGTCGCTCCAGCACTACGACCGGCCGCAAATAGCGCCCAGCGCTAAGACGTGGACGGCCGGCGGTAGGCGTTAGCTACAAAACCTTTGGGGATCAGTTGACCCATGACCAATCTGGGTAAGCAATAGTTTGTATAAAGTATTGGAAATCAGGAATTCAATTAATTAAATACTAAATTTCTTGTTATTTTCAAAAAATTAACTATTGGTATCATATGGATTTTGAATTCCCACCTACAATATTTTTATTATTTTGTGGAAGATCTGGATTTTCTCAGTGAATAAGAGAAACGTTCCTATATTTGTGGCCTTATCAATATATTAAATTTACAGTTCATAAAAATTAAAAATTGATCTAAGGATTTATATAATAAGATTATGCGAAAAAATATTTTAATTTATATGCTGGTTAATAAATGTGTTTTTAATATTTGTTTTTACATGTACTAACAAGATATATTATTTATGAGTATATAAACATATTATATTTATGTTGTACACAATCTCTAAATATCTAATAGTTTTTAATCCGTGTTTAAGTGAATGACTCGATAATGATTATCTATAACAATTTTTGTCACACAGAATGGTATTTCAATAGATTCATTTTAATAAGCCATACGTGTATCACAAAAAAAAGAATTACTTTGTTTTGCACGTATAAAATTCAATTATAAACATCTATATAGAAATTAGAAATCGGGTTTTGTTTTTTTTTGGCAATTTAACAAGAAAATCGATTTAAATAGAACCCACGGAGTACATTAAGACTGGGAAAATTAATTACAGGCGTACCTACTAAAAACCTCCACTAAAAGCTATAGTGAAGAATAATTTTCTATATTCTAATATTCGGTTGTCATGCCAACCATCAAATATAACAACAATATAAGATATTATACATTTATTTCTATGTAATATAAAAATATTTGCATCTATTTTATATATTAAGCACTTATCTACTCATTTCGTAATATGTATATCTTTATATTATTTTTATAGTAATAAATAAAATGTAAAATGTGTTTTAAATTCCGAACGTAGCTATTGGTTTACAATGCTGTTTATTTTTTTATTCTTTGTTCTATTCTGTGGACACGTTATTTCCTAGTAAACTTACTCCGATGTATGAATGTATCACTTTTTCTGAAAGCTCAAGTTGTCTAGATTCTTCTTTAAAGAGGTCATTTTTTAAATAAATGCACTTAAGTGGGAAAAAGCATAGGGAGACTTATGGTTTCATTATTTTATAAAAACATGGACGTTTTCTACCAGAAAAAATGATTTAATCGAAAAATCACAAGATACCTTTTTTGTTGCCTTTTTGATTATTTTATTACAGTATCATCACCAAAACTTTTGAGATTTTTTTGCTGTAATTTGGTTATAAATACACGTAGAGACTTGAAATTTCGTAATAATACTTATATTGAACTTGCCTAGACGTGTTAAAATTTACAAAATCATCGGACGACTTTTTTTTTTTTTAAAATCAAATTTAAATGAAAATCGAAAACAAAATTACGGCACTTCAAATTATGTATTACCGAACTGCGCTCGGAATCGTCTTTCGTCAAATAATGGTTTATCGTTGCTTAAAGATATAAATAATATAACCTTATGTATTCTATCTTTCCAACTTCTCACTTACAACAGTGGCCGCTCCCATCCCCAGTATCAGCTCTTTATTTTTTTTTTTTACATAATATGGTTACCCCTGACCCCTTCAAGTTAGCACATTTGATTAAATTATAAATTATGTTTTTCTTTTCTAAATCTTCTACATTTTTTACTATAAGTGTTATTACTTAATCTAGAATAATAAGTCCACCAAAAATATAAATGTGAAAAAAAGAGCAAATTTGTTATGAAGAATATTGTTAGTTTCGGCCAAAAAAAGAAATATTATCTAAGTAGGTGTCAAGTTTAAATTTGTAAACAAATTGCTTGCTTATTACTCAATTTTTGACTTAACAAGTTTTATTTACAATAAATAAGTTAAGGCAGTGTTTCTCAAACATGGAGATCACCAAAAATATAAAATATTGGATCGTCATGTATACAATATATATTTTAGGAGTTGCTAAAAAAATTAATATTTATTTATGTAGTCGCAACGGTAAAAAGATTAAGAAACACTGAGTACACACACGATTCATTTATAATTAAATCTTGGCAAGTCAAAAATGTAGTAGTGAGTAAGCAATTTGGTTAATAATTTAAATTTGGTAGATATCCACCTTAATACCATCATTCCTTTTTTCGGGAAGTTGACAAATTTCTTATTCTTATCGAACTTGGCCTCTTGGTCACATGTATTTTCTTGATGGAATATCATTTGTGTAAAATGTTACATTCTACCTAAATATAATAATATACCTAACAGCAGTGAAGGAACTATTTTTTAAATACTTCCACACTGGTGCTATCGTTAATTAATAATTACAAATAAAATGTACAAACTCGTTTTACCTTCGTGCGGCTAACTCACATTAGTAATAAACAATACAAAATGAACGATTAACAATTAGCATACATAACACCTTAACCTAACATAACTGATTTTCAGTATCAATGTTTTCTCGGTATTTTTTTAAATTAATTTTTTATATTTAAAATTTTGTATTTAATTATTTATAATTTTAACAAATATTAAGTTTAAGACATTTATTTATGTCACTTTACTATTTATTAAAGTATTTTGAAGCCATAAAAGAGAACACCTTGAGTGTATTTTGGTATACACGTATAAATGCCAAAGTTCATTAGTATTGTTGGAACGAGTACAATGTTCATTTTTAAATAATCGTAATACCTATGTATTCAAGTATACATGTTAGAATCGGGTGTATGTTGTAGTATATTTTTATCTTTTGAACATGTGACATTTCTTATGACAAAGATGTTTTTTTTATAATTGTAATTTGTATTACAATTTGCATATTAGTATCTATTATTATAATAAATTTAGGTGTAAAGTAGCTTCAAATATAAAATAACGTCTATATCAAATATTAAAATTCTACTGTTATTTGAATGAAATTTAATTTAAACCAGACTTAATTTTTTTAAATTTTTTACTTGAGAAGAAATGTTTGTTTATTTAAGTTTACTCACATTAATTTTATATTCAAAATGTAATGTTGAAAAATAAATTGAATGCTATTTAGAGACTCGCATAGTAAATAACATGGTTTGCCGACTTAAAACTCTCAAGTTTTGTATTATTATTTTAAAATTGAAAATAATAATTGTCAAATTGTACAATTTAAAAGTAGTATCACCCCTCATTGTTATATAACTAACAATTTTCAATGTTCATTTTCAATTTTTCTCCACGATTTTGAGTTTATTACGATAGTTTAAATAATTATTTTATTAATGGAATTCGACCTACCCACCTAAAAAGAAACATTTTCTATGTTCAATCGATTTTAAAAGTTGCTGGATAAAAATACAATTGTGAATGTCAAACTAATTATATCGCCGCCCCTGTAGAACAATTACACAACTGAAAAAATTTGAATTTTGCAAGAGAGCCAAAAAACCAAATTATTTTTACTAAAATGTTAATAATTCATGAGTTTCCACAGCGACGCAACTGCCCTCCGGCAGTTTAAAACACAACTACAGTTACGTTGTTTGCATACCTTATGAGGACGTTATACCTGCATGGCCGCATCTATTGTCTCAGTCTAACTACCGGGTAACATACAAACATAATACTTACAAAAATAAGTAAAATTAGCTTAATTATTTAGCTTTGATTTTAGAGTAAAATACGTAGTATAAGTAAATAAATAATAAGAAATGTATAGAGAACAATATTTTGGAAGGAATGTCGTCTATGTTTTTTGAATTATGAATTATTAAAAAAGTTACAGTTATTTAAAAAAGAAAAAAAAATATAGGTTTTGTATTTTTTATATCGAGCTGTAGATTTTGAATAGTACAAAATCCCTATGACTTTCCTTTAAAAATATTTAAAGGATTAAATTTCATAATAGGTACTTTTTCTCTAAAATAAAAATTAAGCTAATTTTACTTATTCTGCGTAACCATTGTTTTAATATGTTATCTGGTAGTTGGACTGAAACAGTAGATGTGGACATAGCGTTCTCTTAAGATAGATTTTTATTGCACTAAACTAGAGGTCGGAAATTAGTTTTTTAAGTGGGCCGAATAATTTGAAAAAAAATTTTCGAGAGCTCATATATTTTAGTAGTATTTTATAATTAAACAAAAAAAAAAGTTTAACCCCTACCTATTTGGTGTTTTGTCTTATTTAACGTCTTAAGAAAAAACATTAATAAATATATATATATTTTTTTTTTATTAAAAACAATTATTATATAATATCATTTAATTATTTTATATAGAATAAAATAAATATTCAATTTTATAATAATATACAAATACTTCAAGTATTATATCATAAATATAGATTATGTTCAGACGCTTGGATATTCTGGATCTACGTAGAGACAAATAATGAAAATAAATAAACAGCGTTTAAGTAAAAACATTTTAATAATCCGTTTATTTCCTCTCCACGGGCCGGATTATGACCCCGGGCTGCCTATTGCCTACCCCTCTAAACATTGCACTCTCTACCTGCACTGAACGTTTCCATGTTGTTTCAAATTCAAACTATTGTTCATTCGATTCAATTCCAAAAAAAAAAACCCTTATTTTATTTTTATATTCATTAATATTTTCACTTGATACTTTAAAATAACCCCCCGAAAATACTTCCGCAATCAGATTTCCTTACAAAAAAAAAAAAACCATTGAAAAACCAATATATTCCTCGCTCCACTCAGAATCTAAAATAGTTATTTTCGTTGTTTATAGCAAATATATGTATATATATTGTTTTTGTAAACTATAAAAGACAGTATATATGAGGGTTTATGATTCTACTATATAATTTTCATATAAACTACAAAGTAATGCGGGTACTTAAAATAGATTTTTTTGATTTTTAAATTTTAGAGATTAAGAACGACTTAAATTAGCTTGGATTTCTTTGAACAGTATTTTAGCAGTCCTTAGAACACTTGAAATAATAGTAAGAAAAATCAATTTTAATAACATTATGACACACAATTTGAATAATTTACAAAGGTTTTAAATATATTATATTTAATTTAGTAGTATAAACTTATTCAACAACGAATTTTATTATGATTTAACAGTTTTATAAATGTATAAGGAATAAATTATAAAATGTAGATATTAAATATCGTTAAATATAGTTGGGTAATTAATTAAAATAATATAAGATTGTGAAAAAAGAACAATGGTTTTTCTTTATTGTAATGTGTCCTGCAGTGAGATAATATTATATTATTATTAAGTCGTTAAGTGTAGCATTAAATATTTGTTAGATATTATTATTTCATATAATATAATCTTATATGAAAACAATATAAGAAAAACTATCCGTTTTAAACTTACCTGTCATTTTAGATTTGGAAGACAGCGAGAGATCTATTTGTTTTACTAGGATTTATGTGTCGTTTATCAGTAAACAACTTTTTGAAAAGAAATCTTGTTCCGATGTACTAAATGTACATTTTCCCTAGTTCGTGCATTAGGGAAGTAATTTTTTTTATTTTCTATGTAATTTTCATGATAATGACTTATTAAGAAAAACCAGAAAAAAATGTTGAAAAAACGGTAAAAATTTACGGAATAATTTTTTTATTATTTTCAATTTTGATTTTTCTTAACATAGTCAAATTTTCAAAACATTTGAGCCTTTTTAGTTATTAATAGACATTTTAATTTTGAGAGTTTTTTGTTTTATTTTTATTTGGTAGGTGGTGACTGTGCATACAATTGTTAGACTAAACAGAAATGCTTGGAAATTTAACAAGAGGTTTATTATAAGTTGTACTTTGTGATAAAAAAAAAAAAGTTGCGTAATGTAAAAGTGTATTTTTTTTTATTTGTATATACGAGTTAATAATAGTAAATATTATTGACTTTTTAGAACATGCATAATCGAATCGTTTTTCGTGAGCAATGGTTTATCGTTGCTTATAGATATAAATTAAATAACTTATGGTATCTTATTTTCCCAACTTCCCAACTATAACAATGATCGCACACATCCCTAGTATCAACTTTTTAATTTTATTAATACTGTGATAGTTTTTATATTTAGTTGTATATTGGTATAAATTAATTAATTATATGTACATATGTAGCTGCAAATAAGAATAACAAATTGATTTTAGTATAAATATGTAAATAATTTTAGATTCTATGTTTACCTAAGAATGTTTTATTATGATTTTTGAGTTTATTGTCAAATTTTCTCTGAAAATAGACTATTGCACTAATTTTCTAGCATCTTACTCTGGATCAGATAAGCTCAAACTCAAAAATTAAATTTATTTGAGAGCCAATTGAAGTGATAAAAGGTGGTTTGCATTTAACAAATTTAATCATTTTGTACATTAAGGATAAATTTTTAGCTTTACAGATTCCCCAAAAGAAGCCAGGGGGATGAACTTTTGTATATGCATGGCGTTAGTACAAAGGGTGTTCCTTTTGACATCAATTTTCAACCGCCACTTCTATTATTTTGTATGAATAAATTTCACTATTTGTTTTTTATTTATTTAATTTTAGATTCTGAGTGAAAAAAGCTTATGGTAATTATAAATTTTTTTTTCTGTAGACAACTTTTCTACCAGAGATCTTGTTTTTTAAGATTTTTAAGTGTAGCACCTTTACTGAAAATAAATCTGCCCGAGAAGAAATTTTAAGAAAATTTTTTTTGATTTTCTCAAGAGTTTTCTTATAAAATGTGAAAACCCAGAAAAAAAAACGTAGGAAAAACGAGAAAATGTAAGAAATGAAGGTATTAGTTAAAAATATTGTGGCTTTATTTTTTCCTGTGAACAAATTTGTCTGAAAGAAAATCCGGCTGAGAATGTACTTTTGGGAAACTATTTTTCAAATTTTCCTTATAGTTTTCCCAGCAAATGTGTAAAAACATGGGAAAAATAAGAAAATGGGAACATATTACAAATATTATTAAAGAAATATTTAATGCCTAATTAATTTTTTACGATAATATGACATATATCAAGTGATTTTCGCTCAGAATCGTTTTTTCTTTAGCAATGAATTATTGTTACTTACAAGTATACATTAAATTACTTATAACAGTGGTTGCACCCGACCACATTATCCTAGGACGTCTTTTTTTTTTTTAGTATAATAGTATAGTATCGTATTATTCTATATTTTTCGTTTATTTATTATTTTGTAAAAATATATTGCTATAATTAAAAAGAGATTGAGGAAATTTTATTCTAGTGACAGAGGTCTGCTGTTCCTTTTGTATTTTTTCTTTTCTATAGATAACTTTTCCACCAGAAATCTTGCTGTCATCATCATCTTTAGGTGGTTTCAATTAAACAATTTTGACCAGTTAGTATATTATGAAAGTCATTTTTGATTTTCCATGTAGATTTCTTAATAATTGGAAAAATTTATAATTACAATTTATATTTACAGTTTCTTTTATTTTTTTATAATTCAGCTAGTAAATTCAAATTAATACAATTTTCAATTTAACCCATTATGTCTTTAAGTACCCATATGGTAACGAAAAACTTTTTTTTATAAAATATTTGACCATAATTTCGAATGTTGACCATTTTTCAATCTTGGCGTTACCATTTGGTAACATCAAATACCTCATGTCCTCATTATTGAGTTAGAAAAATTCAAGAATTTGTCTATTTTATATTAACATTGAATTTAGATGACTAAGCAGGGAAACTTTATAAATAAAATATTTAAAAAAGAACTGATACTGGGAGCGGCCACTGTTGTAGGTAAGAAGTTGGGGAGGTAGAATACATAAGGTTATTTCATTTATATCTGTAAGCAATGATAAAGATGATTCCGAACACAATTCGGTAATACTAAATTTATTTAACATATTTTTTTTTTGAGATTTTCGTTTACATTTGATTTAAAAAAAAAAGTCGTCAGATGATTTTGGAAATTTTACCACCTCTAGGTAAGTCCAATATAAGTATTATTATCAAGTTTCAAGTCTCTATATGTATTTACAATTGAATTGCTACAAAAAAAATTTCCCAAAAATTAAAATCCCTTAAAAGTTCAAAAGTTTTGAAGATGATACTGTGAGAAAGTTAATTAAATAGGTTACATATCTAGTAAAATGTATTTATACAACTACTGTAACATTGAACAAACTCTCTAAAATGTTTGGTATTCATCTTCTTTCCCTGTGACTCGTGTAAAACCATATTACTTAGAAAGATTTTAGAGAATAATGTTTACACGTACAATTAATATTAAATTAAGAAAAACACTTTGTTCTTTAAATCATATTATAAGTTAATTTATAGTTTTATTTATTAAACATTTGCTTTAACTAACATACTAAAACAGTAAATATTGTATTAAATGATTTATAAAAAAAAATTTTTTTTATTAATATTCAATGGTTACCTATCAAAAATAATTCATCTCTTTTGTGTTCAAATCCTTGAAGTTATAGTTGTTACGTAATATCAAAGAGTAAAGCTGAGTACCTCTGGTGAATCATTTTTAATGCATTATAATTTGTATTAGTATTAATTTAAAAAAATAAATTATCATCATAACAAAAGAATTTTAATGGATATATTTTATTTTTTAAATACTATTTGTATGTGATACATTTTCATTTATGTATGTTTACTTCTTATTTGTGAAAAAAAAATAAAAGCAATTCAGCATACTCTTATTTTGTTAATATCATAAATCACAATCTGCCAGGGCCATCTGTTATTATTGTTATTTTTATTTTTTTGACTGGAGAAATAGTTATTTTCATATCTGTAGTAAGTTTCCCAGAGAATTCCAGGATGTTAAACATTAAAGAAATACGATAAGTGCTACAGCCATATGCTGCTGTTTTATGACTGTAGGAATAAAAAGAATTAAAAGATTGTTCATGATTTTCAATACACAAAGAGCCCATATTCGTTTTTTCATTTTTTAATTGCTCCTTTTAAAAGTAACCATAATTTGTTTTATGAAAAATGAATGTCAAAAATATGTGCTTCAGGTCATGAACTTGGGTCAACTACCATCATCATTATTTAATTGTGTGTCACACCATTTTTTATAAGAATATATTAAAATTCTTCCTCTTCACAATTATAACAAGTGAAGTCAGTTATTCTTATTCTAGCCCTATAAATAAATTAAAATAAGTATACCATTTTTATTACTTTTAAGAATAAAACTATAATAATCATTATACTATATATAATCATTCTTAATCATGATTGATTAACTAGTTATATAACAAAATAAACTTTCATATATTGATGTAAAGTATAATATACTTTTTATACAAATGATATTTTTATTAAAAATTAATTAATAATAATAAGTTAGATATCTGTTTTTATCTTCAACATATATTTTTAACAAGATTAATGAATTCATAATACACAAGTAAAATTGTATTTTTAATTCAATCTAAACACTTTATTATTAATTTAGAATATTCCTTAAACTACTGTATTTTTCGTTTTCAAAAATCACTGAATGTATTCTAATATATTGTTTTTATTTCTAGGTATTCTAAAAAATATTCAAATTGAATTTAATATTGGAGATGATAAAGGTGGTTTATTGCAAACTGCATTTGTCATAAGTTATATGATATGTGCTCCAGTTTTTGGTTATCTAGGAGATAGATACAATAGAAAACTTCTCATGGCATTTGGTGTATTTTTGTGGTCATTAACTACATTTGTTGGTTCTTATATGAATGTAAGTTTTTAGAATTTAATTTTTTTATATAAGTCATTTAATATGTTTAATTTTGTTTACAGGATTATTATTTATTTTTATTTTTTCGAAGTTTAGTGGGTGTAGGTGAAGCTAGTTATTCAACTATTGCACCTACTATTATAAGCGATATGTTTGTAAAAGATTTAAGGTCCAAAATGTTGGCTTTGTTTTATTTTGCCATACCTGTTGGAAGGTATTAAAAATGCATATTGTAATATATTAAAAACATAATAAAAACATGTTTTTTCGTGATTGGTTTTCTTAGTGGTTTAGGCTATATTATTGGTTCAGGAACAGCAAGGATTCTCGGTACTTGGCACTGGGGATTACGAGTCACACCACTACTTGGAATGTTGGCTGTTCTTATGATTTTGGTTTTTATGGAAGAACCTGAGAGAGGTCAATGTGAAGGGTTTTCTCACTTAACCACTACATCTTGGTCTGAGGACATAATGTTATTAACACGGAAGTAAGTTTCTATATCTGATAATTTATTTTTAACATGCAGATGTATTGCATATTAATACTTTTTTTGTTAGTCAAAGTTTCATGTTATCCACTGCTGGATTTACTTGTGTAGCTTTTGTAACTGGTTCATTAGCCTGGTGGGGCCCTAATATTATGTGGCAAGGACTTAAAATGCAAAAGGGCTATGAAAATGTGGAACCAAACAGGTAAAAAATTTATAAATTACTCCTAGACAAACATACATAAATTTTAGAGATTGTTACGAACTGTTCGATTTTTGAACTGAAAATTGCAAATAATCTAACTGAACCAAATATCGAATAGTTTGGTTAAAAAATCATTTGATGCTAATTCAGCACGGTCATTAATACGATGTTCTATGGTGGGAGATAGTGGCCTTATTATGAAAAAAAAAAACCTATTTTTTTCACGTAAGTGTGTTTCATGTATTATTATACTTTATTTTTTTAATTTCATAAAAATATACAACTTTACTATCAAACCACAAGATAAACTTTTTAGTATTCGTATTTGATATTTTTAAAGTTTGGCTAAAAATCAGGGTTCGTAACAACAATAATAAATATTTATACTTTTTAATAATAATTATTTGTATTTAGTGTGGCATTAAATTTTGGAATAATAGCCATGGCAGCCGGACTTATTGGTGTACCTTTAGGTTCTTATTTGTCCCAAAGACTTAAAGTGCGTTATCCTAAAGCAGATCCACTAATTTGTGCTGGTGGTCTTCTGATATCAGCTCCACTTCTGTTTTTAGGACTAGCACTAGCAGATAAATGTTATTACCCTGTGTTAGTTTTAATATTTATTGGTCAAATTGCATTGAATCTTAATTGGTCAATCGTAGCTGATATATTATTAGTAAGTATTCAATTATCAATGGAAATGTAAAGAACAGAAATTAAAATAATTGGTTTTGCTTTGTTTTTTTTTTTTGATGTGCAGTTATTTCCATATCAAATCAATGTCTACATTTTAAATTTAAAATAAGCATGTAACAAATTTAATACTATTCATTTTTAATTTTAGTATGTCGTAAGTCCTAATAGACGATCAACTGCTGAAGCATTTCAAATTTTAATATCACATTCATTTGGAGATGCTGGTAGTCCATATCTTATTGGAGTGGTAAAATTAATAATAATTTTATTTTTAAACTTATTTATTTATTACATTTATATGTTAGATTTCAGAAATGTTGAAAAATTTTTTTAAAAAAAGTAACATACCATTGCTTTTAGCTTCAGTAACGTCGCTAAGCAATAATAGTTTACAAATTGCTGATGTCAAAGATAATAAAAACAACTTCCAGAGTCTTCAATATGCCCTGTTCATATCAATTATTGTTGAAGTCTTAGGAGCAATATTTTTCTTTTTCGCTGCTCACCATATTGTCAAAGACAAGGAATTAGCAGAAACAGAGACTCCAGGTTGGCCAAGCTACACTCCTATTGTAAATTAAAATATATATATTTAAGAAAGTCTCAATTATTTATAAGCATAAAAGGCTAATTTTGCCTATTCACTAGTCTCAAATTGATATGACACAATTCGTTTTAATATTTTTCTATTGGCTACCATTGTGTTTTTATAATTTATTTTTAATCTGATTTTTATGGATGTTGGTTATTTTGTGCATTATTTTTATTATTATGATTATTATTTTTATTTTTGGTTTGCATTAATGCTTGCTCTCACCTTTTTCCTCTCCTATTTATGTTATCATATATTTAAACTCAATGTCATGAGCTTAATAGTTTATAAAAATGAGGATGTATACTTTCACCTAATATATGTTGCTTTGGCATTTATGTTTTTGTAATATAATGTGATATTTTTTGATACAATTTTATTGTTTTCTATTAAAAACTGGTATTCTGATAATTCTATATTGTGTTTTTAAATTGACCTTTATAAATATGGTGAAATTAATTAGTTTTTTTGTAAAATATGAAAATAATGGGAATTCATTAAAAATGGAGAATTTTATTACCACAAATAAATATTCAAATATTAAATATTACTTTTAAATAACAAACTGATTTATCAAACAAGTTTAAAAATGTCTTCACTCTATTCAGTTAAGTTGCCTGTTTTTCAAAAAAAAACACATTCATGCTTATTCATTTGCGTTTGCTGTGATGGTGAATAACAGTGCTCATTTTTAGTAGAAAATGTGAACACAAACACTGGCCATTCTTAACCAGAATAGAGTATAGACATCACATTCATGAGTCATATATATTTACTCAGTGGAAGTGTTCATATAAAAATTAAAAATTAAATATAAACAATTAAAAACTGCTATACGAATGATTTATTAAAATATGGTCTATTATGATAAATGTTAACTAATATTTAAAGTTTTAAGTTTTAATTCAAACCTTCACTTAACTAAATATTACTAAAATACAATTTGTTGTGATAAAAATTTAAGAAAGCATTTTTTTTTCTTTATCATATTCTCATATTATTTTTTAACTTTAATATGTGATATAACTGTTTACTTTCTTACTAAAAAAAATCTTGGAATATTGTTCATAAAAATATATATTTTTAAAAATACATGTTGTCTATTTATTTAAATGTGGATACTATTAAAATGGGTTTAATTAAATGTTTATCACAACTAAAATACTATAGAGAAATAGACTATTGTATTTTTTTAGCAAATTAAAATTAATTTAAAAATATTTATATAATATATATATATATATATTATATATGTTATTCTTAACTATTTCGTATAGAATTGTATGAAGTAAATTCATTAAAATATATACAAATATATTTGAAATTTTAGAAACTATTATATTTTATACATCAATTTCATAAATTAACTTTTATAGTGTATTATTTATTTGAAAAATATAGTTTCGAGTCATTTATTGACTTTTATTATTTTAATTGTAGGGAAATTCTATTATTGAGTCATTCAATGTCTAGTTCCTCATTAATATCATACTTTATGTAATTCATTTTAATATTAAATATTTATGTTGTCAAATACATTTTTCTCATTAATAAAAAATTATTGTTTTTTTTTACATGAACATTGGACATTATGCATTTTAAAATTATAATTATACAACTGTAGCCTATTAATGATATTTAGAACACATATTAATAACTGTTTATAACTATTATATTATAGTTTAACTTTTTTCATATAATATATGCTTACCTAATAATTGGCCTTTTTAGTTTCATCTAATAATTTACTACATAAGTTTTACATAATAAGTTGGTGTTTACTATTTGAAATAATTGAGTACATTGGGTGTTATATGTGTATCTTTTGCATTAATTTAGTTATTTAACTAATATTTTTAATCAACATTTATTTGAATGTATGTGTAAAAATATATATTTACTCTTTTTTTCTGCACTATATCAGAATTTCCATACTAAATTCTTAGTAAATATATAACATAATTATTATAAAAGTGACCAAATAAACATGCATAATTTTTATTTTTTTTTTGAAGTATTAAAATTATCTTGTTTTGTCCCAAATAAAATTTTTTAATCATTGAACAATTGATTGTAGGAGCAGAGACATGCTCGCTCACTTGAGGAATTCAAATGTCATATCCTCTCCACTGACCTTTTTTTTTATAATAACTCATCACTTTTTGAATTTCTTGTATATTTTGTCTTTTGATTGATATTTAGAATTAATGTTTAGTATCAAACTATAAATACTTTATTATGACACATTATTTGTAATAACAGATGTAGCAGTACCTATAACTAGTTATATTCAAATATGAATATATTGAGCACGTCGCTGTGTATGGATTCTAAATTTAACTATAAGCACGTTAAATAAATAACCAACTATCATTTTAAACTAAAATGTTATCTAATTTGCAATTGATGGCTATCAATGATCCTGCTTGGCTGTTTAGACAACATGTCTTATGATAAAAATAATTATATTTAAAAATAATGCAATATTATGTTTATTTTTACTAATTACACTACTTAAATCTCATTGTTCTTAATACTGGTCTACTATAAATTTAACTAATGATTACAGTAATTTTAATACGTAATTTTTTTGCGCTTGTATTCTAGTGATCTATGGTTGTACCTCATATTACACTGAAAATATTTTTTTAACATAATATATATTCAAGCATGAAACAACCGTATTATATATTTTGTGTTTATTGTATACAAATAATTAAGATATATACTTATTGTATATAATTCTTTAACAAATGATTAAAAAAAAAAAAAATGTATATGAAGTGAATTATATATTTATTTTATCTATTAATCATCATTATTGGTTAATTATAGCAAAATGTCAATGTCCTGTTATCAAATTTAACAATTGGTGGTTGCTTATCTTAGGGTTTACAAGGGTTACTTTTTGCTTGAATACTGTTTGTATGAATGAATACATTATAAATATGCTTAATTCGGTTCGCACTATTTTTCCTTTTAACGTATTTTTTTTTTTTAAACAATATTATTGTGAATTAATTTCAGCAGATAATGAACAAGATACTGTGCAAAACAGGTATCCCGCGGACGAAACACGTTTGCGTGGTCATTCCAATCCCCATTTTGTTGCATAAAATTTGTCATTAATGCAATACAAATATGTCAATACATTGATATCAATTCTTAAAAATTATCTTTCAAAATCAATATCAATTATTTGTCAAACTACCTTGAAAGATTACTTAAGAAAACATGTATTATTTTACATATTCATATAATTTATCTGTGATACTTAAGGAAATTATAATATGATTACATTTAAATTATAATTCTTAACAAAAAAAACACCCACTATTGTAAACTAATTGTCCAAAATGTATAGAATATAATTAATGTAATATTCATAATTATTTAAAAATCATCAAACTGCCTTTGTTAGTCTGTTGTACTTACAATTATTTTATTGGTGTTTTGTTTTCATTACCATAATTTTGTATTTACATAATGGTAATTCTATTAAGTACTTACCTATCTATAAATATTTATTATGTAATTTTCTTTTTGAAATAGATTTAAGATAAAGATGTAAGTTTGTATGGAAATTAAATTTTTGATAAATAAAATGTTTCTGAAACTTGGACCAAATAATTAAGTATTTATATTATATAATATAATTCATTTTTACTAAGAGTTATTTTATAGCTGGACAGTAATTCTTTACAAAGTTACAGAAATTAATGAATTTTTTTAAATTGTAATTTAATGCTTTTAGTTGATTCAACAAAATTAAACATTGTATTTAGAGTTACTAAAATTAAGGAACTTGCCCTGATTATTAACCTTCAAAGTCATAATATCATTAATCAAATAATTTAACAATACAATAAAAAAAAAATATTTTTTTATTTAATGGGTTTTTGAATAAGTATTTGTTTTTTATGTATTAGTTTAATCAATAAATTATTCCTATAATTATTATTTACTTAATAGAACATACACCTATATAATATAGGTACAGGTATTTTACCCACTTAAACACTGCTACAATTAATATGTTATTGCAAGTATTCTCATATTCAACATTGTATGTTTGCTATTCAATTCTTGAGTGAAATAATGCAAACTTAACATTGGTAATAAAAATTCCTTTCTCTTAATAAAATACACAAATCATCTCAATCTATTTTCTCTAGTTTCTATACTTTTGAAGCCATGTTACTTCTTATGTACTTGTTTCTTATCTTGTTCCTCCACTTATCTTTAGTCTTAAGGTAGGGCGAGTGAGACAGTCGTCCAGAGTGCCACAAATCTATGGGTGTCTGATAAAAGAATTTTCATTAAATTGTTATTATTTATTTTTGATGATACGTCCTATTTTGGTTCAACTCATGTTTCACTTCTCAATTTGTAAAACTACATAACTGTTCTTCTTTTCCCATTACCGTTACCTTGGGTGTCCCGCAAGGTGAGCATTTTTCTTTGTGACTATTTAACATATTTATCAATGATATGTTCTATTGCTTTTCATCCTGTATATTTTTGCTTTTCGCTGACATATTTAATGTTATAAATGACACTTCTGACTGTCTAGATCTCCAAAGATGCCTAGATAATTTCCATGAATGGTGCTCATGTAATGGTCTAATTATAAATATTTACAAATGCAATTATATATTATTTTTCTGAGTACATTCACATATAAACTTTTATTATTCTATTAATTTTACCCCTCTAGTTCATGTCTTTATTATAGAAGATTTAGGTGTTATTTTTGGCGCCTATCTACCATGTAAAGATCATATTAACCATGTTTGTAACAAATCAATGAAGACTCTTGAGTTTATAAATTATAACACTATTCGTTTCTTTAATATTTACACATTAAACATCTTTTATATGGCTTTAGTTTGTTTGGTGCTCGAATACGCTTCTACTATTTGGTCATCTCATCAATTATCCCATAATGATCGGATAAATAAAGTATAAAACAAATTTTTAAAAATGTGATTATTTCATTGTGGAATTAACCCTTATAATTAAAATGTCTCATTGAAATATGAGTTAAGATTGATGTAATCTTTATTTATAAATTATTAAATAATGAGATTGATACCCAAGATTTACTTTCCAAATTATCATTAATGGTTCTGTTTTTTTATTCTAGAAACCCTCAAACTTTTAAAATAAAATGTCATGTTACTAGCTATGGATATGCAGCCCCTCTTGATTGCACTTGTTGTACTATTAATAATTTATCTAATATTAATATTTTTTTCAATTCTTTGACATCTATTATTCATAAATTGTATTAATTTTGTGATTTTATTCTTGTTAGATTTGTTTCTTTTTTGCTTACCTTTTATTCTTACTGTAATACTAATTATCATAATCTATACTGTACCATACCCTTGAGGCATTGAAATATAAATATAAATAAATAAATAAATACTTTAAAAAATAAGTGAATATTAATTGCTAATGAACTGAAACATCTACGTTATATTTTACTGCCAGAAAAAAATACTTCGCTTACAGTTTTAGAGTATATATTACAGATCCATATGAAAGAAATGTTTTCAAATGTTTGGATCGCACTTAGAATTCTTTTGATGTTGACTAGTGGCTTCATCACTTGCCAATTTATCAATAGAGAATAATATTGCTAAAATAAAATCTAAATTGGACAACTTAGTTAATGATTTAGCAAAAAAAGTTCTATTAATGTTTTAAATATTATTTTCAAATTTATAGTATAATTATAAACAAAATACTATTTTATGCTATTTGTTCAAAAAAGTAAAATATAACTAAGTATAACATTATAATAATTTTTAAATATACACAAATACATATACAATTTAAGTTTTAAGTCATAATAACAAAACTAATTTATAATGAGGATGGGAATATGAGACTCCAATATTCTAATAGCCCAAGGTACTAATACACCTAAGGCTAGCCCTGCATCCACCTAAGCATTCTCATCCCTGCTACATTAATTTTCTGTTTATTGCCCAGCACTGAATCATGTCATGCAACATTATTCTCAGTAGTTTTATAGAACTCAAATTTAAGTATCATTAGAATTTTAACACATAAAACATCTGACACTTCTCTCCACTTTATCCAACCACAATTAACCCTATGTTTTACATTCTCATCAATCGCCAAACTCTTAGAAACTTTTAAGTTTTATTAATTTTTATTTTTAGATTCTGAGTGGAGTGAGGAATTTATTAGTTTTACAGTAATGTTTAATGGTGTTGACTGGATTGGTACTTTAAAGGTCATTTTTGATTTTCCCAATAAATGGAAAAAGTCTGAGGAAAACTAGGAAAATGTATGAACATATTATGTTTTTAATTTTTTGTTTTGTTTTAACTCTGTTAAAAATATTTGTTGACTTGAAGTTTAAACAGAAAACTTATACTTCCACTTACTAGATGTGGTTAAATTTTTAAAATGTTATAACCATTTTAATTTAATAGGATTTTTTTATTCAGTAGGTACTCTGTTGATAAAATTTTTTGTTCAAACAGAAATACTAGAAAATTTAACAGAAGATTCCTTATAAGTTAGAGTTTGTGATAAAAAAAAAAAAATTAAGTTTAATGTAGTAATTTTTTTTTTTTAATAAAAATGTTGATGAAATTTATAAATATTACAAAACAACACTATTAACCGAATTCTACTCAGAACCATATTTTGTTAGCAATAGTTAATTGTGTACAGATATATGTTAAAGCTAAGGTGTGGTTCCATAGTAGACAAAATACTAGACTGAGATGGTTTGGGTACGTCATAAAGAAATGAATTAGAAGCAGCAAGGATTATTATTGAAAATAGACACGAGGAAAATGGGGGAAGAGGAAGAATGAAGAGGTGGTTGGATGCAATTAAGAATAATACGATGATGGTGGGTGTATGCAAAAATGATGTGGGGGATTAGGTCAAGTAAAAGTTTTTGACGAGGCTAACCTAACCTTTATTTTTTTTTTATTTAAGTTTAATTTTAAAAATGAACAAGTTATACAATAATGGACAAATTTTTCACGTACATGTTCAAAATTGATTGGTTTTTACTTTAAGACTTCAAACATTGCTTCAAACCATTTTGATTTGTAATGCTTAGTGGCTAACAGACATCTCAAATGATAACTTTGCTAGATGTTATTTGAGATGTGCATGTATGAATAAATGATGAAATTTTCCAAACCATATTTGTGGTTGGTTGATAGGATAACACTTCTTTCATTTCTATTTGTCAAGAATTATAAATATAAACAAGTATTTAAAAGAAATCATTCATTAATTTCATTGAGGGACATCTTTCTAATTGTATAAATTTCACAAAACTCAAAATTTTAAAAAATTGCTCTTAATAAAATATAGTGTAGCAACTTTTCTATTTAATAATGAGCGTTGAGAGAAAATTGCTCAAGTAAAAACATGCCACACATAAATAAAATACCGCCCTTAGTGAAATCCAAATAGAACTAACCAAATAAGGAATTGATAAGGAGCAAATAAAAATTAAGCAATTATTTTTACAGGGTTTAAAAAAATATTTCATACTTTTAATCATTTCCATAATTTAACTTAATAGTATTTTTTAAATGGTCTAATTTTAATTTGTTGAAATGTAGTAGTTTAGTAAACATTAAAAAAAAAAAAATAATAACTAAACAATTTATATTCTATGTATTAAGTATGTATATTTAACATTTGTATAAGTATAAGAAAAGGCAATTAACTTTAAACCAAAATTAAAATCTGCTCATCATTAATCTACATTATTATTATAATTAGTTAACATGATACCAAAACAAAACTTTTAAGTAAAAATTATTTCAGTAAATCAAACTTTTTTTTTTTAAGAGGTAAAATTAATTAAATTGAAAAGAATACAGGTTTTTATTTTGACAATTATTTGCAATCATTTTGAAAATTGTTGGTTTTTTAAATTTATATATATATATAAATGTTTGTTACCAAAAAACAAATGGCAAAATATAGTTTTATAAAATATATTGAAACACAATATTTTACATAGTATCATGAATTCCTAAACGAAATATGTCATGGGCACAATAGAAAGTACTACCTACTGATTTTAATACAAACACTTGATTGAAAGGATGAGGTGGATCTTCATCACACTGAAATCAAAATATAAAAAACTAAATATAGGACAAATTTAATAATAACATGCAAATGTGTAATGTATACCTGTAAACGTCCTAGGACATTAATTAATATACCACCATCAAACATTGGCTGCGAATCCACTGAAGTTACAACTCTATTAATTTTTTGGAAAGTCAAGCTCTAAAAACAAAAACGTTTAAGTATATAAATTTATTTTATTGTTTTATGGAAAAACAGAATATTGAGCCCCTATCATTGAGTCAGGAGTAAAATAATGATTTACAAGAACACATGGAGTGATTCTAGTTAAGTATACTAGTGAATGTACTTTTGCATGTACATTAAAAATATAGAAAAAACTGTTTGAAGTTTCTTCAAAACTTCTAAATGAACATTGATTTTCCATTAAACAGATTATTTAATTAGAATTCAATATTATTAATATTTCCCTCCCACAAAAAAAAAAAAAAAAAAAAAAAAGTGGTTTTTAATACTTAACCATTAGCATATTAAAAACTTTTTTGAATTACTATTAAAGTTACAAAGGTGATGGCTCGCTATACCTGCCAATTTCATTCACTGATTCAAGAGCTGCTGTGTAGGGAAAATTAAACTAGCAACCTACTACCTATAGGTTCAAATCTAATAATACTGCAAGGAGAATAGTGTTCTAAATGTGAACCTAAACCTTGTTATGTAAATAAATCTCAATTTGTTATGCCATATCATGTAGGCAGATGGAATTTTATGAAAGCTAATTAGACTGTCTTTTCAAAATCCCTATATGATAACTTCAGATGGATTGATCTAATAGTGAACAATTATGAAACCTTCATTGGTATGGTTAAGGAAGCTGCAAAACATTATATCCCCCGAAGCTATAGACACAAATACATCCCCTACTGGTATGAGGAAAGCAACAGAACTGTATGCAGAGTATCAAAGAAATGGCCAAGCAGAAAATGCGGACAAACTCTCAAACTCGCTAGCTAAAGGACGCAAGGACCGTTGGACTGAAACTTTAGAACGTCTAGATTTTAAACACTCTAGTCGAGAAGCCTGGAACGTATTACGCAGATTAGATCCCAGCCAAAATCGAGATGGCAGTGAACCAGAAATAAAATCTAGGGCATTTGCGAATCGACTAATAGAAATGTCAAGAGCCAATATCGATAAAGTTACATCAATAAAATTGATTAAAGACCTTAAAACTTAGTAAAGCAGCTGGACTTGATGAAATGTATCCGGAGTTCATAAAATGTAGTGGGCCCAAGACAATTAGACAACTCTCTCACTTTTTCTCAAACGTCCTCCATTCAGGAAAACTACCAAAACTCTTTAAACAAACAAACATTTTAGCAGTTTTAAAGCTAGAAAAACTAAAAAATGATGTAAACAGCTATAGACTGGTATCTCTTATTAATTATTAATAAATAATTATTAAGCGTATGCTACAAGTTACTTGAAATATTGATCTACAACCGCATTGCTAGCACTATTGATGATATTATTCTACATGAACAAGCTGAGTTCCGCCTTAATAGGAGTTGCTGCGACCTGGTAATGGCACTTATTACCCATATAGAAAATGGGTACAATAGAAAGTTAAAACTGCTGTAGTATTCATAGACCTATCATCCGCCTATGACACTGTATGGAAAAAAAAGATTTTAACAAGATACTTGGATGTGATCTTGTGCAAAACATAACTAAAACTTCTAAATATGCTCAGAAACAGATTTTATACTGTTTATATTGGAGAGAAAAAAATCAAAACAAAGATGCTAAACAATGGCCTTCCTCAAGGTTCTGTGTTGGCAGTCTTTTCTTCAACCTCTATATCAAGGACCTACCAGCAACAACTGCAAGAAAATGCATATATGCTGATGACCTAGCCCTAGCTTGCCAGAGTAAAGATTTTGAACACATAAAAAACATCTTGTCTGAGGACCTTGACATATTACTTAAATTCTACAACCAATGGAGACACAAACCAAATCCATCAAAAACGGAAGTCACCCTTTTCTATCTGAATAATAGAAGAGCAAACTAGGAGATACGGGTGGAATTTAGTGATCGGTTAGTGAAAAACAATGCCCATCCTAAATATCTGGATGTGGTATTAGACAGGACGCTTACGTACAAGAACCATCTAGCCAAACTTTTAGCAAAAATTAAGTCCCATCAAAGTATAATTGCCAAATTGAGTGGTACATCATGGGGAGCTGATGCGAAAACCCTGTATATAAGCACAGTAGCACTAAGATATTCAGCTGTAGAATACGGCATCCCAGTGAGGATAAATAGCACACATACCAATAAACTTGATACTCAGCTCAACTCGGTAATGAGAACCATAGGGGGACCTATTCAAATCTACCCCCTTAAAACGGCTCCTAGTACTGAGCAATATGGCTCCCCCAAGATCTGAAGGGAACAAGCTCTCATCTGGGAATGGACTAAGATCAACAATAAATAATAAGAGCCTTCTAATACATGCGGATTTAAGAGTAAATGGAGATAGACTACGTCTTAAGACCCGCAAACCATACCATCTTGGTTAACTGTAAAGAAGCTATTACTTGAAAATATCGAGGGAAATACCAAATGGCTTAAGGATTGGATGGCAGAAAACTCTGATGAATAATACATTGTTACCAATATAACATCTCAACAACCAGGCCTCGATCTGCCTAGACAACTTTGGGTGACTCTGAATCGCTCACGGACTGGCCATGGAAGGTGCAATCACATCATGTTTAAATGGAAACTACATACTACTCCTTCCTGTGACTGTTGATATAATACCTTAACAATTCCCCATATAGCAACTAAATGTCCGACCCAAGCATTCAAAGGCACTCTGCACTATTCATACAGCTAATATGGATGTAGTTGATCGGATATGAAATTTGGATATTTTAAATATCTCCCAGCTACAATGGTTACCATTTATTTTATTGTCCATAATATCATTATCACTGTTACCATAATTCTTGTAATGTATAGTTTAGCTTATTTTTATTTATTTTATTCTATTTTATGTTAATCCACTTAGTATATTTGTCTGTTAATATTTATATGTTTAAAGTTGTTACTCTACTCTGTCATACAAAATACATATAAATATATATATATATACGTAGGCAGATTCTTATTCTAAAATATTGACCTAAATGATACACATTTAGGAAGTTTTAATTTTTTATTAATTAATTAAATTTTGTGACTATAAACAAAATTAATTTAGTATAAAAATTATAAACAATTTTGATTAAAGACAGTAATAGATATCACTCACATTTAATTTTTCCATAATTTTAATGGTACCCTGTAGTTGGACACCTTCAAAAGTCATAAAAGAAGTTTCTGGCTAAATAAAAAAATATTAACAATTAATTAAGTCAAACATGATCAACAGAATTTTAAAAAAATGCATGATTTATAAATATAATGTAACATAAAACACTCACGTTATACATTGCAGCCAATGTAGGCCTTTGGGCAGGATCGTCAAATAGCACATAGTATTGTTGTACAAACCCTTTGCCAATTGCTTCATACGCAGGATTCAAAGACATGATGAATAAATGATTAAATTATTAATATAGAAATAAAAAATTACAATTTAAAACAAAATGTGGAAAGATGATAATAACTAAGTTCTATAGAAAACGCCGAAAAATGTTAATCTTCAGTTGGAAGAATTTGCTAAATGTTCTAATAGATATTAAATTTTGTCATGAGGATGGACGTTATTAGTTTTTTGTTCCCATTACCAGGGTTGTGGTAACTTTTGATAAGTAAATAATAAATAAAAAAAAGCGGGAAAATTATTTTATTTTAAGGAAATAATTCATTGGAACAAATAAAATTATTTATGAATAATAGGATTACTAATAATAGTAATAATTGAAAAATTCAATGTGTAATAATAAATTATTGTATTTTTAATTTTTCTGTACAGAAGGTCATTTTTGGAAAACAAAGTTATAAATCCTCTTTCCAAAAAGATTGGTCATCATTTAAAGACTATTCTTACCTACAAAATATACAATTTTTAGATTCTTTTTGTATAGATGGTCTGAAGGCTGAAAATTGAAATATTGAACTAGAACAAAAATCATAAGTTTTCGGTATATATATATATTGGTTTTCGGCCCATGGCTAGACGGGTGCAGCCGTTATGATGCAGATGACCGTTAAGTGATAAGCGACCTTGAACAATGTATCAACCGCTACACTGACTCTGACTTGTGCTCCGACTCCTAACAAGGTGGCTTGTATCAATTTTCTATTTAAAACTTTTTATTCACTAAGAATAATCAAAAAAACATCGAATTGTCTCAATTATTAAAATAATCTTAACCTTAACCTTAACCTGAGAAAGAATCTTAAAAATAAAAAAAAATTGAAAAATTGAATTTGACAATTTTTTTACAAGCAGAAAATTAAAACTTGTACCAATATATCAGTAGTCTTTGAATTCCTGGTACTAAATTTCGATTTTCGGTATTTTTAATTTAATCCACATAAAACCTAACACCGTGGATTATCAAATAATTACTTACCAAGTTATACCAGTTGTCAACCCATGAGCAGTAACAGTTCTACATTTTTTTTTTTTTTAATTTTAGATTCAGTGTAGTAAGGAATGTATGTTTATATTTTTACTTTTATTATACCGTTAACAAATTTTTTACCAAAAATTGTACTCTGGTGCATCATTTGTAGCTTTTTCTGAAAATAGAATTTTTTCTACATAATAATTTGAGATCATTTTTGATTTTCTAAGCAGTTTTCATAATTATGAAACAAGACGCGAAATTTACAAAAATACTTCAATTTTGTTTGTTGTAATTCAGTTAAAAATATTCATAATTAGTTTAAATTCTGATTCATATTTCTCTTTTCTAAACGTGGTAGCATTTTCAAAACATATACTCTTGTTATTTTTGGGTTATTTATATATTTTAATTTTGCTAGTGTTTTACGTTATTTTTTATTGGATGAATAAAATTGTTAGACTAAACAGAAATGCATGCAAATTTAACAGGTGGTTCATTATAAGTCGTACTTTCAAAAAATAAAGATTTAATTTAACGTAGTATTTTTTTTTTTTTTTTAAGAATTTTAATATTAACTAATATTGATGAAAATTGTAAATTTGATGGCCTTTTAAAACATGTATAACTGAAATTTGCTTCAAATTGTTTTTCGCTAGCAATGTCATGTCTGCTTTTGTATTATTAAAAATTCAGATTTTATAAATTTTGGGACCTACCAATTTCTTCCTCTGTCAAAAACAGTCATTTTGAAGAAACAACTAAATATAGATATTTTTAATATTGCATTGAAATGTATACATTTTTTAAATTTTTCATTAATTGACTTTTAGTAATTAATAATTATGAACTACATTTATTGTAAAAATATGAATAAATAAATGCACACTATTACACACCTTATGTCCAATTTTAAATTTGAAATATGTAAATAACATAATAAAAAAATATAAGAAATAAAGATGATTAATTGGATATGAATACTACATTTTATATAATGCTAAATTATTTAAAATACTGATGTACTAACCCAATGTATCTATGTTTATGTTATGTACTTATGTATGTTTGGACCAATGACATAATTATTTATTATATCAATAGTTTTGACAAAATATGACTGCTCTCTAGTTGGTCACTTTTATTATCTAGGCTCTCTGCTAATAGTATTTTGATGTAAGTAAAACCATGTATTTGTTAAAATAAAAATATTATGTAAAATAAAAATATTTATTATAGTTAAATTTTTTTTTATAAAACTGAATAATAATAAGGAGAATTAATTTCTAAAATTAAAAAAAAAAACAAACAGGTACAGGTTTTATAAAAAAATGTCTATATTAATTATATACATTATATATATATATCACGAATGTTAATTAAAATAACCATGTACAATATCAATTTTACAAGTACAATTGCAAATTTTTAAAAAAATTGAATAAAATTACAATATACAACAAAATTTTATACAAGAGCTTAAAATCGTACAACATTTATATTGATGCAATTTTAATTATAATATACATTCAATTCCATGTTTATTATTTTATATAAATACATGCCATCAATTTATAAATTGCACATCAACATATCAATTATTAAATTTATACAGAGTATTTTCTATGAAGGAAAAAAAATAAGCGTAACAGTCACAACTTCACTTGAAATAATATCTACAGTGACCTTTTATTATGAAAAATCATAAAAAAGACCATCAAAATTTAAGATTAACATTTCCTTAATACTATTTAAAATTATGTTTCGTTTTTAGGTAATTTTAACATCAGCTATTAATTATGTTGATAATGGTAACAGCCTATATCTAATTTTATTACAGATTATATAATATTTGTAGACAGTACATACAAACAAACACACATATACACACACACACACACACACACACACACATATATAATATTTATAATTACATAAGACATGTTATGAATTGTATGCAAAAATTTAAACAAAATTTATTTAATACTCATCTTTCATCAATGTGATTTATAAAGAAAATATAAATATAAATTAACATTATAAATAATTAAATATTGTTATTCTTTAACATACAATTGAAATCAATAATTTTTTTTTTTGAAACAATTTTTACAAAGGACAAAAATTTCTATATTAGTCTGTTAATGGTAAATAAAAAATAATAATAAAAATAAACAAATAAAAAAAATAGAATAAAATAGGTAATGAGAACCAATCTTCCCAAAATTTTTTTTTTTTAACTAAAACGGTATTGAATGTTTACATCATTTAAGTTGTGCGTGGTGTATGTGAATTGGGCGATGAAGGTATTGTCAATACAGTTGGTTGCTGTTGCTGAGGTGCCATAGATACAGCAACTATTGAACCGGTTTGGCCAGATGAGCTTTGTACTCGTAACTGACCTTGACGGACAGACATTGGCTGACCTTGTTGAAATACAACCTAAAAAATTATGACTTATTATAGGATACATTAATGTGTATTATATTATACTAGAATGGAAGATTTTTATAAGTAAATCAAATGTCGTAAATATCAAAATATTTAAAGAGGAATAATGGAATGTTAAAAAAAAAAATAATAATAATTGATGCCATAACTTAGAAATTGTATGGCTAAGTCAAAATTTGAATCCCAAATAATAATAATTTATCTATACTAAACATGTTTCAAATATACTTTCTAGATCCTTTTGGCCCTATTATATACAATAAATAAATATAAATTAAAACATTGTATGATTATTGATTTGATTTTTTCAGTTATATTTAATGTACACAATGAGAGTAAGTGTTGTGCAATTCAAACATTATGACAGAGGAAGGATACACTTTTTCTAATTATTATTATTATGCATTTATTATTTTAAAATGTATATCTAAACGGCAGTTACAAAAGGGTAAACAATGAAACAAGTTAGACAGACAAAACAATACTATTACCTATACATAAAATTAAACATAATTTTAATATATAAAGTATATTTAACATAGAAGGAATGTATAAGATAGGAATCAGGAGAAGTATTCTGGGCATGTGGTGAAGGGGTGGTGGTTATGGCTGTACATAGTGGTGTTACTCGGAATAACAAAAGGAAGCGGGTTGCGGGTATGGTACGATGGACTCTAAAACAAAGTTTTTCAAGATCTGGAGCATCTATGAACCCATGAGGCAATGAATCTTTGGTCAGCTTTGAAGCGACTTTGAAGATAGTTTGGTCCTGGAGAAGTTCAGGGATGTGGGAGTAGTGTAATGTGTGTTCAGAATGTTGAATATGAAAGCAGCATAAGTTAAAAATTTATTCTGTACTTGCTTAAGGCTAAATTGGTCTTTCACATGGAAAAAGTGCCAAATAATCACATTGAATTAGAGTAGAGGTCTAATAAGTGAAAAATTTAATGAATGTAGATTTGAAACTTTTGGTGTTATGTTTAATGAATCCAAATACTTTCAATGCTCTATTAACGGTAAAGTTGATGTGATATTAAAAAAAAGAGAAAAATATCTCAAGGTGTTAAACAATGGAAGCACGTTGTAGCAGATGGTTATTAAAAGTATAAGGATGAATTATGGGACTGGAGAAAGAGATCTGGAAAAAAAATGATATGGCACTTATTCAAGTTAAGAATTAAGCCGACAATGGTAACCCAGTGATTGAAAATGTCTAGTTCAGCCTGAAGAATTAGGCAGTCAGAAAGGGAGTTTATTTTAGTAAAATATTGCTAGTGATAGAAACAGATAGAATAAAAATGGATTTGAATGACTGTCTTGGGGAATTCAGGAAGAAACTTCAACTAGACTTTGGCAGTTATTATTAAGTTTGACGAACTAAAATCTGCAAGTTGAATTAGAAGAAAGCCAAGATAGAAGTGGGTTACCAATAGTTCATCAGTTCTATAGAGAGCTATCTATGTTCTACAAAATCAAGTTTATGAAAAGTCTGTCATAATAACGTCAACTTGTAAGCTAGATTCTATAGTCAGAAATAAAAGAAATGCTGCAAGTTGTGGTTGACTTGCTATATTATTCAGGGATCGGTATATAATCGAGGCTACATTTAATGTAGTTGTAGACAATTAATTCAAACTATTTTCCCAACAATGTATAACAAATTGTGATATATATTAAAATTAAAAAAAAAAAAATCATTAAATCACTGTTAACGATATTTGGTAAGAAGCCCACAGTATAATGACTTATACTTATATATATTATAAATTATTATCACAATAATCAGTTAATATTTGATTTTAATACACATGTAAAACTTTCAACTAAAACAAAAGAAGGTAAATAAAAAAAATTCACACCTGAGATAGAATGTTTGAAGGATGTCCAGGGTTACCAGCAGTTTTAAATACATTACTCAAAGTACATGGTTGTAATGTCGAACGGCCAGTTTCAATTCCAACACCAGACGTGGTTCTTAATGTTTGAACTGGATTAACCACCTAAATTAAAATCATAAAATATTGTGAAAATTAAAAAAAATGTTTAGATCTCCTTGTTCTCCTTCACCTTCATCATAACTTTACAACATCGGCCACCTTTGTTCTAAATTTATTTTTGATTCTATCTCCTACTACACATACACTGGCTGTTCTCATATCATTCATAATCACATCCAACCACCTCTCTTTTCAGTCTTGCTTTTCTCCTGTCTATTTTCATTACAATTGCTTCCAGATTCCTTTATTTCCTTTTTTTGTGAATGTTAGAGACATACACAAAACATCTCAGTTTATTTTCTTGCATTTTGTCTTCAATCAAGGCCACACCTTCTTCTCATAAGCTCTACAGGTCAGGATGGCTCTTGGGTTCCTAAACAATTTTTCTCCAGTTCCGTATCCTTATCTTTCTTAACTTCGTCTATCCATCTACTTCTTGGACGTCTTTGTCTCCTAGTTCCCTCCAATATTGCATGCATTACCTGTTTGAGTATTCTTTCCTTATCCATTCTTTCTACATGGCCAGGATCCTGCATGATTTTATGTATTTCACTATGCCTTTATTTACTAAAATGTGTTCTATTTCTGTTGTTTTGTACCCTCCATATTCCTCTTCATTCATTGATCCATATAGTTTAATTTAGGGATCTTTGACAGTTTTGATTTGAGGAGTGTTATAATGACATAGTATGCATGGCTGCTAGCCATGATTCTGAATTCTTGAATTCTGTGATAGTAACTTATTCAAGAATTTTTCCTATCAAAACTATAATATTTGAAAACATCATATACCATGGTACCTACTCTCATCTGTTATCCCTATATATATATATTTGAGATAAGAAAATCTACCAATTTCTTGTTTAAGATAGAGTATACTGTTTGACAGATTTTTACATCAGCTGTCATCCTGACACAACCTTATTTATTACCTCTTATGATATGTGAAAATACCATGGAAATATCCTTATCTCATATTATAGAAAGAATGGTATTATTGTCAACTGTAAGGTGACTTCAACCACTTTACAGAAACAATACCATAAGCGTACTGTAATCACTCATTTAGGCTTTCCATCAAAATGATTCAGATAATAAAAGAAAATACTAGAATACAATAATTATGTTATACCTGAATTGCTTGTTTTAATGAAGTTTGACTTGTAACAACAGGTAATACTCTTGTTAATCCAATACTTGAAGGCTGTCCTTGACTTTTAGCAATCATATGGGAAATTACTTGTCCACTATTTGAATTTGATTGCATTGCAGTTATGTTTGCACCAGAGACCTTAAATTATAAAATAAACAAATCATTAAACAAATGCTTGATTTTGGAACCAAATATCAAATATAATACAAAGAGAATGTAAGAACTTTTAATACTTATTTAATCATTCAAGTATCACTATTATTATCTGGAGAGATAATAATATAAAATATATTGGTTATTTTTTTTTTTTAAAAAACAAAAAGTAAAACACATATTAAAAATACCTAATTTATAAACTTAACCACTTCAAACATTTTAGAACAAAAAAAGTATATTATCAGTATATAGCAATATTACTTTGCTTAAGCCACGATATATAAAAACTAATAGGTTAATTCATGGTATGGACATTTTTTAATTTTAAAATTATCTAAAATAATATCAAACTAAGATAAAAGAAGTTACAAATCTAAGAATAGAGATTAACAGTCAGAAAATAAGTATATTGTGTTTTGCTGCAATGACATGGCTTTAATTGCTGAAAATAAGGAAGATTCAGATACACTAATCAAAACCATGAATGAATTATTTATTAAGGATTTGCACATGAAAATAAAGGTACAAAAGATAAGTACTTGTATGTGAAAGAGAAATTAAAACTAGAGAACAGATAAAACTAAGAGGAAATCAAATAGTAAAACAAAGATGAATTTACATACCTGGGGGGCACAATCACCAATGATGGAACAAATGGGAGTGGAATAATAAAATGTTTGTTGAGCCAAAATAGCCTTTAACAAGAAAAATCTACTTATATCAAGAAATATTAGCCTAAAAACAAGAAAAATTTATTGAAGATGTATGTATGGAGTATGACCTTTAAGGTATGAGACCTGGACAATATCAGTGAAGAAAAAGAAAAAGACAAGTCAATTGAAATGTAGTGCTATTGAATAATGTTAAGGATAAGTTGGATAGACAGAGTAACTAATGAAGAAATGCTGGAAAGAATATCAGAAGGAGTCATTATAGATAATTATAGTTAAAAGACAAAACTAATGGATAAACCATAGAATGCGACTCGGAAAATTGGTAAAACGACCTTATTTTTGTTGTATAATAGACTTTAAATTAAAAGAAAATTGTTAACGAATAAATTAAATCATATATTAAATTAAATTTCAAAACACAAAACAATGATAACTGATAAAACTGTTTTTTCGAAAATTTTTATGGTCAGTGTAATGACAAACAATTTATAATATCGACAGTGAATTATAATTATGCAATTGACAATTAATAACACTCAAAAAATAAAAATTACTGATATCCAATCGTATCTATAAGTTACATGACCCATTTACGATAATTTACAGGTCTGTAAATACTACTGTGCTCTAGCAACAGTCAATGTTGTTTACAAATCTTAAAGTCCCTACAAAACTTTTATGCAACTCATCCTCAGCCAAATTTAGATTTAATGATAGTGTGCTGGAGTATTTTTTTAACATTATAAATGATTAATTAATTTGAAAATTTGAGAGTCTAATATTAAAGGAAAGTAAAAATCAAAATTTATATTTAAATTATTAGCTTATAATATTCAACTGAATATAATACTGGATGGATATATTTGTTTACATTAAATGTATAAACAATAACGAAAAAAGTATTAATATTAAACAAGCGTATTTGATTGATGTTGGTTGATTGTTGTAATTTAAGGATTGGTTGATACGTTCCTGTAATACTAGATTCTTGAATTGATCGGTTCATCAATTTTAATCATTAATCAAATGTTATAATGCAGAAACCGACCAGTCAACACAACAATCTTGTGGAAAACAAGATATGAATAGTACTATAAAATACAAAGTAAATTATAGTACAGTAGTACATATAACACTTATTGGCATTAATCATTGATAATTAAAATCCCAATTAGATGCAAATAAAATATTTGTGGGATGCCTGGTTTTTACTTAATGACATTCAATTGTTTAACATAAAATATAATTTAAAAATAAAAGTAAATGAATTCTCTAAAGACATATTTCATAATTACTTACTGTAAGTGCATACATTAAAAATATAATTAAACATTTGAGAAAAACATATTATATAATTATTTTATACATATACATGTATGTAAATACTTATGAAAATTAAATACTTACACTAACGTTTTGAATGTTTTGTTGTTTCATCATTGTTTGTAATTGTTGCATAGTCATTGTACTTGGTACACCTTTAGACTGAACAATTAATTGAGTTGGAACACCTGTTTTACCAGCCACCTAACATATTAAAAAAAAAAAGTATAAATCCTCTTCGCAATCACCTCTACTATTTGGGGTCAGCCAAATAAATAGCATAAATAATAATTATATACATATTACTTAAGAAAAAGAGATAATTTACCATAACTTGACTCAATTGAGTAACTTTTTGAGCAGGAATTTTTCTATGAGCTAACATAGGCTGTTGAAGTGTTAAATGTCTAAATTGTTGTTGTTGGGGATTAATGTTTTTTGTAGCAGCTGAAACACTTATTGTATTTTTAGCACCAGCTGAAAGCATCAAACTTTGTACAGATGTTTTAACAATTGATGGCCCAGCAGATGATGATGGTTGCACTGTCACAGCTTGTGCTTGTTTTTGTTGTAATAACTGATGTCTTTTAATGAAATTTGTTACATCAGTATCAGTTATATTTCTGGTATTTATTGTATTTTTGGGCCGAACATTAACTGTAGTAGGTGTTTGAGATGTTTGGACGGGTATGATGTTAGCAGTAGATGTTTTTGTTGCACGAGCATTGACCATTTTAACTTGCTGTTGTCTAGTAATATTTTGTTGACGATATAATTGAATTTGGGATTGGGGGATAGCTTTGTTCATAGTAGTAACTACTGAAAAATAGGAATGATTGAATTAAAATAAATATAAAATATATTCTAATAGAAATCAAGATGAAACCAATAACAACTAAGTTCAAACTAGCAGAATTAATACGAATATTAATATATTTAATACACTGGTAAAAAAAGCTACTTTAAGTTTGTCCAGCAAGAAAACTTGCCAACACTATACAAAATTGGTTTGTTCTACACATTTCTTCAGATCATCCAGCCATAGTGTCATTGCTGCTATGCAATAACCAGGTTTCTTGGAGTCTCAGAAAGCTTACTTCAGTGTGTTTTTTCATTAGACATACAATATCGAGTTATTCATTTAACCAGGTACACTCATTATCTCAAAGTGAAAACTTTTTTCGAGATTTGATTTCTAGAACATTTTAGAAACAAGCAGCAGCTCTACAACTAACTTTATATTTATGTTATTTTTTGGGGATAAAACCACTGCTTACTTTTGATTTTCAAATATATATATATTAAAAATTCCATAGATAAAGTATTAGTTAAAATAAATTTTAGTGTTGAATTTTTTTTATTTCCGTCAAGCCATTGACTATATATTTCACTTTAAATTTTAGGTTAGAGGAATGTAGTTGTGTATTAATAATGACATTCCACTACTCTCCTCCAACTCAAACTCAATAGTGGAATATCTCGTCAACAGATCAAACTGAAATCAAAAATTTCAATACTTAAATTGATTTTAACTAATACTTCATCTATTTATGGACAATTAAATATAGGTTGTCTTTTGAAAATTAAAAGTAGGCAATGGTTTTACCCCCAAAAATAACATAAATATAAAATTGTAGAGTAGCTTGTTTCTTAAATGTTCTAGAAAACAAATTATCAAGAAAGTTAATACTTTCCGAGATTATGAGTGTACCCACTTAGATGGATTATCTGGTAGTATTATAATAATGTACAAATTGATTCTGCAAAGCTAAAATACAGAATCTAATATTTTACTATACATAATTTTGTACATTTTTTAACTTATCACTGATTACTTTACTGGAAATAAATTTGTTACATAAAATTAGACAAATATAATAATCCGCAAATTTTTCTAAGAGAAAAAAGTTCTATTATAATAAGTATTATTACCAAGTTTCAAGTCTCTACATGTATTTATAACTGTATTCCAGCAAAAAACTCCCAGAAATTAAATCAAAAAAGCAACAAAAAAAGTATCGTGTGATTTTTTAATTAAATACTTTTTTCTGATAGAAAATGTCGTTAGTGTTTTTATAAAATAATGAAATTGTGAAATTATATGTTTTACTAGTTTTTTCCCACTTAAGTGCTTTTATTTAAAAAATGGTATCATAAATCAAAAATTGAACTGTTTAAGGTACAATCTAGACAACTTTAGCTTTTAGAAAAGGTGCTACACGTAAAAATTGAAATAAGTTAACTAGGAAAAACTGTGTCCACAGACTAGAACAATGAAAGAAAAAACATCATAGTAAAACTAATAGCTTCCCCGGATCGCTCGGAATATAAAAATTACTATCATATAAATAATAATTTTAATACTCAATAATACTTATAAGTAAATTTGTATGTCCAACTCAAATTCTTAATTGAAAATCAAAATTTAATTAATTATTTAAGATGATTTTAATGTAGCATAGAGAACCATTTTTAAATAATTAAGATCTAAAAATAATAATTTTTTTTCTATTTATAATTTTAACTTAAGAAGTAATGTACAATAATTATTGATTAACCTTTTCCAGTAGTAGAAGATGCTTGTGTCACAATGGACGCTTGAGTAAAATTAAGTGCACGTTGGACAGCAGCTGAATAATGAACAGACATCGGAACCACCTTAGGACTAGCTTGTGTTATATTTTGTACTTGTACATTTGACTCCTAAAAAGAGTATAGCTCATTTTTAAAACCAAATTTATAGAAAAAATACTAGTTAAGAATATAATTACTTGAACAATAGAAGGAGAAGGAGAACTCATAATAATACGATGTTGAGTTGTGGGTGTAGGTCTAACAGCAGGTGCTGGACTAATATTTTGAGTAGGAGGTAAAGAGTTGGGTAGTTGAATAGATTTCACATTTTGAGGTTGCGGTTGCACTCTAACTGGTGGTGGTTCAGTAATTTGTTGCTGTTGTTTTTCTCGTATCATACGATCAGTGCGGCGGCTAATTACATGCATTGGTCCCAAAGGTACATTATAATCTACATCATAATTTTCTTTCAATATTGCAATGTGACTAGCATTTGGGATTAGTGGCGTATTAGCCGATTGACTAGGTACAGATTGACTGTTAGTTCTGCACAGAGGTTGTCGTTTAGCAGCTACAGACAATAAACCATTGAATCGGGAAATAAGTAACTGAGTGTGTGTACGATTACCATCTGTTGTATATATTTGTGAGGTACGTAATCCACGATTCATTTTCTAAAAAAAATATATACATATATATATATTATTTTATAATTATAACCCTGATAAAAAATGTATAGTTTTATAAAACAATATTTTACTTTTTTCTGTTTTTTGAGTAATTGTTCCTGTAACATGCGACCTTCTTCTCGTGCTACTATCACTGATTCATAACTATAATGTATCATTAAAATATTTTTAAATGAATATTAATATAATAAATTATCAAAGTTTAATAAATGGTTATTTATAAACAAATATCAAAATCATATTTTTTTTATAAAATAATAATAAAATAGCATTTACCGATTTTTACATTGTTTAGGAGATCTATATACACGGGACATCATATTAACTAACTCTGATACTAGATCCCAATTAGGTGTATGAGCTGGACATAGAATTACTAAGTTTAATGTCATTTCTTGTATTCTTTGTACAGCCTAAAAGATAAAATAATATGTAAATTAAATACTTAAAGTATAATGCTAATAAAATACTTACTTGTAAAAGTGCATAGTCCTCATGTATGAGCCAATCTGGTACATGAGGTGGTTCTGGTACAGGTCGAGCTGGTAAAGGTGGCTTTAAGCTGGCTAAAGTCATAGTCATGGGTCTATTAATACCACGATATCGTTGAATACGAATGTCATTGCGCATCTTAAGCAACGCACCAGAAGCACGATCAAACATTGAACGAGGTAAATGGGGAAAAATGTTTTCATTGGGCCTCCATTCACCAGCACTATTATCTCTTATAGACTTTGTGTTTGATGATAATGAACCAGGTAAACATGTTCGATCTAAACAATTGTTATTTATATAACTGATGGTGAAAAACAAGTAAATGTTTAAAGTGTAAAACTATATAACCGTTATTTTTCACAGTTAAAAGGGGTGACCATAACTGTTAATTGTTTAGTGAATTAATTTATCATTAACTAAGAAAATTAATATTAATAAATTCTTGTTATCAGCAGTTACAAAAAAAAGTAATTAATTACATACTGTTTATAAATGTAACTTCAGTTCTTGGTCGTTTCCGAGCAGATGGCATGGGAGGTAGTTGAGCTTCTGTCATTGGCATATAAGAATACCGATTGAAGTATAATGGGTCATGATAGAGCTCATTTTCTCCTGACCATGGTCCAAGAATTAAATGCTTTAAAATTACGTTTTAAAATTATTATACACAATTTCCCTTAAAAATATAAATTAATCAACTAACCTTTGGTACATCAGATTTTTTTGAGCCAAGGTTGGGGAATACCATCTGCAAATAGAAAATACTCACAAATTATTTTAACCCAAGAAAACAATATTGTATCCTTCAAATATTTCATAACCATGATGACATTATTTAATCAAAATAAAAAAAAAAATCTTTAACTTTAAAATTTAACTAAGTGAGACTATAAACATTAAAAAATAAGGATTATTCAATTTCTATTTATCAAAACTCTCAGGTTTTGTAAAAATATACTCTAATATTAAAAATGACTTAATGTAAAAAAAAATTGAGGAAATTAAATGCCAAAATACTTGTAATATTGTACTTCAATACTTAAAATTAACTTTTAAAATATTGTATATAAATAAAATAAAATATATTTTAAACTGTTGAATGTATGGGGGTTTTACAATTTTGTTTTTGTTTTTTGTCTCATAACAAATTTTCTACCAGAAATTTTTTTCCAATCATCGAAATATAGCTTCTTTTTTTTTTTTATAAATGCTGCCTAATTTGTTCAATTTGGAGTGGGGTTGAGAGGTATTGGCGCTGGTCATTATTTTATTTTATTTGTACTTTTCATAAGAGTTCTAATAGACTTCTAAAAATAGCTTTAAAATGTAATTTAAAGGTCTTATAAAATCTATAGTCACGATTATCTTTATAAAAGTTTGAAATTTAAATTTTGACATAAAAGCTTGGGTCATTCTAAAACAGAACCCTATACAATAAATACAATTGCATTTTAATTTTATATAAAAAAATCAAACATTAATTAATATTGCTTTTAAGTCTTAAGTTTAATATAAGGGTTTAGCATATATAAAAGAGGGGATCAATCCTGTAATTAACATACAATTGCTAAATAATATTAATTAAAACCAATAGAAAAATAATTAGTAAAACTAATATAATAATTATATAATTATATAATAATCAAAAAAGTGTAATGCGATTGGACAAACAAAAACCATAATTTAGAAACATAGAAACAAAACCTTAATAAAATATAATAATATTATAGAATTTATAATTAATTAAATTTTTTGATTCTGAAGCAAAGCGAGAATGTATTGATTTTTTTTTATTATTTATATTGTGTACAGAATTTCTACAATAAATCTTGCTCTGATGTATCAAGTGTAGATATCACCTTTTCTGAAAGCAACTTTTATCTACATGGTACTTCAGGAAAGTCATTTTCTAAACAGTTTTCATAAAATTGGGAATAACAGGAAAATTTATAAAAATAATAAATTATTATTTTAAATTTTTTGTTTTTTGTTGTTATTCAGTTTAAAATATTCATAAACTTGAAATTTGAACAGAAAACTTATATTTGCTTTTTCTAGACGTGGTAAAATTTTTAAAATGTTTGAGCCTTTTTGATCTTTTATAGATATTTTGATTTTCTGGTTTTTTTTTTACCTAATTTTAATTCAGTAGGTACTTTGTGGATAAAATTGTTACACCAAACAGAAATGCTTGAAAATTTAACAGTATTCTAAGTTGAATTAAGAGGTTAACAAGAAAAATTTCAATTTAAAGAATTTTAATATCACATATTAACAAAAATCGTAAATATTATGGCCTTTTAAAATATGTATAACCAAACTCCATTCAGAATCAGTTCTTTTAACAATAATTAATCATTGTTCATAGATTTAAATTTCCCTCTATATCCTATCTTCCCAACTTCTCACCTAGAACAGTGGCATACCCATTAGCGTAGTATGTCAGACTTTTAATTATGATTTAATTAGGAAAATGGGAACTTTAAATACAATTGTTATTTTCAATTTGACTACATTTAGTAAATATATTAAATATGAAATTGAATCTTTTTATTGCTTCATGAAAATAAAATAAAAACCAGAATGTACTTTATAATAATTATACGATAATATTAATGACTTAGATATTTTACATTAATTTTATTTAAGACTTATTTTGAATAGACTAATGAAATTAAACCTAACCTTTTCATAACATAATGTTTAAAGCTAATTTTAGTCAATTTTGATACTAGTTTTTTACAAGAAACTTTTGAATTAATACATTCGGTTAGGTTATAGCTAAAAAATATTTATTATGTCTATACATCATAATATTCATAAATATGTTAAAAAAAAGTAACCAAAACAAAAATTAAAATTAATTTTAACATTTCATCTTGTATGTTTCTTACCTTATATTGGTAACCTACTAAAAATGATTAACATCACAATGTATAAATTGTTTATAAATATAAATGTATTTAAAATATTGTTCACTTGATATTTATCATAATTTAAGTTATAATATATTTCAAAATTTAAATCAATAGTTAATAACAGACGAATTGCTTACATTCTTTAAAATAAATTTACTAGTAAATAGCAATATATGAATAAAATGAAGACAAAGCTCTTTTGTGGAGATACAATTAAACATAGTTAAAGTAGTAGAAGTTTAGGTTAAAACATAGACATATTTCTCTGATCAAGCAAAACAATTTTTTAAAAATCATTATGATATATTATGTTGTCAAAATGAAAAGTTTATTATTAGTAATCCTAGTTTAAGTGATGCTTGGAATGTATATTAATACATAAGTAAATAACGTATTTGACCTAACAATCTTTATATATATACAGAAGAGAATGATCAAAATTCTACTCTAGTGTTGGAGCTGAACATCTGAGATGTATTTTTGATTTTCCTTGCAGCTTTTTAAGTAATAATTGAGAAAAACTAATATATTTATAATAACAATTTATTTTATATTTTATTTTTTTCCCAGAAATCTCGTTTCAAATTTCAAGTGTAACCTTTTTTCTGAAAGAAAACTTTTTCTAGTTGGTAAATTAGTAAGTCATTTTTTCTAACTGAATAAATTAATATTCATTAAAATAATATTAAATATTAAAATTAAACTACTTCTAAAAAATGGTGAAATTTAATCACATAAAAGTGGAGTTAGGGGTTAAAAATTTAAATTACAAAAGACATCTATCCTTGATACAAAGTCATGCAACTATACAATTTGATCTCCTTGGTTTCATTAGTCTGAAGATGTACAAAACTAAAACACCCTTCACCCAAAATATGTTCAATTCACATTGAAATTCAACTCAGCCTAACACTATTTAATACCAGAGTTTTAGCTCATTTGATCCAATGTGAGCTAATAAAATTGACCAATTATAGTGAGGAAAAAACAGTGCAATAGTCCATGTTTAAGGAAAATCATGACAAAAATTAAATCTGAAAATCACCAACTAGATACAATTTGCTTTTAGAAAATCAGGCACATAAAAACAGAACACTTCTAGTAGAAAAATTGTTGACAGAAAAAAAAAGCAAATGGAACATACTTTGCACAGCGTGTGAAAAAATCAAATAAACATAATTTTAAAACAATCTAAAAGATCTGATATTGCCAATAGGTGTGCCTAGTGGCATGGTGATGAGATGTTGGTTAGAAGAACATAGATAACAATTAAAACAAACTACAACTAGTGGGGAGGGTTGTAATAATGAAGGCATGAAGCATTAAAAGAGAAGTTGTCCATCATTGTTCATAATTCTTAAGTGTTCGCCATACTACTACATAATCTATAAAATCAACACATTATACATAATTTTACTTAATTTAAATCTGTACCCAACAATAAACCATTGTTGACAAAATACAAATCTGAGTGAAGTTTGGGTAAACATGTTTTAAAATTTTTACAATTTTTGTCTCATTTAAACATAAAATGCTGTACTTATTTTTTCTTACCACTAAGAATAATTAATAATGAACTTCATTTTCAATAATTTCTATTCTGTTACACAATATTACCAAATTAAACCAAATAAAACTAAGACTTCTATTTCAAATCTTTATAAAGAAAATCGCATTGTTTTCAAAATTTGACGGTGTCTAAAGAGAGGTAATATAAGTATTTAAAAACCATCTCAGATCAATATGTTTTATTTTTACCGTATTGTAATACTGTACACTTTTCTATTTTCCAAATTATTAAGTAAAACACCCGAAAAAATCAAAAAATAGATAAAATTTCCTTTCAGAATAAATAATACACTTAATTTTAGAATAAAATTTCTGGTAGAGAAACAAAATTAAAAACTTAAAATAATACAATTATTATCTGTTTTAAATAATAATATTTTTCCAATATTATAAAAACTGATTAGAAAATCACAAAATAAAATTCTCAATTCAAAATTCATTTTTTAACTGAAAAAAAATTAGCTCAGAATAATAATAATAATAAAAAAAAGACACATTAAAGTAAAACTAATATATTCCGAAAAAACTAAATAATAACTTATATTGAGGTAAAAATTAAATGCATAATATGATTTCACCAATCTTGAGAATTATTTTTCATTCTTAAGATGCCACTACATATGCATTGATTATCTGTCTTTGATATGAAACTGGATATAAGTCTGGTAAGATATAGCAAATTTTATGGAGTTACTTTTAGTGTAAAGTGAATTTTTACCAATTTAATGTTAGTTTTTTCTCCATATTTTAATTTTTAAATTGTGATAATTTATATGGATTATATCTCACTTAAAAATTTAAATATTGGGTCAAAAAACTTGTGTAGAAACACAGATTATATTCAGACTTAAATTTAGTTATTCAATTTATTAATCTAATATTAAACCTAACAATTTTTCCTATTGAACACAAATGGGGGTTTGTAAGTTGGAAATAGTGGATAGTAGTGTAGTCATCATAAAGGGTATTTTAAATAGAACTTGGGAACGCCTTATCTTTCTATAACCAACACTTATACAAGATAACAATTTATATCAAGTTTTTGTTTATTAGTCTGTTTAAAACTAGTGGAGAGTTCAACCAGGCTACATTTTTCACATTTAATGTTATTATTATTTTTAATAATAATAATAAACATAATAAATGCAGAAGTTTTCCTAGGTTACATTTTTGGCCTGATTAAATGTAGACAGGTAAGTACATAAAAAATTTCAACATTTTGTTGACCAAGCGATTCTCAAAAAAGCATTAGAAATTTCTAAAATTTGTTCAAATAAACTAATAGTTTGAATCTTATCTTTTAAGATACGACCTAAAAAAAATGGTGTATTTTCAGTAACCTAAATATTTTCTTAAGAGAAAAAAAATCTTAGTAATACTAATAGCTTCCTTACTACACTTAGAATCTAAACCATTTATATTATTGACTTTATTTATAGATAAACAAAAATTTTAATTTTAAGAAAGTAATTTACTTGTAGAAATTCTATGTGTTGACACATCAAAGGGTTGTGTAATTTATTTGAACTTTCTACTAGTATAAAAATGTAAAATTTGAGATGCATATAGACTAGAACTTTTAATGATATCTGAGATGATGAATAAAGAAATTTCTTTATTAATTAACAACTTAACTGGTTAATTGTAATGATGACATTTAATTTATCCACATATCTTAAAACAATCCACATTGTTCACAGAAAAAATTAATAATTTGTCCATCCATAGAAATATACAAAACTAGTAATTCAAATGTTCTTTTTTCAGCAATTAGATTTAACAGTACATGTTAGTATACTGTTTAATTAATTTTGTTCCATACGTTAAATTTTGCTGAACAATTTGTTTACCTTATTTAGTAATTGTTGTCAATATCATCATATCATCAGAAGTCGTCTTCTCTTGCTCTCTGTGCGATACGATGTTTTTCTTTATTTGTTTCGGATAGTCTCTTTTGCCAGTCCTGTTTGGACTGGCAAGGAGGGGCTTGTGTTTTGGTGACAACCTCTATGCCAGACCAAACAAAAAAACGATCGGCTTAAGTTTTCCAATTATAGTGATAATAATTAATTTCAACAAAAATATTTTATTAACCATTAGTGTAAAAATAAAAATGTTGAAAAACTTAAATTTAAATTAAAAATTCTAAATCAACGCACTGCGAGAGCTAGAGAAGAGTTTGCTTCTAATGAGGGACACCAAAACAGAGCCCAACCTTGTGGAGAAGCTATCAAGAAACATAAAAGAAAAACAACCATAACACATGAAATTAAATATATTTTTAATTTTATATAAAAATGTACAGTTGGTTACAAAAATGTAAATTAACTTGTCCTGTTATAACGATAATTTGTAAATATATAAAAAAAATCTCTATTGGGAGAGAAAACAAAACAAGTTTGGAACATTAAATCTAAAATAGTTTATTTATAATCGCTGAGGTCTAAGACCATAATTGCTTTTCTTCCTCGCTTTTGTTTCTAATTGTATTTTTTCAATTTTCTTATTAGCAGAATTATAATTTCTTTTCTTAGTCCTACCTATAGTTTTAGTTGTAATACTATGTCGTTTGTTAACCTGGAATTTATTGATGAATGTCAAATCCTCGCAATCATCTTCTCCGTCCTCAGAATCTGGAAGCTTACGTTTTTGATTCATTCTTTCTTCAGTACGCTTAGCTGCTTCTTGTTGTTCTACTTTCCATTCTAGTTTTTGTTGTTCTAATTCAGCTTCGGCAGCTGCAACTTGTTTAGTAGCCCAATCCATTTCTTTATTCTCCATGAGTCTTATAGCCCATTTTTCAATACATGATAACTAAGTGAAACATATAAAGCATACAAATTATTAATAATCTGGTCTAACTACATATAAAGGTTTATTTGGTATTTTATTCTTTATATTTTATTGGTGCAATAAATATGATTATTTAACAATAAAAAATTGAATTAGTTTAGTAAACAATTTCTACGATATTCACAATTATGTGAAATAAAAATTATTCAACTAATAAGATAAAATTACCTGTTTCTCTAAAGCTTGAACTTCTTTATCAGCTTTACTAAGTTTCATATCATTTTGCTCATCAATAGGAATTGCTTCATCAAATTCAGCCAAATCAGCAACAGCTTCTTCTTTAGCAGTTTTAGCAGCTGCAACATCAGTTTCATCTTCTGCAGCAGCAAGGGCTGTTTCAAACACATTAATAACATTTCTATCTCCATCACTTGCATTTTGAGAATGAGAAAATTCAGTTTCTAATAAATGAACACTTCGATTTTCATCTGCAGTGTTAACATCAAAGAGTTCTTGAATTGTTGTCTAAAAAATACAATTATCAAAAAAAATATTTAGTATTAAAATAAATGTATAGATAAAATAGTTATAAAAAATTACAAATCTACTTACAGATTTAAAAAAGGATGCAGTAAAATTACCACCTTCTATAGCTAAATCACCTAGTAACCTTTTTTGATTTGCCTTTTTAAGAATATTTTCTTCAATTGTTTTTTCACTTATTAATCTAATAAATAGTAAGTATTATTATTAATTAATATTAAAAAAAAATGTGCATTTTAATAGTTAAAATAATATATATATAAATTTCACCTATAAATATGAACATCGCGGGTTTGACCAATACGATGGCAACGATCTTGAGCCTGAGCATCCATTGTAGGATTCCAATCGCTATCATAAAATATCACAGTATCTGCTCCAGTAAGATTAATACCAACACCACCAGACCGTGTTGATAAAATAAAACAAAAGTACCTTTTGTCTGCATTAAATCGCTCCATTAAAAGCTAAGATACAAAAACAACAAGTTATTAAACAAAATTAATTTGCTATAAAAATGTACAATTTACCTGTCGAGTTTCTACTTTAGTGGTACCATCAAGTCTTAAATATATATAGCCATGATAGTTAAGAAATGCTTCCAAGACATCGAGCATTTTGGTCATTTGGGTAAAAATTAATACTCGATGATGCCCAGCTTTTAGTTCACGCAACAAATAATCAAGAGATTGTAATTTACCACAGTCATATTGTATAAGTCTTTGATCAGGAAACAGAACACTCATGGCTGAAATAATGGGATGTAAAGTATTTAGGGTTGGTTTGAGGTCTTTTTCCAATATTGAAGAATCATTTTGAAGAACTTGAAATTCTGTTTTAGGAGTTCTTCCTTGGACAGCTGGCACATAAACAATGAACTGTTCAAACGAATCATGCAACTCTTTCATTCTACTGTCTACAGTTTTTACGGATTCTGACAAAGCAACTGCAGTCATGTAGGACATACGCTGTATATGAGCAGAATATTGAGCGACAACAGACAATACATTGTTAGAACCAAGCCAAAGCCAAGGATTCCTTTCAACTGAATCCGAACATCCTACATGACCAGACAATGCATCAAATCTTATAAAATCTCGTAAATCTTGTCCATAAACAACATTTGTGGCACCATCAATTCTTTTACTATTTATAGATGACAAATTTTTTATTTTTATTTGACGCCTTATACGACATTTTTCTTCTAAATTCGGCTAAAAAAGAAATAATTATATTTAATTTTAAAATAACTATATAAATTTTAATTACTTACTTTGTAAAAAATCAAATTATCAGTCAGCTCTTTATTTGATTCTGTAGGCATGGAACTAGACAAAAATTGATTTTGAGATTGTGAATGAATATTTGATACTCTTTCATTTCCAACATTACCAAAATTTGTATGTGAATTTAATTTACCTAAAAATAATAATTAAAATATGTTTAAAGCATTTGCATTTGGTTTATAAATAATTATAAATATTTAAAATAATATAAATAATTTTCTTATATCACATACTATACAGTGATAATAATTTAAGGGTGTATTATAGAATTATTAAAAATTAAATTAAAATAAATATAACATAATAATAATGTTATGCTTCTGTACAGTACTATAGTGTAACTAGTGCCACATTTAAAATGCATAATGATTGAAAAACTTATTTTGTTAGTATATGGCATTCACTCTTTTATAATACTCTGTACATGAGGGTGAAAAAACTGTTTTAACACTAATTAAATTACTGTAATATTCAAAAGATGTTTGTACGTCTTGCGTTAGTAAAATGAAGGCAGCACGTGCGGGTCATACATTCTCTTAACAAATGATCACAGAAAATTATATTGAAAACAGGGATAATTAATTAAATTAATGTAAAACACCCATTATTTTGCAAAATATTTATTTTTTTCCTAAATACATTTTTAGAAAATTTATAAACAGGATGCTCTAAATTGTAATTTTTTTTTTTTGATGGGAAGGGGGGAATGAAACATACTTTGCATTTTTATATTAGCAATTTATATTTTTTATTTAAAAGTTTAGATTTAAATTAAATACATTTTGGTGTTGATAATTTTAATTTCCACCAAGCTGTTGACAAGATATTCCACATTTAAGTGACATAAAATTATTAAATGAAAGTCAAATTTTGTAGAAAAAATGAGTATTTTACATTTAATAAATTACTGCATCTCAAACAATTTTAACCTTGTTATTGTATAAGTTTTCTTTCTATTAAGTGTATGGAGGTTTAACCTAGTTTAAAATAGGTTAGAGATGTAGATAAAATTATAATATACTGTTAGAAACAGTAATACATATTTGAAACCATTTTTTGTTTACGATTTAACAAAAAAGAGTGCACTAATTTTAAGTATATTAGATTTGACTGTACTCAGTAAACTAGGGCAGTGTTACATGTTTTATTTAACACACTGATTACATGAGATACAATGTTCACTGACACTTATAATCATCATTTCTCTATCTTTATTATTAACTATAACTGTATTTAGGTTGATTAAAATTGTTCTCAAACCATTTTTATTACATTATCCATCTGTGTAAAATATACTACATTAATAAATCATTTAATTTTCAGTCGAAAAAATATGGTCTTGAAAATTTCTTTAAACTAAGTTATGGGTTATTGAATATAATCTTACATAACATATATCAATAGGAGTCATAATAATAAAAAAAAAACATTTAACACTGTAATGTGTGTATACAAACTTGAACTGCAGCTAACATGTTAAAACTTTCGTTGTTGAATTTTTGAAATTGGCCAAAATTATATTTAAGTAATATAATCAATAGTCTTGACATACAATTATAGAACACATTCAAAGTTTTAGAGATTGAATTAGAAATCTCTGCATTATATATGGAATGACTATGTAAAATTTAAAGTTTCTAAACACAAAGGCTTGAAATGCACATTGATATGTCAACCATTCAGTTTCTTATTTTATACAAATAAAGATAATATAACACAATCAGAAATATAAGCTATGTTTAAATATCCAATCTTTAAAATGAAGATAAAATAATTATTAACTATTAGCTATGATAATATAGCATTGGTGCAAAAATTAATATTCAAATGAATACAAATTGATCTTCAATGCAAACTAATTAGATAACCTAAAAACTTAAAATATAAAAAAAATTGAAGGTAAAAGCATAAATATCTGAATTAATTTAGATAATACTTGAAGGTATGTTAAAGAATTATAATTCCATCGCTTCTAACATTAAAATCATTATATTAACTTTTTATTAACAAGTACATACTTTTAAAAATATAAAAATAATTATTTTAAGTTTTCAAATATTCATATTAAATAAAGGAGTACTTGTTTGTTATCTCATCGACAATATTCCATAGTAAAATAATTACCTCGCCACTTTTTTGTTATTGCCATGCTAGCCAAACAATACGAACTGTTAACCACACCTATAATTTCATTGAACTGGACACAGCGGCACACACCCAAAAACATAGAAAGGTTATGTGGTTCTGCTAAATGGGGAAATATAAAAGCAATATGGAACCAGAAGAAATTTACTTGGAAGAATTTATGTGGAGAACAACTCTTAAAAGATATATCCGAATTCTGGCCCCCATTCTAATTAAATTTTTTTTTTACTATATCATATGATATTATTTTTGCTATTTAATAATTAATTTAATTTATTTAGTAATAATATTTTGTTTTCAATTCACATTTTTAATACAAAATATCTTTTTCCTATAATAATATACAATTTAGTTATTAACTGTATTGCTTGGTAGGACAATAACCAAGAAGTATTAAAATTATTATATTATTATGTAACAAAAATTATATAAAAATATTTGTTTTTGTTTTTGCAGATGTAAATCCCATTGTTCCGATAAATATGGTATTATAAACAGAGTAGTGATGGATTAATTTATTTAGATGATCTAGAAAATTTAATACTAACCTTAAAATTAAAAATAAATAAAATGTACTAGGTAATTTTAACCAACCTTCTGCTGATCCATTAAATTTTGGAGTAGAAGTGAATATTTCATGTTTTGGCACATTGGTTGTAATTTTTGTTCGATTATTTACCAAATTAAGTTCACTTTCTTTCTTTTCATTAACATATTGATTAATTTGATTAAATTTTGGACTTAATGACAAAATATCTAGTTGAAAAAAACAATTGTTCATAAATCACATAATTAATTATTACTTTAATACATACTTGTTAAAGATGGAACTCTGGTTATGTTGCTTCCAATAGATTTCAATTTTAAATCTAAACAAGAAACATTCCAAATTATAGGCTATGTATACATTTATAATACAATTACAGAACTAACCTTTAATCCCTTTTTCTGCTAAGAACTTAATAATTGGTAAATTGTGTTTAAGTCTTACATTCACCAATTTATTTTGTGGATTAAATAAATTGATCTAAAATATTTAATTTATGTAAACATGAAAAATTAATTTCGCATTCAACTGAAATGTAAATTTTAAATCTTACTTTTGAAATAATATTTAAATTTTTGGGCAACTTCATGTTAAAATTCATTTTAATTTTGGGAAGTTTTTTAGGCGTTTCAGGCAAGTTATCAAACTCTTCAAATACACTGGTTGGTAATTGATAACGTTTCAAACGATGAGCAGCCCATGCACTCATTATGCGTTCCAAGTGAGTAAATAACAAATTGACAGAACTTAAATCTATTTTCTACAAACAAGATACGTGAAAAATATTGTATTGTCAATATCATATTTTTATTATTGTTTTCTAGAATACACAAATTCTTACATTAAAGGGATCATATTTCATCATATTGAACACAGAACGAGGGACTTTGTAAGGAAGAGCTTCCATTTGAAATGGAGATATAGTTGGACGAGGTTCAAATAAATTAGGATGATTACAAACTTTTCTTAATTGCATAAGAACATTTATTACGCTCAACATGTTTCCACTTGCAAGTGTTTCTTTCGTTCTATAAAAATAAATAAAATGTAGTTTAATTTAATGATTGAATATCGAAAAATTGTAAAACATACTTAGCTCTTGACATGAAATCATCATAAAGATAACGTTGGCGTTTTGATAATCTGCACATAATAATATGTTCATACTTTTTAGGTAACTGTTTTTCAACTTCACATTTTAATCTTCTTAAAATAAAAGGTCTCAAAACTTTATGTAATTTTTTAATAATGTTGTCATTATACTCAGCATTTCCTTCTATCATGCCAGTCACCGGGTTTGAAAACCATTCTTTAAATTCACGATGAGATGCAAATAAGTTTGGCATTAAAAAGTGCATTAATGACCACAACTCCATTAAATTATTCTGCAAAGGTGTTCCTGTTAAAAGTAACCTTCGCTCAGACTGAAAATTAAGAAGAAGTTGCCAACGTTGAGATTTAAAATTTTTAATATTCTGGGCCTCATCTAAAATCAAGTATTTCCATTTTTTTCTTCGAAAACTTTGATGATCTGTTATTACTAATTTGTATGATGTAATGCAAATATGGAATGTATTTGGTTTTGTCCAACCAATTCTTTTATTTTTTCGTTCTTTAACTGAACCATAGTATGTTAATATTTTGAAACTGGGACACCACTTTTTAATTTCCATTTCCCAATTAAGCATCACTGATGTTGGGACAACAATTAAATGAGGACCCCAATCTTCTGCAAAATTAATATTGAAGAATTAAGTTTTAAAAAATATTAAATTAATAAAATGCTAAATGAACATACCCTTTACACAAGCCAAATGAGCTAATAAAGCAATTGTTTGGATGGTTTTCCCGAGACCCATTTCATCAGCTAATATACCATTCAAATTTTGTTCATACATTGTAACTAACCAATCAAGTCCTATATGTTGATACTCTCGAAGAGTATTTCTTAATAAAAATGGAACTTTTGTTACCACCTGAACATAATTTAAATTAGTGTAATAATAACAGTGCTGATACATTCTTATACGTCTGATTAAAACATACACTGGTAGAAGATAAAGTGTTTCCCTTAGGTTGGATACTTTCAGCCAATGCTGTCACATCATTTATTTCTTTATCTGTGTTGCAGTCACTCGTACCATTGACCTATTGAAAAGGACAATATATATATAAATTAAAAGTATACAATTATTATATTTTTTTTTAAAAGTCACCATTTTATTGGGGGATCGACGTAATAAATATTTTAAACCAATATCTTTAGAATTAATGTTTTCATTACTATGATCAGAATCATGACCTAAAATTAAAGTGATTAAATTAAATTAATATTACACTGATACTATAAATTCTGTTATAAATCTAAGTATATTTAATGACTTACTACTTTCTTCAGCATCAGACTGAACTTTATTATTGGGTAACTGAACCTTATATTTTGCTAATAGTTGTTCAATGCTCATTTCATTTTCAGCCTGATATACAAATAAGCAAATGATTAACATAATAAAATAAATTATTTAAATATATAAATGAACTCTGAAATTAAAATTATAAATTATAATGCTAATATGTAATTACTTCCAATTCTGCTATTTCCTTAGAGTGATCTATTCGCCCTTCTTCTTTTTCTGCAAGTTGCAATGTTTCTTCATCATCACTCCAACAACTACTAGATGCTTCAAAATCTTCATCATCGCTTTTATCATTTAGTATTTGCTATAAAAGTTAATACATTAAAATTTTTATTTTGTTAATTAATAATTATCCAATATAAAACATGGGACAAACTTCTTCTTCCATTTGATTAGGATGCGATTCACGGTGTCTTTTTGGTAAATGATCACGATCATCAACAGACAGCTTTGATTCTTTCTTACGATGTACTTCTAATGTTTTAGTATCTTCAGTACCATATAAACGACGAGCATTTAATTTACCTAATATAATAAATTTGATGAAAAACTGAATTTATTTTGAGTATAAAAATAAAAATGTTACCATCAGAAATAACTATAGATAAATTTTGTAAGGGATTAACAGAAGAATTATTGGTTGATTTCATTAAACTTTCAGCAACTAATGTTGACATTTTTTCTGTTTGATCAACAATAAAATTTAAATGCTGATCTAATGCAAGTTGTCTTTGTTCCTCCAATTTAGTTGATTGCTTGAATATAAGCAGCTACACAAAATACTTTCTATAAGTTTACATTTATTTTTGAACTACATTAATAATAGAAATGAAGAAATAAATATGAAATAAGGATATTCATCCAGATTACAGTAAAAAGATAATTGACAAACATTTTATCATTCAAAACCAATGGTCATTGAATAATTATTATATTTAACCTAAAATGAAGTATAATTCCTTTACTCCATTATTTAAGAATTATAAATAAACTCTATACGCAAGAAGAATTTTTCATAATTTATGTCAATAATAAATAACTTGCCTTTTCAACATTGCTCCAAAAAGTTTTAATCATCTTTGCAATAAAACCAGTTATGCGTTTCTGATGCATTTCAGATGCTTTTGCTGCTTTTTGAGCTTCTATTTTTTTTTCATGGAAATGTTTCATCACCATTTTAGCACACTAGATAAAAATAATAAAATTGTAACCATGTAAGATTTATTGAAAGAGAGAAATTACTTGTTTAGCAGCTTTTTTTTTCCATTTTCGTTCTTGGGCAAAATCAGTAGCAAGCCACTGCATTTCTTCCAAAAGATAGTCATGGTGTGCTTTATTCCTTGGGGGTTCATAAATTTTAGGCAGTCTTTTTTCACTCCATAAACCATCTCGCTGAAGCTGATTTATTTTTTGAATAATATGTGCTTCCTAAAGAACATAAATAATAAGTCAACATGTTAGAATATAGTTTATAATAACTAACTTACCCATTTCACTCTTTCCACTACTTGATCAGGTTGATTTTCATTAGACTGCCGAGATGTGTGAGAGCAATTAGGAAGTTCTTCAGTAGGTGAGTTAGAAGAAATTAATTTATTGGATTCTACAAGTTATTATTATAATTAAAATAAATATTTTACTGGTAGAATATATAAATAAAACAATAGCCTAATTTCTATTTAGTAATGGAATAAGCCCGGACAAAGTTTATCATTAGAAAAAGTAATAAATCCATATGTATGATAATTAAAAGACTATTTAGTGGAAGTAACACTAGCTAGTGGTTAAAATTATCCTATGCTTAAATTTTATAGCCAGTTATTTATAACGGGTTTATCAATAGATACACTAGAAATTTGACTGACAATAGCGACTATGTTGTTAGAACATTATCTGTTAAATTTATTGTACACTGTTTGGTAATTTATGGGAAATCATTGTGGAAGGTTATAGTTAAATAGTATAATTAAATTTCATTATCAAAATCAGTTCTTTCTCCAGAAACTTTCTGTACATTAGGTAATTTTCATCTTCACTACAACCGTCCTCTAGAGTCAACTATTTTGGTTTCTCAATTCAAGTCAACTGGTTCGATAAATAATCATCCAGTACCTGTACGTTCTAAAAACAAAAGGTCTGCTGGTAACATCGCAGCAGTTTGTGAGTGTACAGAAAAACCCAAGACTGTCAGTTTCTTGTTGTTTACAAGAACTTGGCTATTCTGGGACTTTATCTTGGCTAATTTTTTGTCAAGGCTTGGGTTTATACTCTTACAAAATTCAATTTATTCAGGTAAATGACCAAAAAAAACGTAGCGTTTGGCTGACTATGTTCTGGAGCACATTTTTAAGTTGACCCAGATTTCAGAAAAAAAATAATCTAGCAGAGCAAGGGTTGTATCATCAAAATTGTTGCAGATTTTGGTCTGGCAGAATTATCAGAAGTATGGACATCTCAAAACATAACTGGCATTGTCATTACAGTCATTGGCCAGTGCTACAGATCGATGATAAGCAACTAAACCTAAACTAACTTCTTATAAGCTAAACTAAATAATATGGATTCCAACAAACATGTGGTCCAACAAGACAGCGCTACAGGTCACATAGCTCATGACACTACAGACATTCAGCATGAGATTTGATATCATGGTCATCTCGTGTGGTGAAGACATAAACTAGATACAGAGACCCTGCGATTTAACCCTGTTAAACTATTGCTTTAGAGGCTATCTTATATTGCAGGTCTATGCAAAATAAGCCGCAAACAACAATATATTGATGCATTTAAAGTTACATAACTAATGTCATCCAGTAAATAAGGCCAGATTTATGTAAGAAAGTTTATTGAACATTGGACCTCCCTAATTAGTGCAACAAAACAAAGACGCTACATTGGACATTTGATCAATGTTATATTTTATACATAATTGCTATAAAATACTCTTTTGAATAGTCAATATCTTTCACATAACTTGTGTTATTTTTATTTAAAAATCAAGCGACCGTATTGAAATAACTGCGATATATATATTTTTTTTTTTGCAATGCTATTAATTAACAGGTAAAGAATTCTATGAGTTGTAAATGTAAATTAAAACAATTAACACAATATTTGTTAAAAAACCATGTTTACTTAATATTATAATGTGTTAGAAATATATGCCACAAAAAAGGGCATATATGACTTGTACTGCATAATGGCTGTCTCAAAATATGTAGCAAAAACTATAGAATTTGTTTAAACTTAAAAAGAATATTTAAATCTTTAACTGTAAAACAAACACTGCATTAATCTATGAAAGAAATTGTGAATTGTTCTTTAGAACTTAATGAATTAGTAATGTTAACAATTTAATTTTTCCATATTCCCTTTTTCTCATAGGTTTTATAAAAAAATTATTGTACAATTCTTTATTAATGTGGATTACTATTATCTACAATAAATAAAAAAAAAAAAAATTGTTATAATGGACTTATTTCCCTTTACCCAATAAAATAGCACTCTCCATTTGAGAATGTATCGCTTACATTAAATAGTTTTTAAATCATGAATAATGTATTAAATTTTTAAAATGTTTATTTTGCATTACATAATTATTAATTTAATTATGCAACTTACTTGTGTCCGAAACTGGAACATGTGTTTCCTGTGGTTCGGATGCTTGCTCGTCCAACCACAGTTTAAGTTCAGCAAATGGATCACCTTTAAATAAAGGCTCATCATTACACTTGACATTTTCGATAGACCAACCATGTTGATTGTTATATATCTGTTCAACTTTTTCAGGTATAAAATCAACAAATTTCGGCACCGACTGTACTTCGTCCAGTTCTCGTTGGGATTGAGCAAGCTTTGCACGCACAGACTGCATTTGATCAAACACCATTTCATAAGTGCGTTTAATTTTAGCCGATGTGCACATTTCCAAAGCCTCAAACTCTTTGGCTGCTATGAATAACAAAATAAAATACAATATAATATAAATCATTACCAAAAATAAACAGATTAACATACACTCAGAGGAGTATTTTCGCTTTCTAGAAGGTTGATTTTGACTATCCACAGAATCATCATGGTCTGAATTGTAATTGGTGTTTTCAGCGTTATTTGTGGAGCCATTTACACCAATTAGATTATCACAATTATTCGGTAAATATTTTACACCAGATGTCACCTATAAAATAATAATTTATAATAACTGAAATTGGACCCATAACAATTAGAAAATAATTATGGATAATAAATAGCAATAAATACATTTTAAACCTAATTAATTTCAAAAAAACTTAAAGGAACTTACGAGGTCACAATTATAACATAAAATGATAAACTAAGAACTTATAATTTCTATTTAACCAGAGAAAGTACCCTAATCAGATTAAAAATGAAATAGGTACTTTTAATTCAAACAATTTCTTAAAATCAACACCAACAACTTAAAATATATATTTTAAACTGTAAATACCTAAGAAAATGTACTACATTTTTGTATAAAATGAATATCAGGAACCTCAGTTCAAAGCATCTCTCATGATAATATTATAATAGTAAAACTTCTGCTAATGGTCACCTCTATTAACAATCTTTTTGTTTAGTCCTGGTTCAGTGCAGTTCACTGGTGTAATAAATTATCTACACCATTTTCACAATTTAAATTCTATTCTCTGTAAGTTGACCCGCTTCCGTGCATATATACAGAACTGCCGTGGTCTGTGATTGGTCGACTGTGTTTGACAATCATCACTGCTCATTGTAGTAGGCAGCAGGCTGCTGCTGTGACTGTGCATACAGAGGCGTTTTCATCGAGTGAGTGGGTCAACTTACAGTGAATAAGAGTATAGAATTCTTTGTGATATTACTAACTATAAAGGTCCTATTAAGATTAAATTATAATAAACAAACATAATTGTTTAAATTTTACAATTCTTCTTTAATAATTTTGAATTCAAACCGTAATTTTATTCTTAATGAAATAAAATTAAAATATCATGGAAAATGAATAAAGTAATACATAGTAATACTTTTTAATATGTCATAAATTTTATATTCGTATTTTATTTGTTGTACATATTTTTTGGTTTAATTTAGGTAGCTTATAACACCAGAGAGCAGAATGCAGATGACGAAAATTATTGTACATCGCTTACAAAACCATTTCCAAAATAATGGTAACTAAACATTTTAGAACACCATTTTTTGATTTCATAATATGACCAAAACAATGAAATTAAAGAAAGTTAATATTTTCTGTTACTGAGCTTCTTCCAGTATTCAGTCAACTACATGATTTGTATTATAATAGGTAGATATATCATAATAACATATCTAATTCTAAAATTAGGATGTCAATTTATAATTATAAAATATATAATATTAATAAATTAAAATTATACCTGACTACTTGTTTTGAATTTAGAAATTTTATTTACTATTATGTCAATGATTAACAAGTAAAATGTTTGAAATCTATTTTTTTTTTCTAAGTTTTAAAATGAAAACATTTTTGTACGTAATGAGGAATCAAGTACAAAATTCCTTTAATTACCTACCTATATAACATTATTTAAATACTGAAATACATGGCAAGTTAATGTAGCAAAATGAGATCAGTACTTGTACATATTCCACATAAATAACTAATACTATATTAATGCGTAATTGAGTACATTTTATCTTACAATACAAATCAGTTTTAACTATATAAATAAAATTTTAAAAAACATCAATGATTTTATGAGATTTCAATGATTGTAATGTTACTCATGTTATGAACATAACATTTTAGTTAATGTATATTCATATATTCTCCTTAAAAAAATAATAGTATTAATACTGTAGTGTACACTTTAAATGTATGATCATTGAGGATATGAGAATGGTTATCCACAATTTCTTTAAAAGCAAAAACAAAAATATGATACGATTATCATACAACCAAGTTACAGCCTGTTATATATTGTTATTAACTATGTTGGAATTAATTTATTCATTGATATAAAAACAGCAGACACTAATTTCCATTAAACACATTTACCTATTAAATCAAAAAACAAATTCTTTGTAAACTGCATACTATACAGTTAAACTCGAAAACACAAAATAATTCTAAACTCTAACTAAATAATCAAAATAAATTGTAGGTACTTATATAAAAAATATAATTAAAAAAATGCTTTACCTGATGGTCATCTCCATCATATTTATTATGTTTGTGACAATCAATGGTCCCAGCTCCCAGTTGGGAAGCAGTGGCCATAAATGATTTTAGGTTCTGAACAATTATTAATTGCGTTTGGATTATCCATTTAGTTTTGCTAAAAAAAAATATATAAATATTTAATTAATAAAGAGTATTTCAATGTTCTAAATCTACTTAATATTTACATTTACAACATTGAAATACTTTAAATCAAAAAATTAATATAGATACAAATTTCAAAGCTTTAAAAAAAAAAAAATGTATGAAAGTATTAGACAAATAATCAAAAATTATAAAATTAATATAATTATTAATTATTTTAATAAAATATAAATAAATTAAAACAAATACTTTAGAAAAAGACATGAAACTTCCAATATCATTAGAATAATTATTACATTAGTTTAATAAAATGTTTCTGAAATATTGTACGTAAATTTAATTTTTGAATTTAAATGGTTTTAATTAAAATTTACAGAACAGATAAAAAAATGAATCAAATGTTTAAGAAATTCATATAAATTTCCAATAATCTCATGAGAATTATAAAATATATAGATGTAACAAAACTAAAATAAATCGAAAATGTATTTAAATTATAATTAAAATATTTCAATTTGCCAAACACTAATCACAAGCACATGTTTATTTGCAACGGTCAATTGTTTACAATATAAGGGTGGGTTAAAAATAAAGAGTCAATGAAAATAATCAATACCAGAGGCTGTAAATGGAATATTTATAATAAAGTAAATATTATTCATAACTTTTATTAGAAATTAATAAAATTGGAACTTTATCTAAAGATTAGAGGTTATGTTTTGAAAACAGACATATAATAATATAAATAATAATAATAATAATAATAATAATAGGCGGGATATATTAATAATTGATAAAATGCATTCCCGATATATTAAATAGTAATCTGGTGAAAAAATACGACATAAAGTAAATTTTTCACAACTCCATTAGTAGGTAAAAGTTTGATTCCGAGTGACAAAACTCCTAAAATAAAATCACGGGAAGAAATGACGGGTCGGCCATTTTGTGTGCGCCGGATGAGACTACGAGATGCTTACCAAGATCGAAGCGATTACCCTCCATCGGTCGCAAGCCATTATACGAGTCTGTTTAGACGGTAACCGCACATTTTGTACGCACAATTCTATAACATGACGCGAAACACAACGAAAATAGCATAATAGAAAGACACGAATCGTTAAAATGCACAGAGCGTTCCCTGAACGAAATGCTCAATAAGAGAGGCACACAACAATATGGCGTCTGACGGCGGTCGGCTACGAGAATTCGCTGTTTAGTGGGTGCACCTAGAACGAGCCGATTGAGAGTGAGCGCCTAACAGCAAAACAAAACAAAAACTCTTCTTCACGTCTGACAATAACAGAGCCACAGTGTGACCAACATAACTAAATGTAAACAATGCTGAACACTTTTATTTCCCGGGTATATTTAAAATTGATAATATTAACATAGATTAGGTATTAGGTTATGTAAATAAATTTTAATCTATAATTTATATAAAAAAAAACAACAAATAATTATTTAGGTACTATTATTTTATTAACTTTTAAATTTTTGAATATTAGTATTTTATAATAAATTATTTGTTTTAATATTATATTATATACAGTGTTCTGTTTGATTTATTAATGTTTCTTATCATACTTTAAAACTTTATATTTGTATATAACTTATTATTTTATTACAGAAATGATTAGGTTAAAAGTACCTATAATACCCAACGAAAGTATACTCAACAATTTATTAGAGAAAAATATTTGTACAGTAAATGATTTTCTTCAAAAAAAAACTTCTGATTTACAGAACATATGCAATTTACAATGCAAGGTAATATAAATTAATAAAACGTGTTTTGAACGATTAACTTACATTGTGTTTAAGATTACTATTTAGTTCTATACTACAACTATTATTTTCTACAGGTGCTCGTGCATATCGTTTACAAGTTATAGTTGTAGATTTTGGTGATGAAAATTATTTAATTATTAATAGGTGTTTGTATATCCAAATGTTTAATATCTATTCTATAGACTATTGGTGTATAAATTAGTTGACCAACCACCTTAATTATCCTGGACAATAACTTGATATATTATCAATATGTGTTTAATCTGAATTTTACAAACCCATAGTAAAAATATAACATAATTTTAAAATTGTATTTAAAAAAAAAATTACTTAGATAAACCTTAATTATTCAAGCATAATTAAAAAAGTGTTTAATTTTTAAGGAAAATATAGGTAATTAGCAATCAATTACCTAAAATTAAAATTTTTAGAGTATTAAGGTTTTTAAGTATTTTTTTTTTTTTTAAATTTTAAGTTGTCACTAATGAATGAGTAAAAAAAAAAAGATAATAATGTAGGAAACAAAACATGTTAAAATATATGTACGTTCTCGTATTTTCAGACATGTATAATAATATAGTAGGTACTAACGTTTATCATTTTCATACCCAGCTTTTAATTTTTATTATATATTATTCTAACATTTATACACATTTATACTCTAAGTTAGAAATGTACCTTAAAAATAAATCATAACATTCATAATACAAATTATAAACACTAATATTTAACCAAACGACAAAAATAAAATATTGCTATTATCTTCTTCTTGTTTGTTTACCTATTACAGTCACTAATTCTTATTACATTTTTTATTATAAAACTAATATTATGCGAGTATACAATTATAAATAACTATTTTCCATTGATTTGTTAAATCTTATTCGCATAGAAATATAAACTTTTATTTATGTACATTTAAATTGTATTAACAATTATATTTATTTAGGTAAGTATTAAGTAGTAAAATATAAATTTTATCAAAATGCTATAAATACAAACTCATTAATTTTAAATAAACTAATTATTCTTGCAATACCTAATGTATGAACAAAATATAATGCTGACTACTTGATTGCATATTAATTATAATTAATTTATTGGAGTTTTTAAAGTTTACATATACCCAACATGTTTTGGATTCTAAAATTACAAACTATTGAAATATTTTATAGTCAACCAAGTATGTTTAAATATATTTGGAAGCATTATTTCATATACATATATAATAAATATGATCCAATTGTCATCATATTTTTAAATAAATGTTTATTTTATTAATTGTTTAATATAACTATAAATACAACTTACATTTAATTATTTTTTAGCAAATAACGAAACTTAAAGATGATATTATAGTGGAGTGTTCATCACCATTTATTAATGGTTATACAATTTACATAGATAGATCTTCATCAAATATTATTCAAACTGGGATTCTTAAGTAAAATAAAAATGTATGTAGCTGCCAACATAAGTTTTATAAAAGAAATGTTTGATTCTAGGTTAGACAATCTACTTGGTGGAGGGTTATTTACCAGACAAATTTATGAATTTTGTGGCCCATCTGCTTGTGGAAAAACACAATTAACTTATAGTATATTATTAAATATTATAATATCTACAAAAGAAGATATAATCTATATAGATACTAAAAATAAATTTTCAGTAACCAGAATTAAACAAATCTTGAAAAAAAAATATGAATTTACTAATCAAGAAGTAAGATAGAAAATGATTTAAATGTATTTACTTAAATACTCAACAATTATTATAATATTAATTTTTTTTTTCAGATTAATTCAATTTTAAGAAAAGTTCATGTGTATTCAGTTTTTGATCTTTACAGTTTAATAACTTGCTTATATAGTCTAAAAGAAAAATCCAAACCAGTTATATTCATAGACTCATTACCAGCACTATATCTATCATTTGTATGTGTTAACAATAATGATGGTAAATTAAATAATTGTAGTGAATTAAATTGGTTTTAATTTAGATTTGTTTTCAGGTTTATGTTACATGAATCATATATGTTCAGTTTTGAAATATTTAAGTAAACAAAATGCAACAATTATAGTTACAAATTTAGCTATTAAACATAGTAATTTTACAAAGAAAAGAAATGCAAATTCAATCAACCAAGAACAATTTGATTTTAAGCCAACTATAGGAAAATATTGGATCCATATACCTAATACCAGATTGATGTTAACAACAGAGATAAATAGGGAACAAAAAATGTGTATTACCATTGGAAAAAGTGTGCACATCCCTATAAATGAAAAATGTATTTTAAATATTGATGATTGTGGAGTTTTATAAATATACAAATATTATAAAAATAGTTACATTTTTTTAAAATATTAAAAACAAATATAATTGAACAAAAACATCATATTATATAATATAGAATTGTAGTACTTAATATATTATAATAAACTATAGAATCAATGAGGAATCATAACCTTATTCAGTCAATAAACTTTTTATAGCTTATAATTTAATTATTTTTTACAAAAAACAAAAAAAAAATTTTAACATATGAAAAATAAAAAGAATTCATTAAGGTAAACAAAACAAAAAGTTTTTAATATAACTTGCTCAAAACATTAACTTATTTAATTACATTGAGCATCAGAAGTAGTACCATTTGTCAAGCATGGACAGAATCTAATTTTTTTAGTTACATTTTCTTTACTAAAAGGCATGTTGCTTGAATTTAAATCATTGGAAAATTCAGCAATAAGATTATTAACTTTCTGTTTCATTAAAATATCTTTTTCAAACCAACTATGTTTTAATACTTTATCAAAATCAAATCTCTTTATAAAATCAACTATTAATAATTGTTTGATTATGTCTTGTGCGCCATTAGAAATATTGGTTATATTATATGATCCTTTGCTGATTTTTGCTTCTATATTATCACCAACAAAAGGTTTAAAACCACTCAAACTAGACAAAAAATACATTGTACAACTATTATAAATTTTCATTATTAATTTAAATTATATAAATTACCATTCAAATAATATAACGCCAAAACTCCATGAATCTACTTTACAAGTATAAATATATGATTCAGTTGATCGTTTACACTTTAATAATATTTCTGGAGCAAGGTATGCCAAAGAACCACAAAATGTTTTCAAATAAGTATTTTCAGTTATCTTCTTGGAGAGTCCAAAATCAGCTAACTTCGCGTGACAATAAGGAGACTGGTTAGAAAGTAAAATATTTCCAGGCTAAAAAAAAATACACAATTTGTTATATAAAAGAGGATTATATTAACAACTTAAATTCAAAATTAACAAAAACAATGTAATTACTTTTAAATCTCTATGAGCAATTGATCTATTGTGCAAGTACTGAACAGCTCGAGCAACTTGATACAACAAGATTTTAGTTTCAAATTCTTTTAAATGGATTTGATTTTCTATAAGTTGTTTTAATGTTCCACCAGGCATATATTCCAAACTAATATAAATTGCATCATTGGTGTCAATATAATTGTCCATATTAACAATATTCGGCTAAGCATAATTTTATTAAATTAAAATATTTGATAATAATACTAATCAACTTGTATACTTACATGAGATAAGCTCGATAAAATATCAGGTTCTCTCAATACTATACAGCTTTCTCTTTTCACTTTCTTTAATGCTAAGGATTTGGAAGTTTTCTGAAAAAAAAAAAGATTTATGTATATAACTATATAAGTCACTAGATTGAACAGACTCAAAAATGTACATATTATAAAATTTAGTAATATATTGAGTAAGTATAGCAGGAAAAACAGACATGCTGTGAGAAAGACAAACAATAAAATAGTCAGGAAGATAGCCCAAAGAAATAAGTGACTAGAGGTTATTAGAAGAGATAAAAGGGCATGCAAAGTACATAAATAAATAAAAACAGATTTACGGTGTTAGAAATCTTTATAAATTTTATTACAATACATTTTTAATTTATTAATAAATACCACCAAATTGAGTACATTAATCTATCATAACTTGTGAGGTAATATCTACATATATTATATAGCGTGAACTTTTTTATTTTATGAGGCAAACATAGATGTTAGAGATTCACCACCACCACAACCTCAGTATTATTAGACAAATACATAAGGACAACACCCCCATACACCACCTCCTCTCTTCACCAATTTACCATTCCACTAATATATGAATAAAGTCATGGGGATTTTATATTTTATGAATATCAAAAATTAATAAAATTGGGCACTTCAAATATTTTAATAATACCTTTTTATTAATTCTCTATCTGGCAATACAAGCTTGGCTAATGGCCAAAATACTGAGTTATGTATAACATTTACTCTGAGATATTTAAAAAAAAAATTAATTTATACAATTAATAAATAATCAATTTTATTTTTATCTTTTCATAAAAAATATTGTTTATTGAAATATTTGCTGGTTACTTTAACACTGAATGTTTAAAAGATGAAAGCTAAAATGAATACAAGTGAAATACACATATATTAACTTAATATAAATAATAAATATTTATAAATACTTTATTATTTATTGTTATTAATATAAAATATTAAGTGTCAACTATCAGTTGGCGATAATTCATATTTTTAGCCTAGGAGTGCTACCACCCAATTGGTCATAAGGCCATCTTATGAAATACCCTATCATGACACCCACTGTCTACATACTTACTTTTTTAAAAAAAACATCAAAAATTGCAGGCTGTAAATTAATATTATAATAAACATTTTTTTTTAATTTGTATTATATATATTATCTAAAATTCAAAATTAATATTTAACTAATATTTTATTTAGTAGACTGAAGAGAATTCTCAAAAAAATATGAAATAGTGCAGTGGTACTGATATATCTACCAAGGAATACGTTAGGTCGCCTAACCTTGGGGCACATAATTCTCATGCTGTTTCAAAAAATAAAATTGAATCTTTACATAAATAAATATTCACTTAAAGTTTATGTTAATAATTAGACAAATTAAATAAGAAAAATATGTATGTAAAATTGGTTTTGCATAGTATTATATAACTATATAAGCGGATTACATAATAACTGTTATTTAGTATTATTATTTATTACTCTTTGGTTATTAATTTTAGCAACTACTGTCCACTCTTAAAAATGTCTATATAATTTATATTAATACTGAAATATTAGTTATTAGGTAAGTAAAAAACAATTCTAAATCATAGACAATGTTATTATTTTTAAATTATAAACAAATTTTAACTTAACATTTGTCTAGATCCAATTACGTTAATCTTGTAGACATGTAAATCGTACAATAATTTTACTGAATTTACTTGTGAAAAAAAAATGTATCGTTTTTAAAACTTACTTTGTCAAACGCTAATCTGACTTCTCCATAAGAACCGGTTCCCAATATACCATGAACAGAAAATTGTTTTCTCACTTTTTCTGGAAAATTTAAGTAATCTGCATGTTTTTCAGTAAATGTATATACTAAAAAAATTAATGAAATATGTATAAATAGTAAAAGTATTTTATTTTTTAAACTGGGATAAAAATTTACCATAATTATTTTTAGAAACAACTGAAATTTTATCATTGTTTGATAAGATCCAACGACAATCTTTTCCCATTTTTTCATCATTTAAATATGTACCATTTGAACTTGTATCTGTGATATATGCAACATAGCCAAAATTCCCAATCATTTCTCGAGTAATAGTGAAATGAATTTTACTAATATGGTTCATTATTTTCAAACTAAAACATTGTTTTGTAAACTGAAAATCAACATCATTCGTCTGACGACCTGCTTTATAATTATCTTTTTCTAAATCTATAACAAATATAAAAGTAGCAACATAGTACCAATACACATTTGGATTTAAAATGACAGTGTATTAAATATAACATAGATCATATTAACATTAAAAATGCAAACCTTCAATTTTTAAACTTTCATTTTCTGGATATAAACGTCCCCATGCATTTGGATTCTCGGGTACTTGATCTTGACTACATAATGGATCTTGGCTATTTATCAATGGAGTTAAGACATCTAAATCACCCATGTCTGCATCTTCAGATTAAAATAATTTCATTATTGACATTTATGGAAAAATCAAAATTTAAATTTAACCAAGTTTTAACTTATTACAGAATAAATATAATGTAAATTTAAAATTAACATTAACACATACACAAACATATTATATTGATACAAATTTTACTTTTATGTGAACATAATATTCAAGGTACATAATAACTGAGACATTGTTAGCAGGATAGTCATATAATATATATATATATATATATTATATATAGTATATAACTACTGACTATACCTACTATTTTCTATAGACTAATTGCATCAGTTTTCTTTTGTAGATTAACTCATCAGTAATACTAATACCAGTAAAATGAATGGAAATAATTATATATAACAATATCTAAAATCCCTCTACAATTCACACACACACACCACCACCATTATAAATATAAAAACCTACTTAAGTATTTATCAAACATTATAATACATAATCGTTTTATAAAAATAATAATTTTATAAATGTAATAATAAATAATATTTTTAACAACAACAAAAATATAAATAGTTAATATTATTTTAACACAATACACTTTATTTTAGTTGATATATTAACAATAATTATACATATAAAAAGGCAAATCCATTAGTACATAACATGACATACACATAGATTGCTTATGAAACCTGTGGGTAAACCATTCTAACATAACGAAGAAAAAATATTCCAGAAAACTATTAGATCTCAGAGCAGATTTATGGCTGGAAATGTCAAATAACTTTGAAATAACCAAATTTTTAAAGAACGTCAATTTTAACTTTACAATAGCATCTAAAAAATAATCGTTCATAGTCATTGTATTACCTATCTCATCAATCTCTTACAAACCTACAGGTATTGTAATATATTTTTACATAAAGCTACATAGCCCTTACAGTAAAAGCTAAAATCAATAAAAGCAAATTAAACATAATAGTTAGCTCCCTACTATGTACATATACCCATAGCTATAAATAAATACATAAAAAAAATATATCTTAACAATAATAGTAGTAATATATTATTATCAGTGGCGCCGAAATAAATGTTTAAACATATTGTCGGTATATAAAAATTTACTAAATAATATATAAACATTGATGACACTTTTCGCTGAAAAAATTGGTATTTCAGCCACAATTCCTGAATATATAACATACAAATCGTAGCCATCAATTAAAATATAGTTTCTAAATATTATTATACAAACACTTTAAAAACGAGTTAGATAAATAATAAACATTAATTTAATTTAAATATTACTAACTGTATAACTGTATAACTGTAAAGTACCTACCAAATCAACTATAGATAAGTACCAATAATGTTTTCTTTAAGACTATAATGGCATCCATCAGTGACCATCACTGTAATAATAAATTTATACATTTATATCATTACTCTTCCAGTTAAATTATAGATATTAATTTTTCCTTGTAGCCCAAATGTTTCTTATTTAAAATTAATAGCAAGAAATCAATGTATAGATAATTATATTATCTTATCACCCACATGATATAATTTATTGCAGTCTCATAATCATTATTTTTTGATTGTATTATCATTATGATATAATTAATAAGATTATTATTATATGATTGAATGTTAAATACAAGGTTTATTTATAGAAGTACACTTTAATCTTAATTAGGTTAATAAATCAACAATTTGGTGTTGACCACGGGCTACTCATATCTTTGTTCGTGCTCGTGACACACAAAAATGAAATTATTTAAATTTTACTTAGCTTAATTAAGGAAACTTTTTTAAAAGATAATTTTGTAAACGGCCGAACATTTAAAGTTGCGGTCGATGGTTATCTCTCATCATTATATACCCTTAAAAAAGAATTGCCCAAAGAGCAAGGATCCTCATTAGTATAAAATTATTTTTAACTGCAATTAATGGCATTCACATATATACCTAATCACTAATCAGTAATCCGGGAAAAATAATACTATGTACGGACGCCGGCAACATTTTTTTCTGTCACAAATAATGAATTAACACCATAGGAAAAGAACTAAGTACAGAAATGTACAAATACACTAGATGTAAAAGTACAGGATTCAAATTCACTCACGAGAAATCCAAATTTATAATACTCTCACATATTAAAAATTTTAAAAAACCAATGGACATCATAAATATTCCGTACACAAAGAACAATTTATAAATATTCAATCTAACGTCCTAACTTTCGAAAAAGAACATACTTAGACCACACATTTAAAAAAATTAAAAGACGAAACAAAAAAGAGCTGATACTGCTGTTAAGTGTGACACCGATGTTGTAAGTTAAAAGTTGAAAAAGTTACATCCAAAAAATCACATATTGTTCTTATTTAATATATATCTGCAAACAATGATAAACTATTGCTAATAAAGTACAATTCTGAGAGCCAAGAGCGGATTTCTAGTGAGCGACAAAGTGATTTTGTCAAAAAGGAGTTTTTGTAAAATGTATATATAAATAATATTTATATGTATTTTATATTATTGTATTTATATTTATACACCCAGGTATGCGAGGTATGAACAAAAAGTTCCCGAACTGTTTGAATTGTGCGCCAAAGAAGCGTCCAAGAGCAGTAGGATTGATATCACTGGGTTCTGTGACTTCTTCGGAGTACATCTATATTAGTAGATTCTCTATAACTTTCTTTGTTTCAATGTGATCGATGTTTTCTTAAAATTTTTTTTTCGCATTTAGCGATTTTGTAATAAATCGAAAAGAAAAGCTTTTTTTAGGTGGGAGGAAGTTGGAGAAGATTTTTCTTTCATTTCTATGATGGTAACATAATATAATATAAGTAATGATTTTTGTTATGATAAATTGTCAAAATGTTTTTATTGTCATTTACCATACCAAAAAGTTCCTGATTAACTTGAACTTGGACCTTCCTCCATATTCACAAGAAAAACTTTCACTGGGTACATCTGCAGTTTTTCAGTTGCAATTTATTGGCAAGTCATGTGAAACGTTGTATTCCTCCCCTCAAAAAAGCTTTTCTTTTCGATTTATTATAAAATCGCAAAATGCTAAAATATTTTAAAAAAACATCGATCACAAAGAAACAAAGAAAGTTATAGAGAATCCACTATTACAGATGTACTCCGAAAAAGTCACAGAACCCAATGATATCAATCCTACTGCTCTTGGACGTTTCTTTGGCGCGCAATTCAAACAGTTCGGGAACTTTTTGTTCATACCTTGCATACTTGGGTGTATAAATATAAATACAATAATATAAAATACATATAAATATTATTTATATATACATTTTACAAAAACTCCTTTTTGACAAAATCACTTTGTCGCTCACTAGAAATCGGACTTTTTGTCCAACTTTTTTTGAAACGGACTTTTTAACCGATTATCCTCATAGATAGGTACCAATTAATTATATGCATTTAGTGTGTATTGGAGTATTAAAAAAAATATGAATTTGTAGTTAAGTGGTAAACCAAAATGCTACAAAGTACGTTTACAACACTGTAAATTGTTACCTTAAATAGTAATTTAACAAATATGAGAATTCATACCACAAAATGATTTTATTTGACGAAAATTGGACATTTAAAAAAAAGAAGGCCGAAACGATACCTATCTAATTGTTTTACTTAGAGTTGTGCATCCACATGTATATGATTATATTTTGACATTACATGTTGCTAAGTATACAAATTTTATGTTCTCATCATTGGATTTACATTCTAACTAGATATGAAAAATTGTTACTACATTTTGTTGAATAAAACCATTAACGGAAAACGGTTCAGTTGATACTTGATAGTGTTACTTTGTCAATAATATATATGCCGTATTCCATACGGAAAATTAGTCTTTTGCGAAAAGACTGGCTCTTTGCAACGGGATAGCCCGTTTGCGAACTACTTATTATTTTTTCAAACAGCAGGCTTATTGCATACAGACTAACAGCAGTTACGCCTATTAAGAACTACAATCATTAAAATATAGTAAAAACCATTTTACTTATTTTATTTTAAGGGTAATTTATTACTTTTACAAAAAATAATATAAATAGAATTATTACAACGTATAATATTCTATTGTCTATGGGTACATAATATATTTTTCCACATGTACCTAGTTAGAACAGTGGTTTTCAACCGGTGTGTCGCGTATTACTGTGTTGGTGTGATGTGTATTGCCAAAAAGTTGTTTATTTATGATTGTTTATACTGTCCGTTTTCAAAGTATAAATATGTCAAATTATTATTACGGTATGGTAAAACCCACAGATGAGAAAAAATTAGGAAATTGGCATTACGCAACACGCGTAGGTACTAGCATTGAGCTTACCAGTATTTATAATCACTAATTTAGAATAACATTTTCAATTTGTGATCGAGAAACAAATTTCTATATCCATAGAACATGTATAAACAAAAATATGTTCAATTTTTTTTCTGTTATAAATTTTAATTTTATATCATAATAAACATTGTGATACATTTTTCTAGCATTTTCACTGGTCCAAAACAGTTTGATCATATAAAATTAATAAAAATGATGTGCTATATATAAATATCCGATCTCTATCATTATATTATTAATTTTCACTGAATTACAAAAAAAGAAATTTAATATAATGGTAATTGTTATTGAGTAAATCTCAACAGTACTAAAATAAATATCGAGTATATGATTGATTGTAAATTTTGATATTGTTTTTATTCACATGCAGTAAAAGGGTTGTTTCTTACATCGTAGAGTTCAAATTTTAATAAATAAATGGACTTGTCTTAATCTCAAGTGTCATAAGCTAGAGGATATATTTTTTTTGTAAATTTTCATTTCAGAATTCACTTATTATATTAACTTCATCAGTATTAATTAATGTACACATTATGATCTCATATTTTGCGTTTTCGTGTTTCTATGATAATACAAAATAGCTAATACTAACTTTTCAAATAAAGGCCAACTAAAATCAAGTAACGAATTATCATATTTTAGAGAGACCATGGGTGTTATAATATTATATGAAACATTAAGTCTACGAGTTGTAAATTTATTAATTATTATATATTATGTTCAAAGAGTAACAATTACTAAGACATAATTTTTTAGAACATTGAATCTACATGGTCAATTATCTCAAGAGTATTATAGACGTTTCTTTCAAGTTACAGTCTGTCAGTAATCACAAGTTTTTATGAATATACACTAATTATTTAAAAAAGATACCCGATGTAAGGTAGTTTGTATTATATATTTATAAAACACTTGATACAATAATATAAGAAATGGCCTCTTTCTTTCACAATTATCATTTTCTTTGTCAAATTGGTGTGATTGTAGCTAAACCATATCTACTGTTATGACCATGACTCGGATTTGAAAGAACTGAAAATAACTGAAATATGTGCTATATGACTTAAAGAATGCCATAAAAATAAAAAAGTAAAATAGAAATTTATTTATTTTTTAAATATATAAATATAACTTATGAGAAATAATAAAAATAGACAGTTAATGCTGGGACTGCTACATAGAATTAGATTATAATATGAAACGAAAATGTATATATATATTTTTACCAATTCACATAAATGACAAATTTCTTCTATTTATGAAAAATACAAAACAAGTAATTTATTATGCATATAATAAGCAAAAAAATAGCATTATGCAATTTCAAAATTAGGATTCATTGGTGCATAAAGCAAATGCAAGCCCTGGTTATGACTATTATATCTATATTTGAAATTGGCAAAAAATGCAAATTTAATGTAGTTTTTATTTGAATAAATAAACCATCAATTTAACTACTTAGCGTACATCATATCATATCATGTTAACCATTGTTCAAAAAACAAACATCATTCTAACTGTAAAAGAAATAAAAATACAATTTGTTTTCAATAATTTTTTTTTTTTTTTATTAATAGATACAATATGACAACTATCGTTTTCCTCCAACACGAGGCGCGGCCTTCTGTTGTACTTTGCCTTGTACTTTTTTAGGTTGTTTCTATAAAAACAAAAAAATACGATCTTAGTTAATTTCATCTCTTTTAAATAAAAATTAAAAACTTACCTTCGTTTTTGATGGAGGTGGTGGAGGAGGCTTCTTAGCTGCTTTAGCAGCCTTCTTTTGGTCCTTCGCCGCCCTAAATAAAGTTCATTCATAAATACAAATTTTTTTTTGTACAATGCTTTATTTATAATATTTAATAAAAAAAATTTATGGTTTTTTTAAAACCCTAAATGTATCTATTTTATTAATCGGAGAACACGTTTTTGGGTTATCTTTTACGTCAAAATTAATTACTTTACTTTGTCAATACTTTGATAACTCAAAAGAAAAAATAGAAATAATTCTAACATTACATGTTCCGAATATAGAAATTAATGGGAAAAAACAAATCATTTTTAAATTGTAAAACACTTGATATATATTTTCAATTAATAAATTAATAACAATGGTTTTAAATATGGAATA